TGTGATTGTCGATAGCAGAATTATGCTAGTTCTGGTGATTGTGTACTATGTATTGTTATTTATTGCTATCTACTTTCCTCACAAGTTCACTGATGGCCATGGTGTTGTTCATGTGTTGTTGGTTTTACGTTCAGGTGCAGCCCAGTTCCTTATGTCACTTTATGTTGGGTTATGGTGCGTGTTTGTTCATTCTCTCGTCCTCGTATGGTTGTCTAGTTGGTGTGTTGGTTAGTCCTTGCGTGTTGGGGACGTTGGGTGTGTGTTGGGAGGCGAGGTGTTGCCGCTGGTGGGCTTCTTCAGGCTTTCCAAGGGGTCTGTGGTTTTTAACGTTCTTTGTATTAGTTCTGATAGAGGTTTTATGAGCCAGTTGTTCACTGCGAGCTATGGTAGCTCGGCCTTGCCAGCATTTTCATGCGTGGGAAATTCTTACCATGGTGGTGGTGGTACAGAGTCAAGGGCCCCCCATCGAGAGCGGCTAAAGTTGTAGATGGGCCGGCCAAGTGAACTCGAATTTTTAGAATTAAGCAGCCCTTATGATGCATACCATCATGTATAAGTAACTTACCCGCACCTGTGAATCAAGCTTCTTGTATAATGAACGATGCCAAAGTTTCGTTTCGCTAGCGCTTGCACGGCCCCATGCATGTTCCTGCAACGCGGCCGAACACGGCTGAATGATTAGCGCTCCCTCAAGGCTTAGTACTCGGGTGCGTGTTATTTAAACTTTGGTTCTACCGAGTGCTCTCACTTCACTCTAATTCTTACATACATTTCCCTCAGGTTGATCCCACTGTTCTTTGATGTTAACAATGACCGAAGACCATAGGCCAAAACCTCCTCCAGAGCCTTCTGCATCTAGAGAAGCAACTGCTGGCGAGAGCTTGGTACGTGCCCTTGTGAGACCACTATTGACGAGCGCTAATAGTATCGTCGCTACCTCTGATACATCCCTCATCTAGAGCCAGCTCCGGAGTGGATTCCGTCAGGCCGTGCGGAAATTTAAGAAGAATGCGACTAAAAAAATTTCTGTACGTCGACGTGAATGTTGGTGGAGCTAGAATATACCTGACATTGTGCAGAAACATTTCGAGCGTTCCCATCAGCAAACCCCTACTGGCCAGAATGCCGATCGTGAAGGTGCTTCATCAAATCAGAATATTGAGGTAAGTGGTCATTAGTTTCATCTTGAACTTGTCTGAGGCCCAGCAAGGATGCGTCGCGTCTGCATCCTTCCGATATCGATGGTGACAAGCCCGCCACATCTGAAAATCTCAGTGACTCTGCGAACCAAGGAGCGCCTGGAGAACCTGCCTCGAAGGTACTTGGGCCAAACAATCTGGTTTTCATCTCTAATTCTTCTGGTGGCCGTGCAGGTTTTCGACGCCCCTTCTGGTGTGGAAGAAATTCCTGATACCCAATCGGTTGATGCTGAACTTCGGGGTGCCCGTGAACGCATGAAAAATATGAGACTACTCGGGGGACATGCCACTTCTGTGGCATCCGCAGCCAAGGATGGCCCAAAAGATCTCGATGCCGCAGACAATTTCCAGACCACATATCTTCAACCACTCAGAATTTTTGACACTGTCATTAGGGATCTTGCGAATGTATGGGCCACCGTCCTATGTTGGAAGCGAGCTAATTAAGTTATATAGGTACATCCTTACGCAAAGGTGGTGCTTGGTATGCTGTCTGCTGCATCCAAAGTATGTGTAGTTTCGCCCTCCTGTTCCGCAGTTGTTGACTCTATGCAGATTATTCTCGCCCAAACAGAACGCGACAAATCGGTACAATCTCTTCTCAAGAAATTAGAAGACGTTTACCGCTTCATGTCACAAGACGACACTCTTGGCCGGATTTCATCCAAGCGCAATATCGCTGCACGGATCGCCCAGCAGATCCTAGAGTGCGCTCGTTTCATCAGGGACTACTCGGAGGAGAGTTTTCGTAAGTCATCAAACTATTGGACTCCGCATATTGTGAATCTTATACTATTGTCACAGGGAAGAGACTCGGCGAAAATGTTCTCTCGCATACGAATGATCTGGTTACACGGTACAACAATGCTTTGGATGAGCTTATGCAACAATTTCGAGACCAAGCTATTCGGGACGTAGCTGATCTCGTCCGGTGTACAAGTAAGGATTTGGATGTACTTTTGACGTTACATTCACTCATACTCCTTCAGGTGACGAACTGGGTGACAAGCTGGATCTCAGCAGTATGCCTTACGCAGCAGGCGCGGGACTAGATACCACGAAACAATGCCTACCAGAGACGCGCAAGGCCATTCTCTCCCAGATCAGTGATTGGATCAACGACAGTGGAGATACTGTTCAACGTGTGCTGTGGCTATCTGGCCCAGCAGGCACGGGCAAATCAGCTATCGCTCACACAATTGCTAACTGGCTCAATGACCTGGGAGGGCTTGGTTCGTGTTTCTGCTTCGACCGGGATCTTAAAGCCGACAAGCGTCACAAAAAAGTCTTCTCCACGATCGCTCGCGACCTCGCTGACCGTGATCCGGTGATGAAACGAAGATTGGCAAATGCAGTCGAAGATGCAAATGCGCTCAAGAACACGACAGATATCATCCAGCAGTGGCGCAAGCTGTTGATGGAACCGTTAAAGGGTGTATCTGGGACGAAGGTGACGAAGGCGACGAATGTGACGAATGCGACGGATGTGACGGATGTGACGGATGTGACGGATGTGACGGATGTGGGGCCTGTCTTGATTGTGATCGAAGCGCTGGATGAGAGCGGCGGAATGGAGACGCGGCGTGACCTTCTCCGCATACTTGCTGGTCCATTGGAGGGCGAAGATTTTCCCAAAATCACCGAACTCCCATCCAACTTTCGGATTCTCGTCACCTCTCGCCCGCTTCATGATATCGACGATAAATTTCGGGATGCTCCACATATTCTACGGTTATCCATGGACGACATTTCAGAAAAAGACTCGAAGGGAGATATCCGTACTTTTGTGTCTCACGAACTGAACAAGGTGTCTGGTCTTGGAGACAAAGAGTTCGCAGTCCTCGCTGACAAGGCTGATGAACTATTCGAGTGGGCACGTCTTGCATGCGAATACATCCAAAAACCTTATGCCGGCTCATACCCAATTGAACGCTTCAATGCTGTCGTGTCCCACGATCATGGAAAGCGGAAAAATTTGTTGTATGGCATGTATAGCTTCATTTTAGGAGAAAACATGGGGAAGGACAGCACAGAAATCGGGTATCAGCCAGCGCTAGCAAGGTTTCATTCCGTCATGGGACAAATACTTGGCTCAGCAGAACCCCTCTCTGTAGATGTGCTGAATATTATGCGGCACTGTCTGCCGGACCAAAGGGAGCATTACGAAGTGCAAGTCGTGTTAGCAGATATGGGATCCCTGCTGAGCGGCACCACCAACTCATCCAGCCCCATCCGACCCCTTCACGCATCCTTCCGCGAATTCCTGACAGACAAATCATCCAGCGGAGACTTTTTCGTGGAGATGTCGAACGCGCAACGCGATCTTGCTTTTGCTTCACTTGGAGTGATGGAACACGACCTTCGCTTCAATATGTGTAATTTAAAATCTTCATACCTCCCCAATAGCCGAGACATCGGGCTGCTGGCTCGAGTGGCAACATGCATTCCCTCGCATCTGTCCTATTCCTGTCGATTTTGGGCTACACACGTCCGAGCAACGGACTTCGACACGAAGCTCGCAAAGGAAGTAGGATCATTCTTCGACAACGAGCGGCTGCTGTTCTGGATTGAATCACTCGGCCTTCTCAATGCACTCAACGTTGCCGTTGCAGTGCTTCCACTCATTTCCCAGTGGCTGAAGGTGAGAACAAAGTCACCTGGTGTCAGGTGAAGTGCTTACGCGCGAACGTAGGGCCAATCCGGATACCAAAAAATCTTGTCCACTGCAATGGATGTGCAGAGATTCGTCCAAGTCTTCAATGAGATGATTTTGCACAGCACGCCGCACCTGTATGTATCAGCACTGCCATTTTCCCCTATCGAGTCCACGATAGCTACAAAGTTTACTGCAAGGTTTCCGAACACTCTTCGTCTGATACATGGACGTCTTTTGAACTGGACGACTATTCAGACCGTGATCGGTGGGCACGCTGGTTGGGTTTTGTCAGTCTCGTTCTCGCCCGATGGCACTCGCATCGTGTCTGGTTCTTGGGATTGCACTGTCCGGCTGTGGGATGCAGCGACGGGGCTGCCATTGGGTGAGCCTTTCCGAGGGCACACTGATTTGGTTTCGTCAGTCTCGTTCTCCCCCGATGGCACTCGCATCGTGTCTGGTTCTTCGGATTCTACCGTCCGGCTGTGGGATGCAGCGACGGGGCTGCCATTGTGTGAGCCCTTGCGAGGGCACACTCATTCGGTTAAGTCAGTCTCATTCTCCTCCAATGGCATTCGTATCGTGTCTGGTTCTTTGGATTCCACTGTCCGGCTGTGGGACGCATCGACGGGGTTGCCATTGGGCGAGCCCCTCCGAGGGCATACTCATTCGGTTTCGTCAGTCTCATTCTCCCCCGACGGCACTCGCATCGTGTCTGGTTCTTGGGATTGCACTGTCCGGCTGTGGGATGTAGCGACAGGGCTACCATTGGGTGAGCCCTTTCGAGGGCACACTAGTTCGGTTTACTCAGCCTTGTTCTCCCCCGATGGCACTTGCATCGCGTCCTGTTCTTTGGATTCCACTGTCCGGCTGTGGAATGCAGCGACGGGGCTGCCATTGTATGAGCCCTTGCGAGGGCACACTCATTTGGTTTCGTCAGTCTCGTTCTCGCCCGATGGCACTCGCATTGTGTCTGGTTCTTATGATTCCACCGTCCGGCTGTGGGATACAGCGACGGGGTTGCCATTGGGTAAGCCCTTCCGAAGGCACACTGATTGGGTTTCGTCAGTCTCGTTCTCGCCCGATGGCACTTGCATCGTGTCTGGTTCAAAGGATTCCACTTTCTCGCTGTGGAATACAGCGACAGCGCAACAATTCCAGGAGCACACTGGAATCCACTCCTCTGCATTCTCGTTGGATAGACATCCCACCGCACCTCGCACACGGGAGACCATCGTGTTGACCAATAATCCGAACAATCGCGTCATTTGGTTCACATCAAGCTTGAAGCATGCACTGCACAACCCTGCTGAGCTGCTCAAGGGCACCTCTCATCATGATCTTAATTCAACCTCCGTCTTGCTGGAAGATGTTGTCTCGCTGAAAGATGATGGATGGATGGTAGGACCCGATCATCGGCTACTTTTCTGGGTACCGCCTGCTTCCCGAAAACAACCATTTTATTATCTTGGAACTGTATTCGTGATACCCAATGGGCTAGATATTGATTTGAGTCGCATGGCTCATGGAGAACACTGGTCGAATTGCCGAGATTTGTGAGTTCTTAGCCTTAACCGTCCCTCACAGTTACTAAATCAATATTTCTAGCCATACTCGCTGATGATCCAATTGTAGCAATACCGAGTGTACAATTTTGTTTCATGTCAATCCTGTGCCTGGCACCGAGCTTAAATTTGAAGTTGATCAGGTGAGATAGTACCCCGCCGAAAACTGACTGAGCATGACTCCAAATGCTACGGCTGAGTTCGTCCGAGCATATCCTGAGGACTATGGTCAAATGGTTCCCTCAGCGGGCATGGTTGCGTGATGATCGCTCTTACAAACTGTCGTATCAGTCGATGATCAAAACCCCTTCAAAGCCTGGGTGACCATCGATACCGAGACGACCATCTTCGAATCTTATGGTAGCCCTAGTCTCCTTTCATGTGAAGCACCATCTTCCGATGACTTCAGTAAATCACTATCCCACATACGGGTACTGATTGACTCGAGTCTGACAGGAATGGGCGGTGGCGAAACTGAAGGAATGGTGATTGCGCATCAGCTACACCTAAGTACTGCTAATCACTGAAACCTCCCAGTGCTTTCGAGCGTGCACCGATTTACAGTTACATACACGCTCACAAATATCAGCAAGATTCACACAAGTACTCCTTCAAGTCAGGTCTCCCATATTTTGTTTCGACTGTCTTCCTTGTTGCTTCATATTGCATTGTGGTTTGATTCTTCCGCATACAATGTTATTCTTCTTTCTTCTAAACGAGTGACTGCACAGTCGCGGGCATCATCTCAAGACTCAGTCGGTGCCACTTTTTCGGTCCTCCATGGGATTTTGTTGCCTGTCGATCGCTTTTCTACTGCCGCTGAACGAACACTCAACCAGAGTGCCTAGTGTTACTTGACTCTCTAATGGGGTCTTCAACCCTCGACTCGAATACTTCATCACCATTATCTCCCCCCGGCTACGCTTCTCAAATGCTCATTCTGCCAGTATCCGACCCCCTTCTTTATTTCCTTGCATCTTCCCTGCTTAATCATGGAAAGCGTACAAGGACAGAGCGCATCGTCTCCCGCACCCTCCTTTATATTCACGTTCTTACCTGCGCGCCGTCACGACCTATCCTCTGCCATGCTCTCACCACGGCTTCCCCCGCTGTCAAGTGCTTATCACAGAAGCGCTCAGGAAAGAACGTTGTGAGACTTGCCACGCTTACAGAAACATAAGGGTGGATGTTCATGCTGGATTGTCCGCCAGCATAAACAATAGTGGGAAGATGGTGGAGGAGCGTTTAGCACGAGAGATTATCGCTGTTATTACAGCTGTTTGCATAAATGATGACAGTACACGACTTTTTGGGAAAGAAGAAAAATTAAATATTCTAGTGTGGCACTTCGTCTTGCGCCGCAACAATCAACCGCAATCAACATCGATGTATCAAAAAATCAGTCGCGACGTCAAACTCGCTGCCGTCAATCTCTACGAGCGTCAACACCTTTCTCTTCAGGACATTCTCGCTTGTGTTGGATTCTCGGAAAGTACTTTCTGGCGTGTCCTTAAACTTTGGCGCAAGACAGGCAACGTTGTTAGCCCCACCTGTAGCCTTCTTGGTTTCTTCATTTCTGAGTATGAATACACTATGAGAGTGTACGAGATCGAGACATTGTGTGGTGGTGGAGGTACTGAGTAAAATCTCACATTCAGGTATTCAAGAATCAATGGTCAATGAACTTCGAACAATTGTACCTTCCTTGGGCTTGGCCCTTGGGAGGGCGACCAGGGCCGCGTTTTTCGTTTTCTGGTGATTCTAGTTCGGAAGTGGGTTCCACGACAATTGTTTCATCCCCTGGAGAGATGTCATACTGGTCCCTGACAGCCGCCGTTATCGAATCGTCGTCAGAGTCCATAGAATCAGAGGATATCGAGTTTGTCATTTTCGACTCAATCATAACTCACATACATGCGGGACGCGTTATTTACTGCTGTGTAAGATTTATTTATTTATTCTTCTTTCTCAAAAAGTCGCGTACTGTCATCATTTATGCAAACAGCTGTAATGGAGACAGGAAAGCTATTACTGACAAAGAGCTGGTACACAAATAAGCTGCGATCAATAGGTATGTGCGACATTGACATCGGGTAACTCTCATTGACGCATCGTGCAGGGGCAATGTGCTCGTGAAGTAGGATGTCGTATGTTTACTGTATCTTTCCCCTCCCTGCCGAATGCAATGCAGTTACATAATGGCTCCCCAGCTTCGCAGCAAATTCTATACCATTTTCAGCAGTTCTAAATTGGTACTGGGCAGAAGTACTCTTCGATCTGGTCCCTCAAGCACCTTATTGGTAATCTTGATGCCCTTGGCAAAATTATGGAGCTCTTCACACTGAACAGAAGGAGCTCAGAAGGAGCTCCACGATGGTTTGAGGTTCGAAGTTCGTTACATAAATGATTCATGCCGCTAACAGTCAACGCAGCTTTCACATGGTCCTCAGCACATGATTCGTTCTTAATTCTTGCCTGTTTCTCCATCAAATGTCGCATCCAAAATCAAGTTCTGACTAGGTGTAATCCTCCGACCCATTAGAGGAGGGCTTTTTCTCCGATGAGGGTCGCATATATTCAGCTTCCCATCATTGGCGACCACTGTCCTCAGCAGTCACCAGTGCATCGTGCAATGTTCCTGGAGGAAAGTGAGAGCGATAAGGAGATGTATTAGCGTCGCCTTGGAGCTCATTGAATGCCAGTAGTCGTCCCATGTGAGTTTTTAGACCATCCAAGCAAGAGTTTAAACAAATGTCACGCCAAGGATGCATTAATTGATCAACTTGGCGTTCTTACTAGGCTGAGCATCTTTGAAGTCGCATCGAAGTCGCATTTGCACAATTTACGTACGTGCAGCCAGATATCACTGCTTTCCGATGACTCACGCCTGCAAACTCATTTAATTTCCGATCCTGTTTCTCATTGTCCTTACTTAAATGACAGACAATGACCGGTCTGTGCATCTTGCGTGGATATATGTTCAGTACAAAGAGGTTAGGTTTTACTGGCTTTCAATGGTCACCATCCTGACGTGTGCACTTAAAATTTAGTATTGCCGTACTGCAATGCGATGTAGATCAACAGTGCACCGGATACGCATAAATGTCGCGTTGCACGACCGCTTTTCCATCACGAAATTTGATGCACCAGAAGCTATGGTCATAAGAGTTAATCCGGTGTCCATCACTGGCTATCAGAACGCATTCGTCGTATGGACTTCTATTTTGCATCACAATCACTCTTTGCTTTACATGTTCTATACATGCACTTTTCGTTCTCCGCTCCAACAGGTTTCTTTTATTCTGGCATCCCCAGAACGATCTCTCCTCAGTCTCTCAATTCCAATACTGAGGTGAGTATTAGCATTTACCGATACATACTTTCATTCTAACTACCTGCGTAGTTCCCCTTTCGTTTCTAGGTATGCACTGCCGTAGTACGAGTCTCTCAATTCGAAGACTGAGTTATCCTTTCGTTTCTAGTCTGAACCTCTCTTCATTTGAGACCGGCCTTCCTGTCTCTGCCTCTCATGGCAGCTTCTTCCAAACCGACAAATGAAAGTTCACATCCATACGACGCACTCCCGAATCACCAGGACTTCGACTCGATGATATCTGATGCGAAGTTTACTGCTGATACTAGCACCGATATCTACGACCCAGGTTTAACGAGTCGCAGAAGTGCCCTTGTCGGAGTGGCATGCTCAAGCATATTCAGTTGCTCATGCATCATTGCAGGCATTGTCACTTTAGCCAATCACGGGGTACTCGGAGTGACCGCAATCAACTTGTCCGTGCATAATTATGACTATAGTAGTCTGTTGCCCCTGCAAGGGGAGATATTGGCCCTGGCACTTAACTTCATCGGCACGTTATGCACCGAGTCCATAGGCTTCGTACACGGCATCTCGTTGCACTCTGCGCTAGCCTCAGAGTCTCGACTTTCTTTCAACACCAATCTGCGCCTTCTGACTGCAGCTCGTGGATGGTATAACCCTAACGGCACTTTGTTTAATGGTATCTCGGCTGTCCTCCTCATCATGTCCTACAGCTCGGCTTCACTCATCGTAGTTGTCGATACTGTGATTTCACAAACGTCACAAACGTCATCAGCACCTAAGATCGTCATTGCCATAGCAGGGACACCTCTTCTTGCTCTGGGCGTCGCACTCCTCCTCCAGGTGATTATCGCATTGTCAGGGATGCGGGCTGTCAAAATATTAACGTGGAGCTCCTCACCTTTCGACTTGACCGCCGCACTGGTCCACCACACGCAATTGACCCCTGCTACTTTGCGGTGCATGCGTTGTGTGTCTGACATAGACACAGATGAAGGTCCAGCAAAGCCACTCAAAATACAACCCTCTGCGTGGCATGCTCACCCTAGCATCCGGAAAGTCGTCATTTTTCTTTGGGTGATCGTTGCAGCATGCGCTGAATGGGCCGCACTTGTCATGTATATCTGGCACAAGTATGCCCCCCAGGGTATAATGTCCCCCGATGCGCTGACCCCACAAACGTGGTCGTTCATCCCCAATTTGCTGAACGGGAATTTCAATTACATCGGGTATTCTATACCGGGTGTCAATTTTCAGGTGTGGATTCTGGTCATTGTCAATATGGCAGTTGTCCAGGGACTATTGACACTGGGGCTGCATTGCTCGGAGCTCATAGCAAATGTCATTCGAGACGAAAAACAGTGGAGATGCGCTACCAGGAGGAAAGGACTTAGCACGGCGACAAACCCGGTGAAGACAATTTTCACTCATCCGATCTGTCTCGTACTTTTCGTCGCAAAGCCTTTCCTGCGTGAGTCATTCGCGTGTAGTATTCTCATTGATGTTGTTGAACACCGTTCCTCGACGATCACAGACTGGATGTTTGGGTATTCATTCATGATAATTGACTCTGCCTTTGACGGGAAACTAGAAGGCGTGCGGGTAGGCATGCTGACTGCCCAGGTTCGCACTTACTGCCTATGTAAAACTGCTATAGCATCCTCACATTCTTGTGCAGATCTGGAACTTATGCATAGCGCTGTTTATATTCGCCTGTTTCTTCACATTCGTCGCACTGCACCAACCGCGTGGCCCCCAGCCGGCTGCATACGGCCACCTCCAGACGCTCGCCAACCTCGTGGACGAGTGGTCGCCTGTGATGTGGTGGGGACATAAGGAGGACGGAATTCCGTACTGTCATGCTGGTAGGGTACTTACATACTTACAATGCTACTGCTTTGACACTTTTGCAAAGGGACGGGCGATCACCCGCTGCCGGATGTAAACATGGATCGTGTTTATGCTGGTTCTGGTGCCGGGTCTCTGGTATACGTACCCCTCTCGTGACTCACGTACTTGCTTTACTTTTTAAAGGGTATTTTTTGATTTCTCTTTTTACATAAAGGAGCTATATTCACGTTAGGACAGGATTTTGATTCAAGTGATTCCGAGTATTACGTACACAACCACTGCTTAGCACCGCTCTTCCCGCATCATGCATCACTCTTTACTTGCTTTAGCCTGTTTTAATGTCTATAGCCTGATAAATATCGCGTCATGCTACCGTGTTTCAATCACAAAATCATCATCACCAGAGGCTATGGTCATAAGTGAAATACATTTAATCTCGTGTCCGTAATACACACATGTACCGTTCGTTCTCCGTTCCAACAGGTTTCTTTTATTCTGGCATCCCCAGAACAATCACTCCCCAGTTTCTGAGTCCGAAGACTGAGGTGAGTATTAGCATTTACCGATATATATTTTCATTCTCACTACCTACATACTTAGTTCTCCTTTCGTTTCTAGGTATGCACTGCCGTAGTAGGCTACAACTCTCTCAATCCAAAGACTGAGCTATCCTTTCGCTTCTAGTCTGAGCCTCTCTTCATTCGAGACTGACCTTCTTGTCTCTGCCTCCCATGGCAGCTTCTTCCAAACCGACAGATCAAAGTTCGCATGACGCACTTCCGGATCACCAGGACTTTGACACGATGATATCTGATGCGAAGTTCACTGCTGATACCAGAACCGACCTTTACGACCGCAGTCTGACGAGTCGGAGATATGCCCTTGTCGGAGTGGCATGCTCAAGTATCTTCAGCTGCTTATGCACCGTTGCAGGCATTGTTACTTTAGCCAATCAAGGAATCCTCGGAGTAACCACGATCATCATGGTTCCTTCTAGTGATACTCAATCGTCCCTCCAGGCGGAGACATTGTCTCTGGCACTTAACTTTATTGTCACGTTATGCACCGAATCCATAGGCTTCGTACACGGCATCTCATTGCACTCTGCGCTAGCCTCAGAGTCTCGGCTTCGTTTCAACGCCAATCTACGCCTTCTGATTGCAGCTCGTGGATGGTATAACCCTAACGGCGCTATGTTTAACGGTATCTCGGCCGTCCTCCTCATTATATCCTACTGCTCAGCCTCACTCGTCATATGCATCGATGCTTCCCTAAGACATTGTAGTTTTGCCATCGCAGGGATACCTGTCCTCGTTCTGGGCGTCTCACTCCTCCTCCAGGTGGTGATCGCATTGTCAGGGATGCATGCTGTCAAAATATTGACGTGGAGCTCCTCACCTTTCGACTTGACTGCCGCACTGGTCCACCACATGCAATTGACCCCTGCTACTCTGCGGTGCATGCGTCGTGTGTCTGACCTAGACACGTATGGAGGTCCAGCGAAGCCATCAGAGATACAGCCTTCTGCGTGGCATGCTCACCCTAGCATCCGGAAAGTTGTCATTTTTCTTTGGGTGATCGTTGCAGCATGCGCTGGATGGGCCGCACTCGTCATGTATATCTGGGACAGGTTTCAGCATTCCGACACGGATGTAGTGTTCGGGTCCGGCAGCGCTCTCACCCAACACACGTGGTCGTTCTTCCCCAACGAAAAATCCACTTACATCTGGTATAAGTCGTCGGGTCGTATGCTGTTCTCATGGGTCAACATGGCCCTTATCCAGGGGCCATTGACACTTGGGCTGCATTGCTCAGAGCTCATCGCAAATGTCATTCGAGATGAAAGACAGTGGAGACGCGCTACCGGAAGAGAAGGACTTAGAATATTGACGAACCCGGTGAAGACGATTTTCACTCATCCAATTTGTCTCATACTTTTCGTCGCGAAGCCCTTCCTGCGTGAGTCATTCATGCCTCCCTTTTTTTATCGGTGTTATTGAACATCATCGACAATCAGACTGGATGTTTGGGCTTGCATTCAACTTAAGAGACAACGCCATAGAGGGGTCACTGGACTCATTGAAGGTAAACATGTTCGCTGCCCAGGTTCGCACTTACTGCCTACGTAAAACTGCTACGACACCCTTACAACCTCGTGCAGATCTGGAACTTATGCATAGCGCTGTTCATATTTGCCTGCTTCTTCACTTTCGTCGCACTGCGCCGACCGCGCGGTCCCCAGCCAGCTGCATACGGCCACCTCCAGACGCTCGCAAACCTCGTGGACGAGTGGTCGCCTGTGATGTGGTGGGGACACAAAGAGGACGGAATTCCGTACTGTCATGCTGGTAGGATACTTATATGCTCACGATGATGCTGCGTTGACATTTTACAAAGGGACGAGCGATCATCCGCTGCCGGATGTGAAGATGGACTACGTTTATGCTGGTTCTGGTTCTGGGTCTCTGGTCGTGAGAGGTACTTACTTTACTTTTTTAAAGGGCATTTCTTGATTTCCCTTTTAAACAGAGCTATGCCGATGCGCCGTCACGGCCGTTGAAATCGTCTCACAGATTAAACCTGTGAAAACAAGTTTTACCCCCGATTAAACAGAGCTATTTCCACGTTAGGCTGGCGATGTATTGACAGGCACACAACCAGCCATGCTATTGAATGATACGTGTACAATTTTATCCTGCTTACTACGTTGTAGGTAGTTCGTCTTAATATTGCTCCAACTCGGGCTTTGTGAAACCATGATGGATGAATGGACAAATTCACTTGAGCTGCAGAGGATGCGTTGAGTTGAAATATGAATTGGGAGGGGCACAGGTGAGCTGGCCGACATTAATAATTAGTAATTAATTGATCAGCTTGACATTCTTACCAAGGTGAGCATTTTGAAAGTCGCATTGAAGTCGTATTTGCGCAATTCACGTACATGCAGCCAGATACCGATGACTCTCACCTGCAAACTTATCTGACTTCTGATCCTGTTTCTCATTGGTCTTACTTAATTGACAGACAACGGCCGGTCTGTGCATCTTGCAAGGATATGTGCGCAGTATAAGGAGGTTAGGCTTGACTGGCTTTCAATGATCACCATCCTGAAATGTGCACTTTAAGTATTATCGCACTGCAATGCGATAATCAACAGTGCACCCGATATGTATAAATGCTGCGTCGCACAACCACTTTTCCATCACGAAGTCACTTGCACCAGAAGCTTTAAGATGTAACCTGCGTGATCATCGTATCAAAATGCGTCCGTCGTGCGTATTTCACTTTGCATACACAATCACTCTTTGCTACTCGTGTTCTACACATGCACTTTTGGTTCTCCGTTTCAACAGGTTTCTCTTATTCTGGCATACCCAGAACGAACTCTCCTCAGTCTCTCCATCCAAATACTGAGGTGAGTGTTAGCATTTACTGATATATATTTTCATTCTAACTATATACATAGTTCTCCTTTCGTTTCTAGGTATGTGCCGTAGTATTATGAGTCTCTCAATCCGAAGACTGAGTTCTCCTTTCGTTTCTAGTCCGAGCTTCTCTTCGTTTGAGATTGGCCTTCCTGTTCCTGCCTCCAATGGCAGCTTCTCCCAAACAGACAAATGAAAGTTCACATCCATACGACGCACTCCCGAATGACCAGGACTTCGACTCAACGATATCTGATGCGAAGTTCACTGCTGATACCAGAACCGATTTCTACGACCGCAGTCTGACGAGTCGCAGAAATGCCCTTGTTGGAGTGGCATGCTCAATTATCCTCAGCTGCTCATGCATCGTTGCAGGCATTGTCACTTTAGCCAATACCGGAGTCTTCGGAACGACCAACGTGATCATCAAGCCCACAGCGAATCCAGGTGTTAATGTGATGCCCCTGCAGGCGGACATAATGACCCTGGTACTTGACTTAATCGTCACGTTATGCACCGAGTCCACAGGCCTCGTACATGGTATCTCATTACGCTCTGCACTAGCCTCAGAGTCTCGACTTCATTTCAACACCAATCTGCGTCTTCTGACTGCGGCTCGTGGATGGTATAACCCTAACGGCACCCTATTTAATGGTATCTCGGCTGTCCTCCTCATTATATCCTACAGCTCGGCTCCATTCGTTTTATGTTTGAACTATTATTTGACACATGAGGGTCTTTCCATCGCAGGGTTACCTCTCCTCATTTTGGGCGTCGCACTCCTCCTCCAGGTGATGATCGCATTGTCAGCGATGCGGGCTGTCAAAATATTGACGTGGAGCTCCTCACCTTTCGACTTGACCGCCGCACTGGTCCACCACACGCAATTGACCCCTGCTACTTTGCGGTGCATGCGTTGTGTGTCTGACCTAGACACCGATGGAGGTCCAGCGAAGCCATCAGAGATACAGCCCTCGGCGTGGCATGCTCACCCTAGCATCCGGAAAGTTGTCATTTATCTCTGGGCGACCGTTGCAGTATGCGCTGGATGGGCCGCACTCGTCACATATATATCGCACAAGCTCCCCTACGACATCCCGATGACCACAAAAACGTGGTCGTTCTTGCCGAATGAGTCGTCCAGTTACATCGTGTATTCTATTCCAGGTGTCAAACTTAAGGTGTGGATTTTGCTCTTCGTCAACTTAGCAGTTGTCCAGGGACCGTTGACACTTGGGTTGCATTGCTCGGAGCTCATCGCGAATGTCATTCGGGACGAAAGACAGTGGAGATGCGCTACCGGAATAAAAGGACTTAGAACGGCGACGAACCCAGTGAAGACAACTTTCACTTACTCGAGTTGTCTCATACTTTTCGTTGCGAAGCCTTTCCTGCGTGAGTCATTCCTATCTAGTATCTTTTATAGGTGTCATTGAACACCATCCTCGACGATCACAGACTGGATGTTTGGGTATTCATTGAGGATATCCGGTCACTCCACCTCTGAGGAGGTAACTTTCGCGGTAGTCATGTTCACTGCCCAGGTTCGCACTTACTGCCTATGTAAAACTGCTACAACATCCTCACACTCTCGTGCAGATCTGGAACTTATGCATAGCGCTATTTATATTTACCTGTTTCTTCACTTTCGTCGCACTGCGCCGACCGCGCGGTCCCCAGCCAGCTGCATACGGCCACCTCCAGACGCTCGCCAACCTCGTGGACGAGTGGTCGCCTGTGATGTGGTGGGGACATAAGGAGGACGGAATTCCGTACTGTCATGCTGGTAGGGTACTTATATGCTCATGACGATACTGCGTTGACATTTTACAAAGGGACGAGCGATCACCCGCTGCCGGATGTGAAGATGGACTACGTTTATGCTGGTTCTGGTGCTGGGTCTCTGGTACCCCTCTCGTGAGAGGTACTTACTTTACTTTTTTAAAGAGCATTTCTTGGTTTCTCTTTTTAAACAGAGCTATATCTATGTTAGGCAGGCGATGCATTGACGGGCACACAACCAGCCATGCCGTTCAATGATACACGCAAGATTTTTATGCTGTTTGCTGTTGGTTTGCTGTGTTGTAAGTAGTTCGTCTTGATATTGCTCCAGCTCGGGCTTTATAATACCATGATGGATGAATGAACGAATATATATGAGCTGTAGAGGATGTAATGAGTTGGAATATGAATCGGAAGTGTACATGTGGGCTGTGAATACCAGTGAAATTGGCCGACATTAAATAATCAGAGTCTTGGTAGGATCGTATTGCATATAGTACATACTACATGCTGTGGTAGGTAAGTCCTGTGGTTGGTCTATATGTAGTGATCGACGAACAAATCATCATCAATTATGTATCTGATATCTGAGTGCGCAATGATATCAACTGCGGTCTTGACCAGAAGTGGAGGACCATGAGATACCCTTAATTTAAACGTCCATGAAAACAAGACTGCGAATTGTCTGAAACGGTCATGATCTCCTCAAAATCTCCCACAAATATTGAGATTCAAAGTCAAAATTCATTGTTCTGCTGCTGTTTCAGAGTGCGCTTGTAGAGTGCAAAAATAACTTCCTACTATCGTAATATACTTATCACCAATTCTCTTCGCAACGGGAACTGATCTGATACGAGGAAGTCATTGTTAAACGGCGATCTGAATATCAAGCTGTGCCATATGCGCTCTACACATGTTATCAAATAAGTGGAAATTAATGCAAGGATTGATGTCAGTAAGCTCGAGAACATCACCGTTGGCTCACAGCGCATCTACCTTGTTTGATCTAAATCTCAGCGTCAAATGACCTGCTTGCAAAAGGTCTTTGACGCTAACGACGGATTCGAAACGCCGTTTGTTATCAGTTGAACAGGCAAGTCGATACAAGACGAGTTGGTCGCAGGTTGCGGATCACGTAGAGGGCAAAATCATTCGATGTACACGAGCAGGTTAGGGAATTTGCCATAGCGGGAGGGCAATTTGAATACGGCACATATTTGTGCAAGGCGTAACCCTGCATTAGCCCGAGTATTGTAGTTTTTATGTGTGACTGAAAAGACTTACCATCAAATCCTGTACCACTCTGCCACAACTCATGACCTTCTACGACAGAGGAAAGTGAGGACGAAGGTAGCATCGGACATCGTGATTGGGCATGATCAGATGGGCTCGAATCGCTGATGTGATTTCGTCCAGGGATAGGAAGTAGGATTGATTTACAGCTGCAGACGTCGAAACGATCCTACACACTAGCGGAAATAAATGAACGCGGAAAGGAAAGCACCGGTCAATGAGAGCAGGTACGAAGTCGAAAGCAGCGAAAACCGCGTAATAATGGAGGTGCTGAATTAATATTGGAACGACTGTGCAAACAAGGCGTCGGAGGGAGAGTGAAGAGGCAGGTGGTGTCCGAGGGTTACCCGAAAGAACTGAGTATATAAGGTCCGACTGATAAGCAACAGAAAAAAGGAAATAGACGTTAACCGGTCCAAGCCAGCATCAGATCGATCATCCCTCCATAAATAGTATTTCAAGGGTACATATATGGTAAGATGTTCACCTCGGACAAGTGCACAACCACTGCTTAGCACCGCTCTTGCATCACTCCGATACTAATAAGCTTACGCTTAGCCTGCAATAGAACGACATTATAGCCTGATAAACACCGCGACACACGACCGCTTTTCCATCACGAAGTCATATCAGACACTGCAGGTTATGGTCATAAGTGAAACTTATTTACATAATCTGCAGGTCAATAATGCGCACATGCATTGTTCGTCCTCCGTTCCAACAGGTTTCTTTTATTCTGGCATCCCCAGAACGAACACTCCTCAATTTTTGAATCCGGAGACTGAAGTGAGTATTAACATTTACCGATACATATTTTCATTCTCACTAGCTACATAGTTCTCCTTTCATTTCTAGGTATGCACTGCCGTAGTACGAGTCTCTCAATCCGAAGACTGAGTTCTCCTTTCACTTCTAGTCTGAGCCTCTCTTCATTTGAGGCTGGCCTTCCTGTCTCTGCCTCCCATGGCAACTTCTTCCAAATCAACAGGTGAAAGTTTGCATCCATATGACGCACTCCCGAATCACCAAGACTTGGACTGGATGATATCTGATGCGAAGTTCACTGCTGATACTAGAACCGATTTCTACGACCACAGTCTGACAAGTCGCAGATATGCCCTTGTCGGAGTGGCATGCTCAATTATCTTCAGCTGCTCATGCATCGTTGCAAGCATTGTCACTTCAGCCAATCACGGAGTCTTCGGAGTAATCGTGTTCACCATGGAGCCTATCAACATTATGATGCAGCAGAGGGAAATTCTGGCCCTGGTGCTTAACTTAATCGTCACGTTATGCACCGAGTCTATAGGCCTCGTACACGGCATCTCATTGCGCTCTGCGCTAGCCTCAGAGTCTCGGCTTCGTTTCAACACCAATCTGCGCCTTCTGACCGTAGCTCGTGGATGGTATAACCCTAATGGCGCCTAGGGATCAGCACGGGTTACCCGCGGGTATATCGGCGGGTTTTGAGTATTCTGAGGCATGGTCCTTCATTCTGGCTTGAAAACAAAAAAAAATTCATGCAAAATGGACCAGGATTGGGTGAGATATGGCTGGAACAAGTTTTAAGCAAAACCCTGCAAAGCTCCTCCCTCCACATCTGAATCTTTGAGAGAGAGTCAACCAATTTGCGAGGTTTTTGCATTTTGGCGAAAATTGGTTGACTCTCTCTCAAAGATTCAGATGTGGAGGGAGGAGCTTTGCAGGGTTTTGCTTAAAACTTGTTCCAGCCATATCTCACCCAATCCTGGTCCATTTTGCATGAATTTTTTCAAAAACCTCGCAAATTGGTTGACTCTCTCTCAAAGATTCAGATGTGGAGGGAGGAGCTTTGCAGGGTTTTGCTTAAAACTTGTTCCAGCCATATCTCACCCAATCCTGGTCCATTTTGCATGAATTTTTTTTTGTTTTCAAGCCAGAATGAAGGACCATGCCTCAGAATACTCAAAACCCGCCGATATACCCGCGGGTAACCCGTGCTGGCGCCCTGCTGAATGGTGTCTCGGCTATCCTCCTCATTATATCCTACAGCTCGGCCTCACTCATCGTATGTTTCGACGTTCAAACACCGTCACTCACATATGAGGGTGGTATTGCCATTGGAGGGTTACCTCTCCTCGTTTTGGGCATCACACTCCTCCTCCAGGTGATGATTGCATTGTCAGGGATGCGGGCTGTAAAAATATTGACGTGGAGTTCCTCACCTTTCGACTTGACCGCCGCAGTGGTCCACCACACACAATTGACCCCTGCTACTTTGCGGTGCATGCGTTGTGTGTCTGACCTAGACACAGATGAAGGTCCAGCAAAGCCACTCAAAATACAACCCTCTGCGTGGCATGCTCACCCTAGCATCCGGAAAGTTGTCATTTTTCTTTGGGTGATCGTTGCAGCATGCACTGGGTGGGCCGCACTCGTCATGTATATCTGGGCCAAGTGCGGTGGCACGGGGTACATGTCCCCCAATGCGCTGACCACACAAACGTGGTCGTTCATCCCCAATTTTCAGAATGAGGAAGTCAATTTCATCTCGTATGTTATGCCGGGTGTCAATTTTCAGGTGTGGATTCTGGTCTTTGTCAACATGGCAGTTGTCCAGGGACCATTGACGCTGGGGCTGCATTGCTCGGAGCTCATCGCAAATGCCATTCGAGACGAAAGACAGTGGAGATGCGCTACCAGCAGGAAAGGACTTAGCACGGCGACAAACCCGGTGAAGACGATTTTCACTCATTCGATCTGTCTCATACTTTTCGTCGCGAAGCCTTTCCTACGTGAGTCATTCACGTCTAGTATCTTTTATAGGTGTTATTGAACACCATACTCGACGATCACAGACTGGATGTTCGGGCTTTCATTCACCATATATAACGCCGCAATTGACGGGGAACTAGATGGGTCGTTTGTAATCATGTTCACAGCCCAGGTTCGCACTTACTGCCTACATAAACCTGCCACGATGTCCTCACACCCACGTGCAGATCTGGAACTTGTGCATAGCGCTGTTTATATTTGCCTGTTTCTTTACTTTTGTCGCACTGCGCCGACCGCGGGGCCCCCAGCCGGCTGCATACGGCCACCTCCAGACGCTCGCAAACCTCGTGGACGAGTGGTCGCCTGTGATGTGGTGGGGACACAAGGAAGACGGAATCCCGTACTGTCATGCTGGTAGGGTACTTATATGCTCACGATGATGCTGCATTGACATTTTACACAGGGACGAGCGATCACCCGCTGCCGGATGTGAAGATGGACTGCGTTTATGCAGGTTCTGGTGCCGGGTCTCTGGTACTCTCGTGAGAGGTACTTGCTTTTCTTTTTCAAAGGGCATTTCTTGATTTCTCTTGTAAACATAGGAGCTATATCCACATCAGGCTGGCAATGTATCCATGGTGCACACAACCAGCCATGCCGCTGAGCGAGACATATACCGTTTTTCTGCTGTCTGCTGCGTTGCAAGTAGTTTGTCTTGTTCTTATACTATTCATATCTGGGACGACTTTAGTAGAAACACGTTCAATTCGACCTTCAAGCAATTGCTGAATCGTTGCGATTTTTTTCTGATTTTATGTCTATTCATAGCGAGACTCTATGTAGGACAGTACTATCTCGTTCTGGACAGGATAAGTTCGATTAAGGTAGACCTTCCAAACCAAGTCTTTACACTGTCAGTAATACAACATACTGCCCCATGGCATGACCAAATGTCTTAACTCGATCGCAAGCTCGAATCATATGTTGCTCACGAGCTGAATATTTCGGATCACATGCTTGAGTCGACCTTGTTTGGTCCTTGTGTAATCGAAGGCTCCGAGGAGTGCCAGCTTCAAGAACATACGACTAGCCACACCTGCAAGACACTTCAAAGCTTCATGCTCTAAGTCACTTGTTTTCAATGCTCCACTTGGCACGAAGGTGCACTGTCATCATAGTCACCAGCGAGGAACCAACTTATCGCAGCCCGTGTTATGCTGTCGTAGCCAACGTGATTCACGCTGAAGCACAGTTGATGTCGTTGATGTCGCCACGTTGGTAGAAACGCTCGAGAAAGGCCGGGTGCCCGTCCCCTAGCTCCGAGGCTCGTCTATTGAGGCTTCAGAAAATTCGACAGAACGACAAAGGACACGGAGGAACAAGGATGGGCGGAACGGTGGAATAAGAATTGGGGATATCGGGATATCGGGATATAAAGGGACTCTGAGTGAAATTTCGGTGAGTGAGATTCGGAGCACTTACTGGACTGATCCATACTTATACTGAGCGCTGTCGATACTAGTGACTTTTGAATGACCTTCATCATGGTTAACACGTTTCCGGAATTCGGACCCATTGTAATCTTCTCGGTGTTGCAACGTTGTATATTCAGTTTTATTTTTCACACTCAACAGGCGTGTTAATGTTGTCAAGAGGACCTGCAGTGACGCTGAGAAAGGTGGTATTACTAGTCATAAGTTTCATCTATGCATCATGATGTCAGTTAGTATTAACTTAATCGATGCGCGACAGGCCTCGGGCACTACCATGACCGGCTAAGGCCAACTAAGTGAAGGTCGTGGATTCTGGAATAGACTCGGACCCCTCAAATTACACCAGTACTTCCTTTTGCGAATGATTGTTGGATGCTGGGGCCATCATGGGTTCAGCCATGATGAATCCCCGTGCCTCTACCGAAAGCTGTGTACGGCACAAAATGCAACTCGTGTTTCTCAGCTTGTGGGTTGCCCAATTTGCCATTGATCTCACTTTGCGCCAGCATAACTTGTTGCTAATTCTTTTCATAGACCTGGAACTTGTACATGTCTAGGCAGTCCGAGTAGGCTAATGATAGCTAACGATGGGAAGACTATGGTGGTATGTGACACGATTCGAACTTCCAAAGCAGTGTTCCATCATCCTTCTGGCACTGTGAGGCTGTGTTTGAAAGGTATGCTCCCACTTGCATACTTATCTGCGCAGAAGCTATAAAGTCCGAATCACATAACAGATCTAGATCTATGCCATTCATTGGTCTCGTGTCCTTTTGTGGCTGCAGGATATATAGTACGGCGCAAACGTTGCTTTACTTGGAATGGGCTCAAGCCCCAGTCAGCATTAATGTCTTCCGCAACGCAGGACCTCATTCCACAACTTTACCTCGGGAACACATTTGGAGCACTGTTTATTGGGGTCGTCTTTGCAGCAATGTTAGTAACCTACCTGCTCGCAAAGCTTAGGGCTTCATCGAGTCTTGTCGTCCTAACATATTTCACGGAACAGTCTCTTTGGTCTAAGTAACATTCAAGCTTTTTTCTACTTTCAGACGCACAGGGACACAGGGATGTCGTTCCCTAAGCTAACTGTACGTTGATGCTTCCTTCCCTCAGTTCGGTTGTTGATGCTACATTAGGTCGCCTGGCTTTGGTATGTATACTCTTCAGTTGCCATTGTCGAGCGCAGCGAGTTTACGCCCTTCCTTGAAATTTTAGGATACTCGATGCTCTACACCTGTTCTTGATAGTGCACTGTGTCTATTATTACTTAGTGGCCCACTACGCGGATATGAGTGCACTCACAGAAATTGTGTGGAGTTTCAAAGTGAGTTGAGTTTGGGCCTCCGCGCGGCCTCTACTATGATACTGACGGACTCGCGCAGCTTCAAATAGTCATCGTTGTAAGTGGTTTTTTTCAATGCACTGCAATCTGCCCACGCATCCATTGCAGGTTATAATTGTCTACGGGGTACATCTGTAAGTTGGAAGTGTACTATTATCTACGACTTGAAGGATTCAAGTGATGCTTTTATTGGTTTGCAGTCTGTACTTTCATCGCATATGGATAGGTAGGTGTTTCCATATCGAGCCAATGAGTCTCTACGATTGATGCAATGTACCAGTCGGAACGGGCCGATCAAGAGTTCTTCCTATAGCAGTGGTGGGTTTAAATCGATGATCATGTATTATAGCATGGATTTTGATGATGCAATATTAGGGCGTTATCGTAACTTTGGGTTCAGGTGAGTTCATGTTTGGTATTCCTCTTCGCTCGGTCTTGAAAATTTCTTAAGGTGTTGCCATCGGTGGGAGTTCAAAACCTCGGCACTTTTGACAATGGTTGGCTCATCATTGTAATCCAACGACAGCCCTTATTTGGGCCATGTGAGTGAAACAACGTGCTGCCTAACTATACGAATTACTGATAGCGAGTAGCTATCAGTGCCATGTGTTCTCAGATCTGACTAACATCGAGTGGGCGACATTTCTGGCCCTGGGCACGATTACCTTTGTCGATTTCATTATCGCATCATCGCTATGCTATCTTCTCGCTACTTCCCGGACTGGATTCTCTAGGTAAGGAGCGGTCTGCTCATGCCGAGCGACCTGATATACCAACATGAAGTACTTAGCACCGATTCCATGATAACAAAGCTCATGGCTTACATTATCAACACGGGCTGTCTGACGAGGTATTCCTCCTTCCAGACTAGTCCACATCTTGACTTATATTCCATGTAGCATGTGTTCACTGACAGTTATGATTACAGTAAGCTTCCAATGATTGTACTACCCATCTCATCTCTGAGATGCTTCCAGTGCGCAGTGATGCCGCACAATTTCATTTTCCTCGGCGTTGATTTTTTGGTGGCTGGATGTATGACCCAAAGTGTTCTCAAAATGTTATGCTGACCACTGGTTCCTTTTCAGTATACGTCAACTCATTCTTCGCACTCCTGAACGCGCGACACTACTTCCAGCCCGCCACAGAAACTAACCATTTCTCTGAAGTCCACATGCGCCATGACATCTACCACCCAGAGCTGAACGTTATGGCGTCCCAAGAGGAGGAATTACAGGGATCCTGGAAAAATATATTTAAACATCTTGGCCGATCTGCCATGGTTAGTAGTTGCGTTACTGGCGATGGAAGAGCACTGACTGTCACGATTTAGCCACATCGGCCCATTGAGGTGACGGTGGAGACGAATTCATTCTCATCAGTGTGATGTATCAGTACTAGTATGCATGTATCATGTATCGTCCGCCTGCAATCATCGCTGCATTGTCTGTATTGAATTTCAAACCCTGTGAATTGATCAGCATATTGAAACGCTAACCTGTGCATAATTACAGCGAGGAGGAATGGAGCGATATGCACTCATCAGAGCTGTACTCATCCAGTGCTGCTCGGAGCCTACGGAAACTGAGCACGAGATAGAAAATCGAGCTTTAGAAACTCGCCTTTCGCGTAAAAAGATGTTACTGGCGACCCCGCCGAACGACGACATCCCTGACACTCGCCTTTCAGCTCGAGATTTTGAAAGCTCAACATAAGCTTGGCACAGAGTTGACGGGCCGCGGCTGTCTGGAATACACGAGTCAAGGCAATTTTATGTGAACTGGATAGAGGTTCGTCCGCGAGAGAAATGTAGCGGTCTACTGAAGATTGCAGGGATGCAAAGGAAAAGACAAATTTTCCCGGCATCGGCACGGTGAACGGTTGAATGTCGGGTAGGGATTCCAGTTCATCGTTTGTCATGCGGCAGAGCTCCTCTAGTGCTGTACCAGGGCATCTGGTTCTCCAGGACAGGCCAAGTGCTCGAGCTGCCTTGTCAAACGCATGTCCAATACTCCCGTCTGCTGTTGTTGCAAGGATCTGGAATGAGGTAAGAGATGAAGCTAAAAGTAGAAGCGTATGGCCTCCAGAGATGAGCAGTGTCAAGAAAGGAAACTGCGGGAGATCTGCGGTTGGAGTTGCGAGCCGGCAGAAGATATGAAGTCTTGCAAGGATCAGGTAAACTCACATCCATCTATCAGCAATTCATTCAAAGATAACTTAGTGTTCGTTAACGCTCAGTAATCATTAACCTTGCCGTGGCACTTGTGCACACGAAAGACGGCTGATTGTATACAACAGTGAACTCAAGGATGAAAAGTTGTGTGACCACATACTGTTTCATCGTTCCATCAGATCGTTCTTGGTGTCCGGTCTAGACCTCTGCTTTTAGATAAGGAGGTAGAACAATTCTTACTCCGAGTCGTTCTTTCGGGTCACACTAGTCACTGCATATTCACGAGGCGTCACAGGTTGGTTGGTTGTGCAAGAGCCCTATGTATTAAGTCAGTTTGTTCCTCATGATCACTAGATAGACCACTTCAACTGTAGACACCATTGTCGCCTTCGATCGTTAATGGGCTGTTTCACCTTGAACGTCAGCCTTGTGCAGGGCGTTACATAAGTAAAAACAAGAATTTCTGTCGAAGTGAGTATGCCCAACATTCTATGTATAATCACAATCCATCATTTCTATATCAATCAATTTAACTGCGGACGCAAAGAAACACCTACTACATTCTCTCCAAAGGCCTAATGCTCAGAAGCCGCATCGCAGCACCTAACACATCCCTCGCGCAAAGGTAGAGCCACAGCCTCGCGCGAGCTTTCTCAGTATCTTCTTCTCCTTTGACGATGAGCGTCTCCCAGGCGCTTGAAATCGCATGAGCAAGGCGGAAAGCGAAAGTCACTACGCCACTAGGCTCGTGCGTCTTCAATGCAGTCTTCACGACGTCGGGGTAGGATCCTAGGAGGATAGCGATGTCGCGTGCATGTTGGGAGGAAGCGAGAGAGGAAGTGTCAATCTGGGATGGAGGTGGCAGTGGGACGAGCTCGGGATTTTTCCGCTCCATGGAGGTGAGCCGGACATGTGCATATTGCAAATATGGTCCGGTATCGCCCTCAAAGGAAAGCATGCGGTCCCAGTTAAAGGTATAGTTATTGATCCTGGTAGTGGATGAGCTACAGCATTCGATGAAACAATGTCACTCACCGCTTGGCAGCCATGTCCTGGATCTTGATTCCCGTGATGCCCACTTCTCGAGCGACCATCTCAGGGTCTTCGATGTTGTTGTACTTCACCTCGTTCCGTTTCATCTGCTCGTGCATGACTGACGAGGCTTCGCGGATGATCTGATCCAAAAAAACTGCGGTTCCCTTCCGAGTGCTCATGCCGAGCACCAAGCCGTAGTTAACGTGCTCAAGGCGGTCTGCCCATGGGAAGTCCATCAATGATAGCATCTTGAAGAACTGCGACAGGTGCAGGTCCTGCTGTGATGCGACGACATAAATCATCTTGTCGAAATGATATTTCTCCCATCGTTCTATGGCACCGCCAAGGTCACGGGTGAGATATATTGAGGTGCCATCTACGCGTGGAGATCAAGAATGTGTATGAGGTAGTTAGTTTTTGCAGACTTACTAGCTTTGCGGAGTACCGCCTTTCCGAGTTTCCATCTTTCGAGATCGACGAGTTTAGCACCGTCAGCGTCACTGATGAGACCCATTGTTTCGAGGCGTTCGAGAGCCCGATCCTGCCACTCTTTGCCGACCTCACTCTCTCCCGTGTAGACTTTGAATGAGACGTTTAGTCGTTCGTATTCCTCGGTGTACTTTTTGACGCTCATCTCCCGCCACACTCGCCAGTTCGCAAGCGCAGACTCGTCGCCATCCTCCATCCGCTTGAACCATTTGGCGGCTTCGAGTTTGACGTTCGGATCCGAATCGGCGTCCTTCGAGACTTTAACGTAGACGTCGTACAGGTGTTTGATCGCGTCTTTTTCGAGCTCCTTCTGTGAGCCGTATTTTTCGAATCCGGTGGTGATCATACCGAACTACCAAATCAGATTAGCTCTCAGAAATAAGCAAAAAAAAAAAGCTCACTTGAGTTCCCCAGTCGCCCAGGTAGTTGAGCGATATTACTTCCCATCCGCATGCTTTATATAGATTATCTAAGAACGCGCCTATAATCGTGCTTCGAAGATGCCCAACGTGGAATGATTTGGCGATATTGGGGGACGAGTACTCGATGACGAGTTTCTTGCCGGTGCCAGAGGTGTTTGTACCGTATGACGCGTTGCCCGTGGGGCTGTCGTAGGTAAGGGTGTGGATCTGGTTCAGGACTTCGCGGATGAGGGAAGCGGTGTTGAGTTGGAAATGGAGGAATTGCTTGTCGTGGGTTATTGATGAGATGAAGTCATCAGGTTGGAACTGGCAGAAAAAAATATCAGAAGCTATGCTCGCAACGCGAAAGGATAACATTTAAAATATTGATCAACTCACGTCACTTGTAACTTTCTGTGCTAGGTCGTTAGGCTTGCCCGGTAGCCTGAACCGGGGAAGGGCAACCGTGAAATCTACACCCTTCTTTCCATAATCGACACCGGTATAAGCCTGCTCGAGGGTAAGCGGCGGCAGCGCATCCGATATGCGTTTTGCGATAGCAATACGGAAGGCATCTAGAATGCAGGACGATGGATCTGTACCTAAAACAGAAGGTAAAGATGAAATCATCGTTGTAATATGTCTCACGTAGGAGTTGATCCTGGGGACGATAGTAGTGGTACTGGGGAATCTGATTAGGTACGCCACGGTCACTGGTTTAAAGTTTTGAAATGACTTAGTATTGATTCATATCGCTGAAGAACATCTTGAGACAAGTGACAAACAACGCCAAATCAATACGGAGAACCAACTTCTCCTTCAGCTGACCCTTACTCAGATGCGTACAATGCACCAGCACTCGCTACCACTACATCAGAAACCAGAGACCAGGACGCCGGCCCATCACGCGGTCGTTCTCGTTCGAGAAGTCCGCAGCACCGGTTACCTTAGTCCTCCCTCAAACGCGTAGGTCTCCGCCTCCTAAAGGCCAATACATGCTCCAATTGTGCGTTCCACATATTCTCATGTTTTGCAAGGCGCTTATAGGGCAAAGAAGGCGCCCAACCCGTCCCAAGTTTTGGGGTCTTCGGTTTAAGTATTAGGACACAAGAGCGGGATTTAGACGAGTTCTCTCGCTTCGGAGGAGTCGAAAAAGTTACAATCGTTTGCGACCAGTCGTGGTTTCGGCTTTATAAGAATGACCAGCACTGAAGAAGCTACTCGCTGCATTCAGGAACTCAAGGGAGTTGTACGTTTTCCCTTCATGTGTATGCTTTCCTTGCTGATCTCCTTCATATGAACTGAATGGATGTCGCATTCGGGTGCACTATTCTGTCTCGCACGCACCAACCCCTGGCGAGTATATGGGACATCGTCGCTCGACTAGGGACACCTACTCAGGCTCAGGCCGCGACTCTTACCACCGCGACTCATCGTGACCACGATTATCGCCGTTCCGATCGCGATAAGGATAGGGACCCCTAGGGTCGTCACGGCCGCGATTGGCGCGATCGTCGCAGCCCTCGTCTAAAATTTTAGGTACTGGTGCGGTGAGCTCCTCCAACCAGGCTGAAAACGGTAGTCGTTGGTGATAGTTCAGTTGTCGGCGGAAACCATCTCGAATATATGCCAGCCGTGGTCCTTTGTTTCAGTTATCGATGGGCGAAAGCATGGACAAGAGGTCTCGTTCGTACAAGCACAAGTGATTGAAGAGGTTCATGGCGGTCATCCTCCAGCAAGCCTCAAGTTGGCAATGTTCTCGTTACTTCCCTATCTTGAAGAAAGCAAGACATGGTTTCCGCGTTCGCTATTTCAGACAGAAAACCGAGTTCAAAGTTCATTTCGTCCTCGACTATTGGCCTGTATCCGTTTCGCATTTCATATCGCTCTACTACTTTGTTCTACACTATCAACTTTCACTTCCGCAAAGAGTGGTAAGTCCCGAATTACGACTGCAAGAAAGATCAGGCACAATAATCTGCGCGTAGCGATTCAGCATATGCAGCCAAGGGAATGTTAGCAGGCTTGTGGAAGGCTTCACAAACCAGGCTGAGCGGAACTTCCGCCTACTTATCTTGAACAACTCGTTCTGACATTAATGATTGCTCAATCAGGAGGCTTGGCATGTATTGCGTTGTCAATCAAGAAGCAATTGCCAAGTGCATTTTGTGCAGGCGTTTGATGAAACGCAACGCTTCGTTGTCGAGAATCTCACGAACTCGTAGCGAAAAGTTTCGTCGCTACGCCGGATTCGAGTTATTATCGATCGTCAAAATGCAGCGCTTCTACTAGTTAATCACCAGGGCATGCGGCGTTGACCCCAACAGTCAAGAACAGGAATAGCATCAACACAAAGTAAAATCATATACATTTCACCATCACGGGCGCGATAGCTATCCTTGAACTCCGATTCGAAGCCCCCTCCCTCTGGATATCTATTGGTACGTATAATACACTACCATACAATCTCGCTATAATTGTACAACAAAGTACTTACTAGTACAAAACAGTGTCCGTCAGAAAACTTTTGAAGGTGATATATCAGAAATTATTAGACCTGATGGATAGCGGTCCCACCCGTAGGGACAAGCAAACGACCCTCGGGTCCATGGACAATTTCAACAAATGCGAAATGGCATAACTCTGAGTGTCTGATATGCGCACGAAGGAGGTCGCGACGGCATTTCACAACTCCGCATATGGAGCTGGCCGCTTCGTTCTACTCGAAAGAAGAAGGCCTCTGGATCCACGTTTAAAGTATCGAGAGGCATAAGGATGTCTGAAGGATGGAAGGATTTACCATACTGTAGGTCAGCACTGTTCTTTTGGAGACGGATGCCAGACCGTGACACACCAGAGGGATGAAGAGTGCGGCAAAATAAGAGAAGTAGAGTGTTTTGAGTGTTATGAAAAGCTTACCCTCGAATTGAAGGGAATTTAAAGGTCTACCTGCTTGGCATTCTTCCCGCCAACAACACGTAGCAGGAATTACATAGCAGGATAAATGTAGCTGTGCATATAACGCGATCGTGTCTGTAGATCTAGAGGCAGCGCGTCTGTAGATCCAGAGGCACGCGTCCTAAAATATATCATTCGAGACTTCTGTCGAGAATTTCGGTAACCTCAAACTTGGCTCAAATCGAAGAGCTGTATTCCCTCACCTATAGCTAACTACGGGCGAGAGCGGTACCCATGGTTCAAGTTGTCGTCACAGTTCAAACGTTCACTTTAGGCATACTTACTAGTACTGACTCCAAAATTTAGAACCGACCAAGATCCAATAGATAACACTGGCTGTAGAATATGGGCGCAACCATCTGCGCGGGAAGTGAAAAGGACGCAGAAGCCAGCATCAGAATCAGATGGTTGCTCATTTCAAGGTCGTACACGAGGTAACCCTAGGACAGGATTTTGATTTATGTAAATTAATTACGCAACCATTGCTAAGCACCGCTGCTGCATCACTCTCTACTCACTTGGAACGACACTAATTATAAATACAGCGTCATGCCACCGTGTTTTCATCACATCATACACCAGAGGCTATGGTCATAAGTGAAATACATTTAATCTGAGTGTCCATAATGCGCACATGCACCGTTCGTTCAAGTTCTCCGTTCCAACAGGTTTCTTTCATTCTGGCATCCCCAGAACGAGCTCTCCTCAGATCCTGAGTCCAAAGACTGAGGTGAGTATTAGCATTTACCGATACATATTTTCATTCTCATTACCTACATAGTTCTCCTTTCGTTTCTACTAGGTATGCACTGCCGTAGTAGGCTACGAGTCTCTCAATCCAAAGACTGAGTTATCCTTTCGCTTCTAGTCTGAGCCTCTCTTCATTCGAGACTGGCCTTCCTGTCTCTGCCTCCCATGGCAGCTTCTTCCAAACCGACACATGAAAGTTCGCATTCATATGACACACTCCCGAATGACCAGGACTTTGACTCGATGATATCTGATGCGATGTCCACTGCTGATACTAGAACCGACTTCTACGACCGCAGTCTGACGAGTCGCAGATATGCCCTTGTCGGAGTGGCATGCTCAGGTATCTTCAGCTGCTTATGCATCGTTGCAGGCATTGTCACTTTAGCCAATCACGGAGTCATGGGAGTAGCCGCGGCCAATCTTCATATAATAGACAATACTCAGTTGTCCATTCAGGAGATACCCACCCTGACACTTAACTTAATCGTCACGTTATGCACCGAGTCCATAGGCCTCATACATGGCATCTCATTGCGCTCTGCGCTAGCCTCAGAATCTCGGCTTCATTTCAACACTAATCTGCGCCTCCTGACCACAGCTCGTGGGTGGTATAACCCTAACGGCGTCCTGCTTAACGGTATCTCGGCTATCCTCCTCATTATATCCTACAGCTCAGCCTCACTCGTTGTATGTTCTGCCACCTTTCAAATAGGGGCCAGAAGTAAAAGGGATAGTAACATATGCGGATTCCGGTATTGCCATCGTAGGGATGCCTCTCCTCTTTCTGGGCGTCGCACTCCTCCTCCAGGTGATGATCGCATTATCAGGGATGCGGGCTGTCAAAATATTGACGTGGAGCTCCTCACCTTTCGACTTGACTGCCGCACTTGTCCACCATACGCAATTGACCCCTGCTACTTTGCGGTGCATGCGTGGTGTGTCTGACCTAGACACGCATGGAGGTCCAGCGAAGCCATCAGGAATGCAGCCCTCTGCGTGGCATGCCCACCCTAGCATTCGGAAAGTTGTTGTTTCTCTCTGGTTGATCGTTGCAGCATGCGCTGGATGGGCCGCACTCGTCATGTATATTTGGGACAAGTATATGAGACGAGATATCCCCCCGCTAACCTCACAAACGTGGACGTTGTCCCCCTACAATATGTCCAATTGCATCTTGTATATCATGCCGGGTGTCAATCTTGAGTGGTGGATTCTGCTTTTTGTCAACATGGCAGTTATCCAGGGACCATTGACAATTGGGCTGCATTGCTCGGAGCTCATCGCGAATGTCATTCGAGACGAAAGGCAATGGAGATGCGCTACCGGAAGGAAAGGACTTAGAACCTCGATGAACCCGGTGAAGACGATCTTCGCTCATCCGATTTGTCTTGTACTTTTCATCGCGAAGCCTTTTCTGCGTGAGTCATTCTGGTCTAGTACCTTTTATAGGTGTTGTTGAATATCATCCTCGACGATCACAGACTGGATGTTTGGGCTTGCACTCAACATAACCGAAGATTCCATTCGCGGGAAAGTATCAATTTATGGTATATACATGTACACTGCCCAGGTTCGCACTTACTGCATATATATAACTGCTACAACATTCTCACATTCTCGTGTAGATCTGGAACTTATGCATAACGCTGTTTATATTTGCCTGCTTCTTCACTTATGTCGCACTGCGCCGACCGCGTGGTCCTCAGCCGGCTGCATACGGCCACCTCCAGACGCTCGCCAACCTCGTGGACGAGTGGTCGCCTGTGATGTGGTGGGGACACAAGAAGGACGGAATCCCGTACTGTCATGCTGGTAGGGTACTTATATGCTCACAATGATGCTGCTTTGACATTTTACAAAGGGACGAGCAACCACCCACTGCCAGATGTGAAAATGGACTGCGTCTATGCTGGGTCCGATGCTGTGTCTCTGGTACTCTCGTGAGAGGTACTTGCTTTTCTTTTCCCAACGGCATTTCTTGATTTCTCTTTTTAAATAGAGGAACTATATTCACATCAGGCATTCATGGTGCACACAATCAGCAATGCTGTTGAACGAGATATATACCATTTTTCTGCTGTCTGTTGCGTTGCAAGTAATTCGTCTTGTTCTTATACCATTCACATCTGGGACAACTTTTAGCAGAGACACGTTCATTTCGACCTTCAAGCAATTGCTGAAACGTTGTGAATTTTTTTTTTTCCGATTTCCCGTGAGATTCTACTATGTAGGACAGTATTATCTAGTCTTGGAGGGTTGTGATCTTGGTCGATGACACGTCGTATAGTTGACTTGCAAAATTATACTTTAGACTGTTCCGCCCGAAGTGAGCACCATAATCTAGGATTCAAATATTTACCAGACACGAACGTGTTCAGTATAAACATCCGGACTCTAACGACCATTCTCCAAAATGCCTGTGCTCGCTGCTCCGCCACTGAGGTGAAACGAAACCCTCCTGAAAAATATCGTCTCCGACTCTCCGAGCTCAGTATGACACTGCTGGTGTTTCCCAGAAGTTTTCAGTAGGCTAGCTGTTGTGTAGTGTATATTATGCTCAGTTGGATCTCAAATCACTATCCTCGGCAACTAAAGTGCGGTTTCATCAAGTTCAGGCACCATTGGAAGATCCTTCATTGCAGATGACAGTCTGCAGATGGTGATCTACGAAGTGCTACATAGGCACGTACAGAATTCTACATAGCCTTTCTCGCGCCTCGCTGATGGCATCCCCGCCCTTCCTGCGTCTCGACGACATCAATCCCATCCCACCCTTCCGCTGATGACATCCCTACCTGTCTCACAAAATGCGGGTAAGCCACCTGCAATCATGAACAGCCTTATTTTACGGCGGTGGTCTAGTAGTAAGCATGTACAAAAATACTAGAAAAACCAAAGGAATCGGCATGAAAAATGTGCAACCGCTCACAGTAGCGAAAGCACGCCGTTTTGCACCATACAGACCAGTCCTCGTAGCAAGAGTGGACCAGAGGGGACATCGGATGGCAGAATTGCTGCGCGATGCCAATAACGTGGGGATTCTAGCCCTCCTCTCCTTCGGCTTGCAGTCCTGACTTCCATCCTCACAAACCTCCTAGGCTGTATAGTCGGCTCTGGGAGTTGCTGAGGTTGAGTGATGGTGGGAGTGGGCGATACTGTGCGTGGATACTGGTGGTAGTTGAAAATGTGCGCCGGGTTTGTAGATTCGAGTGGCACATGTGGGCAGTGCTGGAGGTGCGGTTAGGTGAAGAAATGCTGAAATGTACGGTCGGGTGTGGTTTGGTGAATGGATGGTGCTAGGTGCAGATTGGAGGCGCTGCTGGGCACGGGAAGCACCATCGAAACGATAAGCAGTAGAAAGACGTCGGAAGATGCTGTGGACAGGTGTGGGTGCAGCAGGATGTCGCGTCGTCACGGTAGGGCATGGACATCAGAGGGTGCGGCAAGTAGAATGTGAGAGTACCAGATGCAAAAACTTGAAAGACCTACCATGGCTACTCATTCAACTCTACCTCTTTCACCCGTCTGTGCACACCATTGACCACCTTTACAAAGTGCGGAGACAGATCCTAGACGCCTTAAGTGAAAGCATGGCGATGCAGGGGGGATTAAGTATACCTCCCATGACCGCAGGGAAAGCAAGCATTGACATCAGCACTTCCAGATGCTAAGGCAGGAGACACTGGCAAATTGTCAAAGACTGTGGTTCTGCCACTCATTGAAGGGCTCAACTGGTGTATCACAGAGCTGGATAGTGACTAGCATATAATTAGTTAGAAGGCAATCATCGTCCTCGCGCAAGCCTGGACCAATAATACAGTCACATAGCAAACACCGCACATAAGCAGAACAAACAAAGTACATACAGTAGGTACTGTCCAGCATAGGGCTTCGCCCCACCGGACAATAAACAATGATTCAAAATATATATATATATAATTAGTTCATTTTCAGTGGGAAGAGAGTCATACGCACTCAAAAAAACTGATGGTGAGAACCCAGACTCAGCCGTGCGTGGTATAACTAAAATATTCATAGGGCATGAGTTGTACAACGATGATATAACGTACTGCAAGGAATGGGCTTAATCTTCATCACTATCCTCGCTGGATGATGTATCGTCTTCATCCGCACTGAGTTGACCGCCTGCGAATTGACTGACTGACATGGGTCGTCCAGAGACACTCGCCACTGATTCAAGATCTGGAGACATTACCGCCATCAATATATCATCGTCAGATTCTTCTTCGAGTTCTGCATCCATCTCCCGCCCGAAGGCGTCAAGATCTATCTCTTCTTCCACCAGATCATTGTGGGTGACTTCATCCCAGTCTTCTTCAGAGTCCGATTCTGCTGCTGCAGGCTTTGTGGGAGGAGCAGGAGGCACGAAAGAAGACGTTGTTCCTGGCAAGGCTAGTCCGGTTGACACAGGCGGCTTTGGACGTTTTGAAGGGCGACCGGGGCGATCAAAATCAAGAACCTCTTCTAAGTCGGAATCTTCTCTATACAAATTGGTTTCTCTCTTCGCCTTCAGCACTTCCTTGGGTTTGGGTTTTGGCTTCGGTTCGGGCTCGTGCTTTTTGGAGGTGGAGCAGCAGGGCGAGGCGCTTTAGGTTTTGAAGGTGGCGGAGGTAGCGAAGGAGCTTCACGAGGAGGTATTTCAATCTCTTCGCCCTCTTCGCCCTCCTCTTCCTCCTCTTCCTCTTGCCTTTGCCCCGTGACCTTCGCCAAAATGTCATCGATATCATCCACGACCTCACCATTAGCATCTGAGAGCCCTAAAAGATCACGTTCTAGCTCTTTCTCCAAATCTACCGCGTTTTTAGGCTGTGCTGCAGGGGGAGTTGTTGCAAAGGCTGGAAGTTACCGAGCATGAATGACGATACCCGATCAAGCACTGGGTAGACGGCTTACGAGACTTTCGAGTAAAGCTGGAGCTGGAAGAAGAGACTTTCTTGTCGTATGTAAAGCCCATGAAGCACTCTACCTTTTCAAGAGTGAATGTCTAGAGCAGTGACACAAGCTAGATCCAACAAAATACAAGAGAAAGGTTACTCACTCTTACTAGGTTCCTCATCATAAATTGAAACACAATCATACTCCCTCACCGGCTGTTCAGTCCCATTGAAAAGATGGTTCTCATCTGCCCAGCAAAATCATCAACGGAGGCTCTGAAAGCTGAACATGGCACAATGCGCCATACCTATGTGCTAGGGCATTCTAAAGTGACGCTGGTCAAATCTTTCCTGCGTTTGACTTCGACCGTTCCAGACCTGGCCCCTGGGTTCTATTAACTCTGGCTTGAAATTATCTGCCCCGTGTCTTTCAGCACGCTCAGAAACTGACACCTGAAGGAGTAGAAATCCTTGTCGGGGAGATTAGCGCGCTTCGGTGGAGCTATCATCTATGCCCTTGCGGGCTTTGAGTGCGCGCCTTAGTGAAGTTCCTATTGCTACTGAATGTCGGCCTGTTATGGGCATCCATCGGGTATCTGTAGTCGCACTCGCGTGTCGAGGCTTGACCAGGAGGTGAACGGAAAGACTTGGATCAATAATAATAATTTAATGCTTGCGCGGGAAGTGGCAAGGACACAGAGACCAGTATCAGAATCAGATGCTTGCTCATTTCAAGGTCGCACACGAGGTAACCCTTGATTCAAGTGGCCGTGAGAGTATTACTCAGCACAACCACTGCTTACTACACCGCTCTTGGCGCATCATTCGCTTGCCCTGTTTTAATGCCTATAGCCTGATAAATACCGCACCATGCTACATACCGTGTTTCCATCACAAAGTCACATCATACACCAGATGCTATGGTCATAAGTGAAATACATTTAATTAATCTGTGTGTCAATGATGCGCACATGTGCCGGTCGTTCTCCGTTCCAACAGGTCTCTTTTATTCTTGCATCCCCAGAACGATCTCCCCTCAGTTTCTGAGTCCAAAGACTGAGGTGAGTATTAGCATTTACCGATACATGTTTTCATTCTCACTACCTACATAGTTCTCCTTTCGTTTCTAGGTATGCACTGCCGTAGTAGGCCACGAGTCTCTCAATCCAAAGACTGAGTTATCCTTTCGCTTCCTTCTAGTCTGAGCCTCTCTTCATTAGAGACTGGCCTTCATGTCTCTGCCTCCCATGGCAGCTTCTTCCAAACCGACAGATGAAAGTTCGCATTCATATGACACCCCCCCGAATGACCAGGACTTTGACTGGATGATATCTGATGCGATGTCCACTGCTGATACTAGAACTGATTTCTACGACCGCAGTCTGACGAGTCGCAGATATGCCCTTGTCGGAGTGGCATGCTCAAGTATCTTCAGCTGCTTATGCATCGTTGCAGGCATCATCACTTTAGCTAATCACGGAATCTCGACAGTAGCTGTGGTCAACCTGATCAATCCTGACAAGTATGTTCAGTTGTTCCTGCAGGAGGAGATGGTGCCTCTGGCATTTAACTTAATCGTCACGTTATGCACCGAGTCCATAGGGTTCATACACGGCATCTCATTGCGCTCCGCGCTAGCCTCAGAATCTCGGCTTCGTTTCAACACCAATCTGCGCCTTCTGGCCGCAGCTCGTGGATGGTATAATCCTAACGGCACCCTGCTGAACAGCATCTCGGCTGCCCTCCTCATTATATCCTACAGCTTGGCCTCATTCGTTGTATGTTCCGACTTTCAAATACTAATGGCACCCATAGAGGTGGAGGGTATCAGTATTGCCATCGCAGGCTTACCTCTCCTCATTTTGGGCGTCGTACTCCTCCTCCAGGTGATGATCGCATTGTCAGGGATGCGTGCTGTCAAAATATTGACGTGGAGCTCCTCACCTTTCAACTTGACCGCCGCACTGGTCCACCACACGCAATTGAACCCTGCTACTTTGCGGTGCATGCATTGTGTGTCTGACCTAGACACGTATGGAGGTCCAGCGAGGCCATCAGACATGCAGCCCTCTTCGTGGCATGCCCACCCTAGCATCCGGAAAGTTGTGATTTCTCTTTGGGTGATCGTTGCAGCATACGCTGGATGGGCCACACTCGTCATGTATATCTGGGACAGGTTTCATCATCCCGACTCGGCAGAAGTGTTGGGGTCCGGCAGTGCTCTGACCCTACAAACGTGGTCGTTCTTACCCAATGGGGTCGAGGACAGTTTCATCGAGTATAGATTATGGGGTAGCAATCTTGAGGTGTGGACTCTGCTCTTTGTCAACATGGCAGTTGTCCAGGGACCGTTAACACTTGGGTTGCATTGCTCGGAGCTCATTGCGAATGTCATTCGAGACGAAAGACAGTGGAGATGCGCTACTGGAAGGAAGGGACTTAGAACGGCGACGAACCCGGTAAAGACAATTTTCATCCATCCAATCTGTCTCGTACTTTTCGCCGCAAAGCCTTTCCTGCGTGAGTCATTCCTGTCTAGTATTTTTATCGATGTTATTGAACATCATCCTTGACGATCACAGACTGGATGTTTGGGCTTTCATTCACCGCAGTTAACCCCGCCATTGACGGGGAACTAGTAGAAGGAGGATTGACGGTAATCATTCACACTGCCCAGGTTCGCATTTACTGCCTATGTAAAACTGCTACGATATCCTCACACCATCGTGCAGATCTGGAACTTATGCATAGCGCTGTTTATATTTGCCTCACTCTTCACTTTTGTCGCACTGCGCCGACCGCGCGGTCCCCAGCCTGCTGCATACGGCCACCTCCAGACGCTCGCCAACCTCGTGGACGAGTGGTCGCCTGTGATGTGGTGGGGACACAAGAAGGATGGAATCCCGTACTGTCATGCTGGTAGGGTACTTATATGCTCATGACGATGCTGCGTTGACACTTTTACAAAGGGACAAGCGATGAGGGTCCGCTGCCGGATGTGAAGATGGACTGTGTTTATGCTGGTTCCGGTGCTGAGCCTCTGGTACCCCCCTCGTTAGCTTGCTTTGCTTTTTAAAGGGCATCTCTTTTTATACAGAGTTACATCCACGTCAGGCTGGCGATGCATTCACGGTGCACACAACCAGCCATGCCGCTGAGCCAGACATACACTGTTTTTCTGCTGTCTGCTGTGTTGTTATTCATCTTGACTTGCAATATTATATTTTAGACTGTTCCCCGAAGTGCGCACTATAACCTAGGATTCAAATGTTTAGTACTAGCGGTATTCAGTAGAAACGTTCGGACTGTAACAAACATTCATGTGCTCGCTGCTCCACCACTGGTGAAACGAAACCCTCCTGAAAAATACTGTTCCCGACTGTATCAGCTCAGTATGACACTGCTAGTGTTTCCCAGAAGTTCCCAGTAGGCTAGCTGTTGTGCAATGTATATCATCATGCTCGGTTCGATCTCAAATCTCTATCCTCGGCAACTAAAGGGTGGTTCTATCAAGTACCATTGGAAGATTCTTCATTGCAGATGGTAGTCTACGGATGGTAATCTACGAAGTGGCAGGCACGTAGAGAATTCTAGCCTTTCGAATCCCGCGCCTCGCTGATGGCATCCCCGCCCGTCTCATCAAATGCGGGTAATCCACCTCCAAATAATCATGAACAGCCCTATTTTATTGCAGTAATCTAGTAGTAAGCATGTACAAAATGACTAGAACGAAAAGAAGAACCGGAATGAAAAAATGTGCAACTGCGTTATGCACTATACAGTTCATTCAACCAGTCCTCATAGCAAGAGTGGACCAGAGGGGGCATTGGACGCTCCTCGATGCCAGCAACGTGACTGGTAAACACGGGTCCTAGCTCCTCCTCCCCTTCGGCCTGCAGTCCTGACCTCCATCTTCACAAGCCTCCTAGGTTGTATGGTCGGCTCTGGGAGTTGCTGAGGTTGAGTGATAGTTGGAATGGGCGATACTGTGCGTGGACGCTGGTGGTAGTTGCATAATATGCGCCAGGTTCGCAGACACTGTTGTTGTCAGACATTCGAGTGGCACATATGGACAGTGCTGGAGGTGCGGTTGGGTGAAGAAAAAGACGCTGGAAGGTACAGTTGGGTGTGGTTTAGTGGATTAGGGATGCTAGGTGCGGATCGAAGGCGCTGCTGGGTATGGGATGCGCCGTCGAAGCGATAAAGCAGCAGGAAGACATCGGAGGATGCTGTGGGCAGGTGTGGGGCAGCATGATGCCACATCGTCACCGTGGGGCATGGACATCAGCAAGTATAATGAGAGTAGCAGATGCAAGATATTGAGAGACCCACCATGGCTACTCATCCAAATCTGATGATTTCGCCCGTGCATGGCTCTCCTTCACAATGGATGGACAGGTCAGTGATATCTGGTAGAATGGATGTGTTCAGTCAGTCGCATGCAGCCAACCGAGTCTGGAAGAATTGAAAAGGATGTTGAGTCTTGACTCAAAGTCCATTGGACAACTTGGAGGTAGCGCGGGGCGACAGATGGACACTGGAGGGTAATAATTGTCGAAGACGACTGATTTGTACTGCTTCTGGAAAGTGAAGGAAGGTCGGTAGAGAGTGCGACAGTAGCCTACGTGTAGAGGTCACATTAGGCTCTTCTGTTGGTCCTTATCTTCATGCCTTCGAACTTCCAGTGCATGAGCACTTGTCCGTGCAGTCTTGGGTCGAAGGCACGGTCGTCAAAGGCTCTTTGGTGCTGTTGGACAGTGAAGAAACGTCAGTAGAGGGTGCGGCTCACACAGTAGCAGGGAGGTAAAGGTAGTAATGTGCACAAAATCGACTCACTGCTGTACAGTCAATCTTCATTTAGCTCAAGTTCACAGATTGTTAAGGAAGACTTATTGCTGTTTGCAAAAGTATTGGCACCGCCGGTATTTCCAAAAAAAAAGTGCACGCCACACCAAAAAATACAGCAATAACTTTTGATTTGTTTCTCGACAATAAGAAGAGATATCGCTAAGCTGTAAGAGACAAAGTTGGTCAGGGAACCAAGGCCAAGGTGCGTGCAACAAAAACGGGATGATTTGACGAAGTTCGAACCAAGTTGTCAGTTGACCCCCCCCAACCCTTTTGTGAATTGTTGTGAGCGAAGGGCAGCATGTGTGAGCTACCAGCGAGTTTCTAAGTACTCAGTGAAGCATGCAGGAGGTGCTAATAATTTGTATCAAGCTATTTCAATACTTTTAGAATGTGTCATAGTCAATCAAGCCGGGGAGCTTTGTAAGAATTAGGTTTTGAAGTTTCAACTACTACAGTACTACCACTGTACCCACAACTTGAACTCCCCTCGTCACACACGACGACGACGTGACCTTCGTCCACCTGTCAACAAATCAGCGAGGACTACCCAACAACAGATAAAATCTACAGCAGGCGTGGTGTCCGAAGACTCACCAGCACCTGCAGCAAAGCCAAAACCAACTCCACGGGCAGTCCCAAAACGGATCCATGTGCTTCCTCCCAAAAGTCCAGTGTCATCTGACTCGGACAGGCATGCCATTGAGCTCGAAACTGCCAAGAACGAAGCTGCGGCTATACTTGCAGGGATGGCAGACAGTGGAACAGTTAATGGGGAGAACGAGAACTTATTCACGAACCTTGATGACTTGGCACTCGGCGAGCCTGAGATTGAGCAGCAACTGGAGCCTGAGGATGAAGATAGTGAGGTAGAAGATGACGACGATGCTGGTAGGTGCAACCCGCCACCATGATTGCCTTGAATTCCACTGACAGTATGTGTCAATATCAGTATTGGAGACCGAGGGAAATGTTGAGGATGGGGACGACAGTTTCGACATTAGTCTTCTGGTTCCAATCGAGGGTGTCGTCGACACTATGGTCATTAGCTCCAACACCTCATGGGGGTATTTCTGCCTTCAGCTCGCCAATGCAATGCTTACCCCGTTGGAGTCACTGAATATTGCATACAAGTTCTCAACAGATGCGAAGGCTGACCCACCTCGTGCACTCAGCATGGCGAAGCACCTCTTAGTGCTCATCCAGGGCGCAGGAACTATTCTATGCGACGAGCAGAGGGTTCGCCGTCTGAAGAAGCCATTCATGGTGATTATTGTGGATAGATCTGAAAATTCGAAGGCGGATGAAGTTGCCAAAGGCAAAGCAGGACTCGGAAAAGGAAAGGTAATTACTTCCATGAATCAAAGCCGCGAAGCTTGACCAGTTTCTTGTAACAACGGATAACTCGCTGGATTGTGCGCTTGCTGGCGCCGGTGTATGCTGTGATCTCCGAGATCTCGAGCAGTGGAAACATTCGGACAATAGCCTCGCAAAGATGTTCAGAAAACTTTCGCATGCTGGCGTGTTCGAAGAGTGTTTTCGGTGTTGGGAACTTGAAGATGATGTTGCTTGATAAGCTAAGCAAGTACTAAGACTATGACACATTCTAAAAGTATTGAAATAGCTTGATACAAATTATTAGCACCTCCTGCATGCTTCACTGAGTACTTAGAAACTCGCTGGTAGCTCACACATGCTGCCCTTCGCTCACAACAATTCACAAAAGGGTTGGGGGGGGGGGGGGGTCAACTGGCGACTTGGTTCGAACTTCGTCAAATCATCCCGTTTTTGTTGCACGCACCTTGGCCTTGGTTCTCTGACCAACTTTGTCTCTTACAGCTTAGCGATATCTCTTCTTATTGTCGAGAAACAAATCAAAAGTTATTGCTGTATTTTTTGGTGTGGCGTGCACCTTTTTTTTTGGAAATACCGGCGGTGCCAATACTTTTGCAAACAGCAATAAAGAAAACTTGCATTTCTCCTTGCGATACTTCTTGTTTTTGTTGAAGACTTGTTGCTCCTCTGAAGTAACTGCCATCGTTGTTGCAAGTAAAATAGGATTGCTTGAAGCTGTCGCGGTAATACGTAGTAAGTAAGCTACATAGGTCTTGAAAGCTTGACATGTGACACTGTTGTCAATGGCACTCGGCTTAAAAATTACCCAATTTGGTAACAGGTGCGGTGTATACCTCGTGTAGCATCAGTTCGGCTTAGAGCAGTTTCGTTTCAAACACCATGGACAATTTTCCTGACGGGGTTTCCGCGCCAGACCTTACTACGTTGTCATACGATGAAACCGTTCCATACGAATCACAAGTTCCCACTCATCCATCCAATGATCCAGAGCGAACTACATTACTCAACCGCATAGGGAACACCAAAGTGTACCTTCTCTCTGACACTGCCCAGGCAAGATTTGCCAAGGTGCGCTAATAGTATGTCAATTTCAGCTTTCAGAAAACGACCCTGACACCGGAGCCTGTCCCCGCTTGACCCTGAAGCGCAAGCGCACAGAGGGGGACGACGACGATGACGACGTAGATATGGAAGAAGGTGAAGACGGGTTTAGCTTCCGTGTTTGGCATGTAACTTACTCTCTGCTACCAATAAGAAACCACCCTGACTCTAAGAGCAAATGCTCTGCTACTCACTGGCACCCCAATTTCCCACCTGCCCACCGCCCGCATCTTTGCATATGCCACCCATTTCGACACGCATCCCATGGGCCTTGAATGGCTTGACGACAATAGCTGCATCCTCGTTTATGAATCAACTGCCTTTGCGCGTACTGCACATCGGTACCTCCAAAAGTCTGCTACAGAGGATCTGGATGCAGATGGCTTCATCACGGCAAAACCCATTCCAATTACCATATGGCCGCCAGAAGAGCGAATAACCAGGAGCCTGGGTAAAGGTCAAGGGCTGAAAGGTGTCATACGCATGCGCTGGGCTAAAGTCGATGACGTGAAGAAGAAGGGTGCAAAGAAGGAAAGCGAGTTCTATAAGAAGTATGGAGAAACCGCCGGGAAAGAGGATAAGGGAGGGGAAGCATCGCAGAAGAGAAGAAGGAGAGATGATCCAACTGTGGGAAACCAGTTGGATGATGATCTTGATGCGTTTCTTGGAGCCAATAGACCTTCCAAAATGCGTTCCGACTATGTGGGTGGGTCACGCAAAACCGTGGAGCGCACATCTTCTGCGTCCAATTCTTCAGACCTAAAAAATCGCATTTCTGCGCCGTTGCCGCGCCGCGCGAGGGGTCAGCTTGCGGACCGACTAGCTGACTCGCTAGTTGACACTGAAGAAGACTGGCACAGAGCGAGGGGTCGAGGGAGAAGAATTCCGCGGCCACAAAAAACGCAGCAAGACCTTGATGATGAACTAGACGCTTTCTTGAACGAGAAGGAATAGTACCTTCTACGTGGGGTTTCATCCTGTCTTGAACTTCTTACCGCTCATCGCACATTTTGTAGCAGTTCCCAGTGGTGTAAAAATATTCGCTTACATTGCGTATTGACTGTGTGTAATTTATTCTGTTGCTACAGGGCTCATTTGGAGCGTGTTCTGTGGCGAAGTGGTGCGCAGTCGTAGCTTCCACCTGAAGACTGCATGTCGAATGCTAAACATGTTCAAACGAGCTAACTGGAACTGTCAAAAGTTACTCTTCTGATTGCAACCTCACCCAAATCGTGTTCGGCGGATCCCATTAGGATTTCAACTTGGTGTAGCGCCACCGTCAGGCCCCGTCAATGCAATGGAATATTCTCGTAATTAATTGAACGCAACTTGACCGAGCAATATTCAGTTGCAACTGTACGAGTGGTTATGGACCACGATGTTGACGACGATACCCTGCGCAATCTGGAAGCGGGTCTATATCCTCAACGACACCATACCCGAGATACGTCTCGCTCTGACTCTTGGTTAACTAATATGAAGAACAGCTTTATGCGACCCGCCCTTGGCATTTTTCAAAATCAAATTTCAAGTCACCAGCATGGTGTACCAGGCTACTCAAACAACCGCTCCATCATGCGCGCGAACGACGAAGACCTGACCGGGATGAAAATCATGTTCCAAATGGATTACTTTCCGACCAACTTTGTCACTAAGGATTGCAGCAAACAGACTGGAGTGTCTTGTGTCTCCCCCAGCAATACTACGCCCCCTACTCATTCTTGTTCTGAACCACCTATCGTGTCGTTACCATCTGCGGCATCAAGCAATACCCCTCCGCTCACTCCAGATTGTTCCATTGGTATCCTGCATTCCACGTCACTAGAGATCGCCAATACCCAGTCCGGCCTCTCGCTTCCTTTGCATATATCTCGCAAGAGTCCTACACCTCCCCTAGCACCTGAGCATAGATGCTCTATCAATGAAGGGAAAATGCCAGAGCGCCCTCAGGTGAGCTGTACTATAATTCTTATATCGCGGCCAATTCCTGATTCACTGTTTCAATGAGTGTTTCGACGGTCTTATAGCTGATATCACCTTTGATTCACTGCAAGATGCCCAGCCACCGTGGCTAGATGAAGAATTCGAGGAATGGTACTGGCTTGACTATGCGCTGAAACTCAGCCGAGATGGTCGTTGCTCCTCTGAAAGCGATCACCGTGCAGCCGGAGAGTCATGCAAGGTACGTTGATCGCATTTATGGTGTTTGACTCCGTCCCTTGAATTTAAAAAGAGTCGCGAGTCTTCTATGACACTGTATACACGCGGAGTATTTCCTCCGTTTCATACCCAGGAAGACGAAGAACGATACCGCTGGAGACGAAAGCATAGAAGTTGAGGCAGAAAAGATGCGCGCCAGAGAATATTCCGGCCTCCTTCCAAAGTCATATGATCTTGCTTGGGTAGATGCCGGCGGGCTTCAAGTCAGTACACGGTAGCGGGTGCGTCCGGTTCGGTAGTTAATGATATGTATGGCTTCAATTCCAGAAGACGAATAAGTGCACTGATATTGAGTCGGCAGGACTACAGCAATGGACTCGGATGAAGCTACTACTAGGGCGATCCCGTTCGTCTGACTGAACTGAAGGCCTGCACGTATGACTCGGACTACGGAACAGTTTTGTGGAATAAGTCAATGCGGATTACTGATTCTGTGATCGCCGCTGATTGGATATCTATGAAATGGACGGTCGTGCGTGAGCGCCACATAAAGTGGAGAGTATATGCACGGTCTACGCGATGCATCAAAGAGCTGGGGGGCATGTTATGCTTACTCTGGGTATAGTTTTGGAAGGTCGTTTAAGGGATAGGCTTTATGATGGTATCTACGAGGACCTTGTTAATTCCAGTAATGACTCGGAGGTCGCGGGTTTCAAGAGAGATGCAAGATGCGTAAGCACCGCCCCGTCCTTGATGTGTTCGAACTTCTGGCGAGTTTGAATGAAAATGAGCATGTTATTCGTGAGTTCTATTAGATTAGATCTAATTACATATGTGGTCTGTTCGTCTGGGCCTGGCTGGAGCCCAAGGGCTCATAACCTGATGGACTAGAACGGAGGGACTAGCTCAGCGGGAGTGTGAACAATGCTATGGCATTAAGTACTCAGAAGGGAGAGACTGGTTCAGTGGGAGTGTGAACAACACTCTCAGGAGGTGTGACTGCAAGAGACGTGCAAAAAAAAGTGTTGTAAAGTTATTATGACTAATAAGTGACTTGCGATGATGGTGATACAATAAAGGAACTGTACAGTAGGTGATGGGACGTGCAGGGGGAGGTACAGTTCACACGGCAAGAAGATCGACTTGAAGAAGACATTGCACATGGGTGCAAGAACACGACATACGCCAATAACATCTGACTTATGGTTCAATATTGATATTAGGGATGAGCTGCAAGTAGCCAAGATGGATGATTATCCGTTCACAGCGTTGCTCAACCGAGGCATGAGGAGGGAAAGGAGGCAGGCCGAGTGCTGTAGAAATGCCATCACACATCGGAACTACGGGCACGAAGAGTGAGACGAGCACCTTAACAATCAGAATAAACTTACTCGTCATTTGCTGTAAGTCAGCAGGAGTCGCTGGGAAGCCAACAGGAAGCTTGACTTTGAGGTCTTGCGGCCAGGTAAGTGGTGCCCCCACTGAAAGCGTTAAGTTGTGCATTCTCAATACAGATATCTTGTCCCTATAAGAGATTAGCAAAAGTAATGCTGGCAGGCACATGTACTTACATTTTCTCAACTGTCCTGCTGACATTCTGCACCTCATCATGTAGCCCTTCGAACACCTGTTGCGATTGTTCCTGTTCGTCCCGTAAAGCCTGAATGTCCTGTTGAATAGTGTCAAGCCTCTGATTTGCAGTGGCTTGGCCAGCCTGTAGTGCAGCAAGGGCTGTGTTGATCTCAGCTAATGAGCTCATAGCGAGAACGTTTCAGGATTTGAGACCACAATGTTCACGTGATTCTTTCGTCATTTTTCGTACCGAGACGACGGTTTAATCAGCCTATCGCGCATGCACAACATGCACGATCTGATATAGCGTTGTATATCCAGAAGATGAACCTATTTTGTTATGTTTTATTATTCGTTATCGCCTCAATTTCTGCGGTTGTGATATTTCGCATGTGTCTCACAAATCACATGATCTTCCGCTCTGAGCAAGCTTTAGCTAATATTAATAGACTAAGTTGCAACCGGCATATAATCATTCGCGCGTATATAGAACATCTAGTATTTAGTAGTACGGGACTTGTGCGAAATGAAGGGACTGCCTGGGCGTTTGACGTTGGCACTCGTACTTACGACGGTCTGAAATTTTGAACAGGCAGAAAGTAGTAAGGTACAGTGACAAACCTCGACTGCTGCATCAAGAGCTCCTTGCTCTACTTCGAATTCGGGCTCCGTGACACTAAGTTGCCAAACGTGATGGAAAATATCTATAAGTTGTAAGGGGTGGGAAGTGGTCTACACAAACGCTAAACTGCCTACCATAAGATTGTTCGTGAGCAGATCAAGACCCTGGAGTACAATACTAAGGCAGCCATGGTCCAACGGTACTGATGCTGCCAGGACCTACTAGTACATAACGAGTCTGACGGGGAATACGAGACTGCTGAGGACCCTGACAATTCCGGGGTTCGACGCTGTCAAACCTGCAGGGCCACCACTAATAGTGATATCAAAGAGGCCACCGAAGGACGACACAACACCGGCAAAAACCTAATGGCAAGATTGAGATGTTAAACCACATATGGGCGCACTTGTTGCTTACTGTCTTCAAGAAGGTCTTGTCCAATCACGTGTTGATTAGCGACCATGTTGTACTGGTACTTGTGTAGGGCAAAATTCCAACGGTGGACTTGGGAGGGGATTGGCGAATGAGAGAACTGAAACCAATTGGACCGGGAATGAGCGAAGCTCAGAGTAGAGATAAATTACCAGCAGAGCACCATGTTGAAAGTTTGTTGCAAAGTTGCAAACTACGCGACCGAAGTCTGACATGCTGTGCGTTTTGCACTTGAGTAAGTATGTACGACGCATGAAGCGAGTAAGGTCGAGAAGCGACTCATCTCAGAGTGCAAGCTCGTAATGTGTTGGTAAGGCGCGCCAACATCCGTTGGGCACGACTCAGTTGTTGGTAGTGGAAATATCGGAGTACTAGATAGAGGGAACAGACCCACACCTTGTGTGGCTAGCTGTTGCTGGTACTCGCTGGTTGTGGAGAGGCGGGCACGACGGCAGGATAACTTGAAGTGGATCGATGCCGGACGGGCAGTGTCACAGACTTTGGGCTGGCCGGAAACTGCCGAAAGACACTGACACGGCTCCGCGGAGTCCCATATAGACAGTCGACTGCCCAATTCCTGGGTATTTGTTGAGCTTCCCGAATCCCATTATACGTTATTTTCTTCGGTGAAGATGAAAACATCTAAACCATCACCAGATCACCGGTTTACCTTTAGTGAAGACGAAGAATCAAATAGCAACGATGGCGCTTCCTCCTCAAAGGTACATTCATCTGACAAGGATGACGATCACGGAATAAGCCAGGGAATGGAACTTGAGGGGTTCGCTGGTCCGAAGATAGTCCAGCCTTTAACGCCTGAGGCGCTGGCAAAATTCAATGCTGCGCAAGCTCGTACTGGCGTAATCTACATCTCACGAATACCTCCTGGTATGCGTCCTGCCAAAGTACGGCATTTAATGAGTGCCCATGGTGAAGTGGGGAGAGTGTATCTCCAACAAGAAGGTGTGTCTGCTCTTCACAATGCTATTGCACACTAATTGGATTTTTGTCAAGACGCCAAACGTGCATACCTCCGCCGAAAGTTTACGTCCACCAAAAAGCCGCATTTCACTGAAGGCTGGGTGGAGTTCAAAGATAAAAAGGTCGCAAGATCTGTGGCTGAGATGCTAAACGCGCAGCCGATCGGCGGTAAGAAGGGCACTCGTTGGCGAGATGATGTGTGGACTATGAAGTACCTCCCCAAATTCAAATGGAACATGTTGACTGAGCAAATAGGTGCGTGTTTCTACTTCATGCATGAACACGCGGGAAACTCATTGCAACCTCAGCACATGAAGCTGCTATTCATACTGCTAAGCTGCGCGTTGAGCTTGCGCAGTCGAAGACGGAACAACGCGATTACCTCAAGAATGTAGAACTCGCACGAGTGTTGGACAAGCGTAATGAAAAAAGAAAGGAAAAGGGTTTGGGGCCACTTGAGCTGAAGCGCCCAGCTGAGGTCAGTAAAGAAGAGGAGCCTCGAAAAAGATTGAAGTACACGGATGATACTCAACTTAATAGTGTACTTGGTAGCATATTTTAGTTTCAAGCTACATACCAAGTTGATTGTAGCAACATTGCAAGGTTAATGTCTAATATGAGTTCAATTAGTGCACGGGCCAGCCGACGGCATGGTATAAATTTTAATCGGCGCGTGAATGGGGAAAGGAACAGAACACGGTTGACGGAAGCAACGACTTACATCGCGACATTGTCGACAAAGGTTTGAGTTGGTCAACTGGCACGGTTGGTCTCAAAAACTCACAGTCTCGCGATCCAAGAGGTCTGTCTGTCCTTCTACATCATGCTCGGCTCTCTCCTCAAACCTCCATCCTTGCCGTGGAATATCGTCTCTGATTTCTCTCTCAGTTCTTTAATACTTCTAAAGATATTATAATGTCTTCCTGGCCTGCTCCTGCTTACCCTCCGCCTCGTCGCTCGCGTTCTCGCTCCCCTCCTCGTGGTCATCCTCGACCACCATATCCAGACACTGGGTATCCTCCGGACCAGTACAGAGGTGGAGGTGGCTGGGATCCACATGAGAGGGATAGGGAGAGAGCATGGGTCGAGTATGAGCGAGATAGAACCGGATATGACCACACTCGTCGCAGAAGCCGCAGTCCGCCACCGGACGATAGTACGAAAATTTCTTTATACTTTATTTCATGACAGCATATTGACTAGCCCAATTCGTATAGCCAGAAAACGTCGCAGGTCCATTTCACCTTTCGACAGGGAAAGGGAGCGATATGACCCACGCCCGCGTTATGGCGATGATTATGGTGTTTCGGCTGCGTCAAATCGTTTTCTCTTTTCTGACCTCAATCTAGATGCGCATTCGCGGGCATACAGCTATAGGTCTCCTCCCAGAGCTCAATTTGCGCCCCCGTATCCTCCTCGCAGGGCACCCGCGGACCCGCGTACGCTCGACCACCCAGCAACTCTGAAACAATATGCCGAATGGTTTAGATACGCCTTCCCTCAACAAGCTTCCGATGAGGATGCTGCCGACAAGGCAGCAGAGCAAGAAGCCGGCGATGGTTCAAAGCCTCGCAATGGCATTCGTTCTCGTTGGGAGAAATACAAGAAGGATTTTGTCGCAACTCAGGTTAGTCGCCGTCAATCTCTCAAGCGTACTATGTGTACTGCGTGGCATATTGTGTCCTTTGCCGTCATGAGTCTTGTGAAGCAGCAGCTGAACGTCTTTTGTTATGTATGTAGTTGCAGACCATGTTTGATCACCATAGGAAGTCCCCGTGGTTTGCAGAGAAGTATGACCCAGCTCCGGAATTCGTTGCTCTACGCCGTCGTGTTCGAAAGGAAGGTTGGAGAGGGCGATTAAACACGTTTCTGCTAGACCTCGAGTCGGGCAAGTTTGATCCTGACTTGAGCGAGCCTGAGACAGACACAACTTCTCCCGTTAAGGAGACAGTCGAGGCTAGTGAGGATACGAAGACTGGTGGCGATGATGACATGCAGTTCAACCTCGACGCTGAGGACGATGCTGGTGAACAGGAGCCCAGCCGTGCTGAGGCCAACGGGAAAACTGTAAATGACAACAAGCGCAAACAATCGTGGCGAAGAGATCGCTGTCGCTCCGGAAGGCAATCAGGTCATGATTCGGACTATTCCGCCTGATATCGGTCGTGTGAAGCTGGAGGAGGTAAGTGTAGTCGTTCTATGGTGATTATAGGAACTCATTAGGGCTTTGTAGGCATGTAGTAAGGTGCCAGGATACATGTATCTAGCGCTCGGCGACCCCCTTCAGAAACGCAACTACTATCGTGCTGGTTGGATCAAGTTCTGTGACGATGCTGATATGACAGTTGTTATGACTGAATTGACTGATAAAAAGGTGAAGATCTCTGTTCCGTACCGCGTGGCATTCGTTAACGTGACGTGATAGATCGAAGGCTTCAAGCTTCATGTTGCTCACACTGTTAAGCCCTTTGTAAACAGAATTCGCTATGTCCCAGAAGTCGCCAGTAAGCCAGACCGCATCGAGAAAGACCTTGCGAACGCAAAGCTCTTGGCCTCTATTTTAGAGGAAGAAGCTGCAGCACTACGCCATTTTAATCCAGCAGGGCATGAGTCCTCGGCAACGAACGGAGATGCAAAACCCGTGGATGCTGTGATGAGTGATGCACATGCAGACCATGAGGACGATGAGGAACCAAAAGAATCCGGATCTGAGGCTATAGAACGGAGGATAGAGAAGATTATGGCAGACCTTCGTGACCAGGGAGCGGTTGATGAAAAAGTCGTGGAGGCGAAGAAAGTATGAGTGATCTGATACGCTCTACTTCATTGTTACTGACTTTCGCTCTCTTGGCTTTTTTTAGGCTGTTATTTCCCTGGACTTATATCTTGCCTACCTTCGAGCAGCGTTTCACGCATGCTACTACTGCGCTGTTGTGACCGATCATCTTGAAGAATTGCAGCGTAAGTGCTTGCAGCACGTGAGGAAACCTCTGTCCAAGTCACTGCTTGAGGAGGTAAAGGCTGCTGAGGCTGAGAAAGAAAAAAAGGAAAGGGACGATGAGAAAGAAAGTGACGCCCCTTTGCCCCCTAAGCCGACCGAGAACAGAGACTGGAAGCGCAATGGTAAGCCCCCGGCATTTTTTAAAGTCAGTTTGGCTAATTACGTGGAGCAGATGAGCGCTGGTTGGAGTGGTTTGATAGCAAGATTGCACTGCTGATCAATCGCAACGACCTGGACCCGCGTGAATATGGTGGCAAAAGTTACGACGAGTGCGTGCCTCTTTTGATCTCAGATGATTGGAAATGTCATTTTCGTTGCAGGGAGCTAAGCAAAGCGGTTGAGCAATACATCAAGCAGGAAGATGAGGGCAGGTTCCGGTGCAAGACTTGCCAGAAGCTCTTCAAGGCTACCTCGTTTGTCGAGAAGCATGTCGCGAACAAGCACCCTGAACTCGTGAAACAGCTCGACGAGGTAAGCATGTTTAATCTCGTCTTCTTTCGGCATCTCACGGTCGCCGGATTTTCAGGTCCCTTATTTCAATAGTTTCGCGCTAGACCCACATAGAATCCAGCCGTTCACACACCCACCTCCTATCAGCGGGAACAACCAGCCTCCCCCCCAAGCGTTCGGTATTCAAGGACACGCGGTGGTATACCCGCCTCCCGACTTTGGCCGGCCGAATCCATATCTTACTTATCCTGCTGCGTTCCCTCCGCCACCCTATGGAAACAATGGTCACTGGGATCATTTCGGATATCAATACGGGCCTCCAGGTCTATTTCCAACTCCTCCACCTATCCGAAGGGATGAAGCGACCACCGCTCGCAGGCTCAGTGATCGTATTAGCGGCTATGCCCCCAATCTGGAGCAGCCGATGGAGGTTACAATTCCCGCTAATGCCGGACTTCCCGCTAAGCCACAAGTTACTATGGACCTTGGTCAGCCTGCGGCGGATATTGGTAGGAAAGGTCGTCGAGGAGCCACGAGCTCAGGTCCACCACCACCTCCGCCACCCGATGCGAAGGAAGATCCCAGGGCTGCTGGGGGCAAGAAGGTCAGCTACCACGACATGGACTCGGTTGCTGAAGGAGATGTCGAGTTGACTTACTGATGTGATGATGCATACGTGATATAACTTCTCTACGCTTCGCAATATATTTTGGTGATTATGTCGCATGTTGGGAAGCGTCTTCCTCAGAAGCGCCGAGGAGGAACTCGTGCACTGGATAGAGCGTGGCAAGCACTTATAATATTGAGTATCGAGAGATCGCAAAACAAATTAGAAAGCCCAAAAAGGGTCATGCTCAAAAAGGACGAATGTTGCGCTTAGTGTAGCACTGTAGCATTCCTCCCTGACCCTTGCCTGACCCTGGCTTATTAACTCCCTTGTCTCGTAAAGTACCTATTTCTGTGTCTCTTCTGCACAAGCATCCCAGTTCGAAACTTGGACTACAAGTCGGGTGCTGTTGCACAACTCCTGACTCTACGGCGCCGTGATCATCAATGAGTGGGGCCAAACCTATTATTGCACATCGTCTACCGGTATCCGTTCTTGTCAATGAAGAAGGACTGATAGCGCCAGAAGCCATTGGCCCGAGCAAGTTTGCGGTAACGTGGTCTGCTGAACCTCCCCCTCCTGTACTTGCACCTCTTGTACAAGCTGCAGAGCGCCAAGTTGTCCTCAGTTCATCTGACGGGGAATCTGATTTTTCAGAGAAAGATATCTGCTCGTTGGGAGAGAAGCAATCACCGGCCGAGCTTTCTGACGAATTTGAAAGTTCGGTGAGCCAACGCATTCGGCTTCAGCAACTCGCTGGGCCTCACCACCACGATGAAAATCCGATTATTCCACGTTTTTCTCGTGCAACCTCCATGCCTTTGCCATCACAGCTAGAACATCTAAAAAAATCCCCGCAGGACCGCGCCTACTTCGCCTGAACAGCCTAGCCAAGCCCTTCCCACAGATGCCACCGTCGAATCCTCTCGGTTCCACGAACTTTCATTGGAACTCGCGGACTCTGTTCAGATGGTCGTCCAGACGCTTTTACAAGTCTCGCCAACACAAATCCTCGACCCGGCGAAAGAGCAATTTGCAGCTTGCTCCCTCTCGGTCCCCACCGCCTGCATGTCTGCCGTATTCACGACGATGAAGAACCTCAATTACATTTCTGCGAATATGTCAGATCTATGTGCTGACACGTTCAACCCTGCTCATTCCAGCAATTCTACTTTGAAAGCCCGCCGATTGACTTTGCCTGGACCACCTGTTACTGCAGTCACCGACTTTGACATTGGGGAGATGCTGCAAGGAGTTGGAGATGCATCGAGTGGGAGGGCTGCTGAAGTTGGTGTAGATCTGGTCTTATTCCATGGTGACGTCGGGATGAGGCACGTTGCGGTCAAGGGGGGTAGAGTGTGGAATATCTAACGTGCTAACGCATGTGAGTGGGCGCGTTGCAGTTCAAGTACCAGTCTCACAACCTACAGGTCGTCCGTCAAATCATCAATACTGCATGGCATGGTGACTCGATTGACTTGGGCCTTAGTATCGCTTCGTCAAGCTTTTTGGGCTTAAATATGTCACCCTCCACAGAGAGACCAAATTCGACAGCCAGTGGTGTCTCTTCGCCCATCCCCATAGATGAGGGTGAAACCTTGCACTGCACGTTCGAAATCCATCACCGTTTTCATTCGCTGGATGTGCCAACGGATGTCACGACGCCTACCAAAACAAGCCCTTCTGGGGTTCCAGAGCGCCGAGAGCCGACCTTTGATTCAATGCTGTTCCGCAGGTTACTTCTTCGATGCGGCGCGTCGCTTTCATCCGAGGTCCCTGATGACATAAACGTCAAGAAGGACGTATGAAGTCAAGCTTGAACTTCAGCGCGGTTCGCCAGATGCGATTATTGCTAAATATTCTGCAATGTCCGAACAATCTCATGCGCTTCTTAGTGGGGTTCGGTTAGGAACGGAGCCGTCTCTCGAAGAGCTTGCTCAATTCGCTGAAACTTTGCGCGGAAAGAAGGTCACCTTGTATGCAAGCACCGCAAGCTCCTTTGCACATCACCTGACGAGCTATCTCACTGCTTGGGGGTTGGATGTCAGTCACTTATCGTCAGAGGCTGACGTCGATGGCAGTCCAGGCGCTAATGAAGCTCCTGCCCCTCCATGCCGAGAGCGTGGATCGCAAGAGCCTCGAGCCCCATCCGCGAACGGCACTCCACGCTTAGCTCCGTCGTTGTCATTCGTAATGATCGATGACGATGTCTCCGTTCTTCGGGAGAGGTTGCGCAAGTACAGAGCAGAGCAGCCAATACCTCTCAGCATTCACTCTCGGAAACGACCATCTCTAGCTGCTCACCACCGCCCAAAGTCATCGCCACAAGTAGCCCGTACTCTAGGCTTCGGATCACAGGCCCCACCGCAACAAACACCCGTAGTAGTAGTTCACTTCACCAGCCTAGCCAATTACAAATTGGTCAAGGAGATCATACAATTCGATCTCGCTTCTCACTCCTATCCAGCATGTCCACCCGAAGTTATGATTATTCCTAAGCCCGCGGGTCCACGCAGGTTCCTCACTGCGCTGCACACTGCTGTTACTAAGCCTATCGTCGATCCATTCTTTGCCCCAATTGCTACCTCACCACTGAGCCCTGGTTTGCACAGTTCTCCCTTCTTCAATTTAACTCAGACAAGCCCCAAATCCCCTTCTTCTCGTCCATCGAATTCATCACGATCCAACTCCGAGAAATCTACGCGATCTGCAAGGGACAGTACAAGTGAACATCACTCGCACGCACCTCCATCACCCCTCGGTCTCGCGGATAACATGGAGTATTTCCCTGAAACTCATAGCCCTGTAAGGCTTGGTCAGACACCATCCTCCGGACTTGTAATTTCGAGCCCCGACGGACAGCCAACAGGCATTATCTTCCAACCGCGTGCAAAATCCACGAAACCTATCTCAACCATCACCCAATAGTGCTGCAGTCGATCGGGATAAGCCGCAGTTTCTACTATCCAGTTCCGAACGGCTACGGGGGACCTCCCGCCGCCCATCGGACGGTGAACAGAAGAAGCAAGGTCAATTGCCACTCTCGTTTGCATCTTTGCACTCCAATGCACCTCCCGCTCGGCGAGCAGCATCTCCTACCGAGGGTTTCACCCTCAATCTCTACTACACCCAAAGGAAAGGGGAAACGAGCAACCTCCCCCCAGGCAGATGAACTTGCCCCTTCATCACCGCTATCTCCCCCATCGCGTAACACAAGCGCGGTCGATATAAGGAAGGCTTCTTCCCCTCCAAGTTCTCCAGTAGCGCCGGACTCTCAACTTAATGTGCTCGCGCGAAGACCGGGAAGGCGGGCAAACGCATGACACAAAACCTTCGACAACCCCCCGCTGCGTTGGGGAAAGCAGGCAAGGGACAACCTGATACAAGCATCATACCTCCGATTAGCGTGCTCATCGTTGATGGTATGGGCTTCGAATCTTATCATGCGTCGCACTAATCGGTTGGAACAGATAATCCAATTAATCAGACCATTCTGTCAACCTTCATGAGGAGGAAAAAGATTAAGTATGACGTGGCCAAGAATGGAGAAGAGGCGGTGCAGAAGTGGGAGAATGGCGGTTTTCACTTAATTTTGGTATGATGTTCCCTCGTACGACAAATTCATCGAGCTGATGCGTTATTTCAGATGGACATTCAAATGCCTGTTATGGACGGCATACAAGCGACGAAAGAGATTAGAAGATTAGAGAGTTTGACAGCTTCTTCAGGCTACACTCCAGGCACACCCCTGTCTGACACACTTTCAGAAGGGGCATTCTCCGAGTCTCGTGCTTCAGCATCGCCCTACCGTTCCGCCGTCATTATCGTAGCTCTCACTGCCTCATCCCTCCAGAGTGACAGAGTGGCAGCCCTTGCGGCAGGATGCAACGATTTCCTGACCAAGCCTGTGTCTTTGGAGTGGCTGAACAACAAGATTATCGAGTGGGGGTCGATTAAGGCTTTGCAGATGTGGGCTGACCTGCGGCCGGAGGTGGTGAAAACCATCTCGACTGAGCAGACGGCTCAAGCCCAACTTGTGGCTCGTCTACTTCACGTTCCCGAGGGTCGAACGACTCCAATCAGCTCTCTGAGCAGATCGCCATCGAAAGCTAGAGGAGACAAAAGCGATCCCCTTGTTGAACCTGGGTCTGAGCCTACTGCTAAGCTCGCGGGCCCGAAAGGAGAGGGCAAGCCAACCTCGAAACCGGCAAATGACTTGCCCGATAATGATTCCCCCCGGATCATCGCCCTCTTCTGAATCTTCTGACTCTTTTGAGCAATCTGGTGAGTTCAACCTTCTATTTTCTGCCTTTCTTTCACTTAGATCGGCGATTTCAGGAGAGAACACCGCATCACTCCCTGGTGCGCTGGCTGAAACATATTTGAAAAATCAACATTAATTATTTTATAGCCGCTCATAATCATGACACGGATGATACGGTCACCCAATCTGAATCTACGACTGCCAAGGAAGCGCACGCGCCGACAGGTATTTTGTTCCCACCTGGAATGCCGCTGGATTTGGTTTAATGTGTTTCACAAGATGGGGAGGAATACCATGAAAGCTCATCGGAAAGGTCTTATGCCACTGCAAGTGAAACGTCAGCGAATGCTTCCGAATTCCAAGATGCGCCGACATCGCCTCAATGACTACGTTGGGCGACCTTCGGAAGCTTTGCGAGGCTGGCCGCGCCTATGGTCTTACCATTATATCTGAGGGTCGCCGCGTTCTTCCGCAAATATTTGTATACCTTGTCATTTTCTCGTTCGTGTTGATCACTAAGCGTTACATGCTTTATCTTGGGTTTTATGGGGTTATTTGGCAATTGTCTTTCGACTACCATAGCTCACGGTCACTGACAGATTACCATTAGTGGATTATAATCGGGTTATGGCAGCATCGATTTGTTTGGATGGACATTGGTGGCTACTAAACAGATCTTCTCACCATTGGGCAATAGAGTGATTCGGAAGATGCCCGAATTTGACAAGTTGCGGGAATTGCGTGAAGGGGTGTGCCATGCGACTGCTTGGCAACATGGCTTTTTACGAAAGGCAAGCAATGTGTTGAGCGTAATAAAGGGTACTAGTCTGTAGGTCAAGTAGTTATAGTCAGGGACGGAGGGTGGCCCGACTGCGGTGATTCAGGTTCGCGGAAGTCAGAAGATGAGATGAATTTGCTATACGTGGTCAACGACGATCAGAATACAGTAGGTTCGATGACTCAAGATTAGTTTGTAAGGTAAGGGTGCAACCACGCAGCAGACTAATTTTCGTAAAAATTGATGTCGAAGACTCGAAGCCAATATACAAGCTGAGCTACTCACGCAGTCAACATGACTCTAGTAGTAAGACCTTCTTTGTTCGGCTTCTCGGCCCTTTTAAGTTTTTTATTTCTCGAACAGAGAAATCAGCCTAAACATACCTATTTGCGGCATTCGCCGCACCGGAGGTTTCTTTCGTACTCCGCGTGGCCGACTTAGTGAGAGGATTTGGGTGAGGTCTCCCAACACCTCATTTCTCTACACCAAAGTCCGTCTTTTTACAAGCGGATTCATTCTTTTCCCTCCTCTTAAATTTCTTCTCATCGTTAAACTCCAACGATGAATACAATGCACGACTCCCACAGGAGGACTTCCATCAGTCAGCTGCTCAATCCATCATCCGACTCCTCAGTCTACTCCCATGCTACTCATCCTTCATCGCCTGTCCCTGTTTCTCAGTATCAACATCCTCCACATCAGCCACAGCCAAACTATAATCAGCCAATAGACTCTGCTTCCTCTTTCCATCTCAGAGCAGCAAGCTGGGAGCCCAGTGACGACCAGTCTGTACCTAAACGTAGAATTGACAATGGGCCAGCTTTACCTCGACAATATCCATTGCCACCTCATCATCATATGCTTACGGAACCTAATGGTGACATGATACCTCGCCAGGGTAGATCAAGGATGGATGATGCTGCAAATTATGCAATGCCAGCAAATTCTTGGCCATCTCAAGCAGATATGTCAAATCCTCCCTATGGATCTCCCATCGTCGCACCAATGTATTCAGACGAGCGAACAGGTAAGTAAGCATGCAAGGCGCACATGAATTCTTATTCAACTCCTTTGTCTACCCCAGCCTTATCGGGCGACTATCCACCGAACAGTTAGCTTATTCTCTGTTGACCCATATGACTGCGCCACTGACTTTGCACTTAGCTCAATTCCATCCCGCACAAAATTACCATCCTCAACAACTACCACCAGGTCATCCTGCTTCATGTAACTATCATCTCTTGATCATCCCTGTTCCCGTTTTCTCAATTTACGCCGATCCTAAGCCTTGCAGCATGCTGAAAGAGCTTCTGTTCGTATAGCGGCCCGCTTTACAGCTCCCTTACCAGGGCAGCCGATTTATGAGATGGCCCCCATGCATCCACCAGCAGGAATTTTCCTGTATCACGCGCCTCCGCTTCCCCCACAAAAGCGTCCGTCGACTGAAGATGACCAGGCACCGAAGGCCAAGAAGGCAAAAACCAAGCCAAAGGCTACGGAGGGAAATGGTACATTTACAATACATCTCGTATGTCATTTTGCATGGTGGCTGATGATATACCCAAGGTTCATCCAAGCGGGGTTATAACGCTAAGAAGCGCAGCGAAGCTGCACAGATTGCGGCCCAAAACGGTCAGTTGATGCGTGGGTGGAACTACGGTTGCTAACTATCCTTTAGCCCAGTTGATGCCGACTGTTTCTTATGCATCGCCCCCTACCGACAAGGGCAAAGATAAAACAGCAGAAGGTAAACCGCTATTTCCGCTGACATTTAATGACTATTGACATTCAAAAGCTCCAATGCGCATGGTGACGGGCGATCATGGACAAAACACCGACGCTGCAGCTCAGCTGCACCCCGAATTACAATTTGCTCGATGCATGTCGAATCGATATAGATCTGAACAGTTCCCGCGTTGTGTATCGTGCACGCGTCGCTGGGCTGGTGACACATGCAGATTCCAAGGCATACGATTTTTCTTGAAAGACAATCAGAGAAATATTGTTGGTGTCAGCTTCGTTGAGAACCAGCGACCTGATGCACCAAGCATGAGTTTTCCCGTGAGCTGGAATGTCTCGCTGACCCCCACGCATATACGGCGAACGAAAGTGAGAGATAATCCGTTCTGAGTTTTGACGAAATGTCGAGTCTGACCATTTGAGTAATTAGAGGACGATAGCTCAGGCTCTTCTCCCAACGCTTCTTCAGGAGCTGCAACACTTGAACTTCCCAGAGATCATCCGGAGGACTCGAGAAAGCGAAGTGCGTGCCACTTGTGGTCAGTGTTACGCGACCTTTTATTTTTCGTATTTGCCTAATAATATTTAATCACAGATACCTGCATGACCTCGATTTTCTCCAGCAGTTGGATGTGTCGATTATGCGGCAGAGAAGCATGTGCAGAATGTTTTGAACAAGTGAAAGATCTCACCGAAGATAAACCTGGTGCAAGCCAGGCCGAGATCGCTGCTCTCCAGGCCCGCCGAGAAAAACACGCTCATAGCAACCCATTTTTCTTGTCTTGCACGCGGCGGAACGAGCATCATGCGAAGGACTTTTCACCGATGTCGCGCTTTTGTAAGGCCGAGCTTGCACAAGCGATTAAAGATATGGAAGCCATGCTTCAGGAGCCGGATAATGATGCACTTCCTGATGCCGGATCAATAGATCCATTACTGCAGGTAGAGCAAGCGCAGGCGAATGGGGGCACTTCGTCCTCTGCCCAGGCTTCAGATTCACAGATCGGCGGCGAGGTATCCGCATCAGCGCCAGAGCAGTTAATCTCCTCTGCTCCCCAACACGGCCTATCACAAGACGGCGTCTTCCATCCAGAATCAGCGCCAATAACTGCATCATCTGCTTCACAGGTCGCCGAGCTACCGCTGTCAGCCCCCGTAGTGCCATCGTCCGCTGATCAGAGTTCTTTTGCCTCAAGTGAAATACCCTCACATCCGACCACCACTATCGCGGATTCACAGCTTACTGAGGAAATTTTCCGCCCGTTGTGGGCTAAAGGAGATCCAATTATGGTCACCGAGTTGCTGTCCAAGTTCCAGATTCAATGGACGCCTGAGTATTTCGTAGAGAAGTACACCTCTCAGAGCTGCCTCATTTTGGAGTGCCAGAGCGATGTGAATAAGCGCGTGACGGTAGGCGAGTTCTTTTCGTGGTTCGGAAAATATGAAGGGCGGGTGGAGTGCTGGAAGCTCAAGGTGAGTGTATCGCGGCCGTGGCTCCTGACACACGCTTAGTGCGTATCTCTAGGATTGGCCACCGTCAACAGATTTCAAGACCGCATTTCCTGAACTTTTTGAGGACTTCAGTCGGGCTGTTCCCGTGCCCAATTATGTTCGTAGGGATGGAACCCTCAACATTGCTTCACATTTCCCCAGCAATACAGTTGCACCGGATTTGGGTAAGCATCAAGATGACCACGAATAAAGATTGGCTGCTCATCGAAGCTTCATTCCAGGACCCAAGATGTACAACGCAATGTCGTCGTTCGAGTCAGCAGGCAGCAAGGGGTCGACAAGACTTCACATGGACATGGCTGATGCCGTAAATATTATGACATACGCATCTACTACGCCAGATGGCAAACCAGGATGCGCGGTATGGGACCTCTTCCGTGCCCAAGATGCCGAGAAACTGCGTAGTTTCCTTCGGAGGAAGTTCAAGGGCTCATATCAACACGACCCGATCCACTCACAGCAGTTCTACCTGGATAGTCAGCTACGGAAAGAGCTGTATGATACGCATGGCATCAAGAGCCATCGGGTATATCAAAAACCAGGAGAAGCCATATTCATTCCAGCCGGTTGCGCTCATCAGGTTCGTCATTTACGCCTTTCCTGTGCTCTGACGCTCATATCACGATTTGCAATGCAGGTGTGCAATCTCGCGGACTGTATCAAAGTCGCAGTCGATTTCGTCAGCCCCGAGAACATTGCGCGCTGCGAGAAATTGACACGCGAATTCCGAGAGCAAAACCAGTCCATGGCGTGGAAGGAGGATGTTCTCCAACTCCGGACAATGATGTGGTTCGCGTGGCTTTCGTGCTGTCGGCAAGAGAAAGAGATGAACGAGCCCTGAAGCTTAAGGTGCATGTGGATTATCGTGGATATTCTGTCCCTTGTGGTGATGGCGATATTTTGTATGATAGAGAGGTTTAGTATTGTATGGGGGAAACCCAATTAATCGGTCGATGTGCAATGTGTGCTTTCTATTTTTCATTTGCTTTCTTGTACATGCGTAATTTCAGTGCTTTCGTGGTTATCTGCGCATGTGAGTTTATCTGCACTGCGGCCTCGGATCCGGAGATTGATCCCTCACAATCTTATCGCATAACTTGTGGACTGGTAATTTACCTCATGGTATCACCACGACTTTTGACATTTTTGAACGTTTGAACTCCGACCATCGCACTGCCATGTAGCACAATTGACAGAAGTCATTATATTCAATTGGGACAAGATATTACGGCAGGCTGGCGGCTATTTGGATCCAAGGGGTTTGCCAAACAAAGCCGCACACCTCGCACCACTTTCACCCACGATGCATGGGGATGCATCCCATCAAGTACGTGCATATCATCGCTGCAATGTCAACATTCGTCCTGGTTGCACAACGCACATATACATTCAACGTGCCACTCAATCACCGGCAACATCTTTTGTGTCATGTACCCATGAAGCCTGCCACCACTGTGGACCTTGTCCACAGAATGTGGCTCGTTATTCTATCAACCAAGCATATAAGTCACCCCGCTGTGTGGAACATCGAAACTCACCTTTCTCTCACTCTACCCTCACCTCTTCCCGATCATGATTGATATTTGCAACACAGACGCCGTTACTTTGGCTAGAGATAATGCTGCCAAGAATTTCTCGTGGTACATTTCGCCAGGAAGGCCCATGATCCCCGTTAGGTCCAAATCAAGCTTTGCTCCTCGGGCATGGACGCCACCGAGGCCGGCAGACACATCAGCTGAGGAGCAATCACCAAAATATTTAGCCAACTGGCATCTTCTGGGTATTAGACTGACGAGACCAACATTGAATCAATGCCTACAGTCTTATTTCCGTAGGATGCAACACGTTATGACCCGAATATGCCATCCTTTGTCCATCCACAATGAAGCCTGCTCGATCATGCATTCGTTGATGAACGCCACATTCATTCACCCAAATTTATTGGCTGAGGGACTATTCATCGCCGGAACTGCTCGACTCCAGTACACCCGGACCGTGGCACTGCTCATACACGATGTTCTCATAGAACTCAATATGACCGACTGGCATGTCATGCACGCTGTGGGAGTGCACCTCGAAACATTTGCGACGTGGACTCTACTCGACGTTTTTCGTAATGTATGTCGATCTCTCGTGGCTAAATTTTGATATGCCAAACCACTCCATAGTTTTCGGACGATTCCAAGTGTATGTTTAATGCGACTGGTTTGAAGGAAACTAACGGCACACTCGATGCTATTCAAGACCAACAGTTCAATGTGGCAGCTTTATATGGCGATCTTGTTTCGTGTGGCGTTATCCCTCACAATCTATTTGTTTCCGTCATAAACACCTTATTGGACAACATATCATCGATATACCAGTATCGCTTCGTTCATCTCCTGGTGCTGCGAGCAACATTCCAATCTGTATTCCTTATACACCCTGATTTTTTACTTGACTGGCGGAACAGGTTGCTCTTTCCAATGCAAATCAAGCTGCGTTTCGATGACGAGATGATCCAAAGATGGATTATCGTAAGTAGTTGTACTGCCGATTTACTTGATATTAATATACTCGTTATTGTGACCAGGAGATCTGCAGCTTGATCGATAAGGCTTACTTGAACGTCCAAAACCAAGCCACCGTGCCACAAACTACCAACTCACCAGCCGGAAAACACACATGGGATAGGCAGCTCACCAGACAGGATCTGCGCGATTTAACCCAAAATCAAGTCTGGAGGGCGGGAGGTGTGCATACGATGATGTATTAATGTAGATTTGGTCTGTTGTAATTCAAGTTCTTATACCCGACTATAGACCTCAGAGTAGTGAACTTGTGAAGGAGCGCGCAGGAGGTCACGGGATTTCCATCTATTTCCATCTTGGGTCCAAAAATTTCTGCCATACATACTCACATGCACATCTACTAGAGGTATGCCGCCAGCAATCACATATGATCCCAGGAAACACGTTGGGGTTCACCCAGAACGCGTCTCCCATGTTTCCAGCACGAACTTTCCTGGACACTACCCAGATGAGGACCACTCATGGGACCTTGAGAGATTCAAGAAGGTGCGTCTTGGCCCTAAAACTCGATCTGCATTCGACTAATCCACGGCCTTGCAAGGATAGGGACTGACCGTCAAAATAGAAAGATTATCGAACCGATCCATCGATTTTGACCTAGTAGGTGTGGATGCATCAATCGCAAATGCTTATAGGAGAATACTGATCGCCGAGGCAAGTCAAATTAGTTTTCATTCGCAGTGCGATCATCTGACGTACTCTCCCAAGGTTCCAACAATCTGTGTCGAAAGAGTTTACGTTTGGGACAACACTTCGGTTGTCGTCGATGAAGTGTTTGCACAGCGGATAGGTCTCGTGCCTCTAAACGTCGATCCGGCCCTCATGGATATGAAACAAAGCTAGTTAAAAATTTGCCATGGATGTTCTTCATGCTAATCCCTTTGACAGGCCAAAATGACCAGGCCACTGACCGCAATACACTCGTGTTCCGGTTACAAGTTGCCTGCGAGCGTCGGAAGAATGCGCCAAAAGATACCACAGACCCAAGCAAGATGTATATCAACCATGAGGTCCTGTCCTCACATTTGAAATGGGTTCCACAAGGAGAACAAGAGATTGTTATGGCAGATAATCCCCCTGCACCTACGAATTTAAACATTGTGCTGACAAAACTACGGCCTGGGCAAGAAGTTGACATGGAGCTACATGCTGTTAAGGGAGTAGGGAAAGATCACGCAAAATTCTGTCCAGTTGGTGAGCGACCACTCTGAAGGAGCAGTAGCTGGATGTCTAAACTCCAAGTAACAGCGACGGCGTCATATCGTCTACTACCGTTGGTGATTTTGAACCCAGAAAAGCCCGTACCTCGAGAGCTTGCAGAAAAATTTCAAAAATGCTTCTCGCCGGGTGTCATTCGAGTAGATCCTCAAACGAAAGCTGTCAGCGTGGACAGTAAGAAAACGCGAAACGAGACGATGGGTAGAGAAGTGTACAGACATCCAGAGTTTGAAGGATGCGCTCAACTTGCTCGAGTTCGAGATCATTTCTTATGTATGTGTCCTTTCCTCGTTTCGTGTGCTTCGACTGATATCCCTGCATAGTTAACATAGAGTCTGAAGGATTTTATCCTCCACAACGTCTACTTCCAGAAGCAATTGCTGTTATGCGAGCCAAGATTGCTACTATCAAACTCGCCGCGGAAACGCTACTAAATAATGGTGACGGTCTAGGTGACGTTGAGATGGCAAATGCTTAGCTACGTATGCTACCCCCCTGTATTCTCAGAGGTCACATCTGTACTATTTCCACTTTATTATCTTCGTAGCTGTTTTATCATGCGAGTGCTTTTCATTCAACAACAGAAAACATCCTACTAGTACAATATATGTGTATCTACATACTGTGATAAGTCCTAAAGTACGTACACTCGTTCTGGGAGGCGCACATGGCATAGTGAAATAAAGTTGCCGGAGTCGAGCCATTGTGGCTACGTCATAACCCTCTGGATGCTTTAGAGTCTAGTATTATTTCGTGAACTTGGTCCCATCCTTGAGGTAGTGTTGAGTTGAACATGGTCGTAAAAGGACCAGGGGAACCTTCCCCCCAAATGGTCTCAAGTTCGGGAAGTATGTCAAGGAGGATACGAGCAACCGCTTCTGGGTCACTGATGTGAGAATCAACAAGTCTGGGATATTTGACCAGTCGATTGCAAACACCACCGCCTGGTTTATCACCCCGCAGTCCGTCCAGCTTGGTGGCGTCGATAGCCAGGTTAAAGAAGTGAAGATTGGGGCACAACTCCAGAAGCGAAATGAGACCGTGAAAGGTGATTCCAGGATTCTGATTGCTACGTGGGTCAGTCATGTTGAAATCTGCAAACGGTGCCGTTCCCTCTAGGTGTATTGACATCATTGGACCAAAGGACATATGTGGTAGTCCAACAGGCAGGGGTGGTATAGGTGGGAAATCATCATCGGGGAGGTCCATAATAGGCAAGGGTTGGGAAGGAACCTGTGGGTACAGATTGCGACAGTCGAACAGCTCAAGTTCCTCCAGTAGTGGCCAAGCAGAAGCCATGGCACGCAGATCATTATCTGCGGGCAAGAACAATGGCGTCATCATTATGCGCAATACACGAAGGTTGCAGCATAGGAAAAGGGGTCGGAGTACGTTGGAGCTGTTGACGACACCGCTGCTCAGAAGGGGAACGTTCATGCGAAATTCTTCAAGGTTGCTACAAGACACATTTTGACCGATGGGTTGCAGAATGGGCTCGATCGTTTCCACACTAACACCCCCCGACCTGTACACCGGAAGGAAAATATCCATAGATTTGGGCAAGTTCCTTATAGCTTGAAGGATGGAATGAACAGTTACTAGGCTGTTGGCTTGAAATTGGAGAGTGTGCAACGATGGAAATGAGAGCGAATTTACGGGCAGATCAAGATCAGATATGTTGTCAACGCGCAACCGAAGGATTCTGAGCGATGACAGTGCGGAAAGGTTGAGGATGGATTCGCAGCCCACGGGGCTGTAGTCCAGCACCTCGAGCTTCTTCCAAGAGCAAATTACTCGGGATAAGCAACTTTCGGCTTTAGTTTCGCATCCTTCCGACAGATAAAATGTCAATCCCAGCGTATTCAGCTCCGGGCAAAGTCCCCGGATTTTGGACAGGAGTAACGGGGTGGATTTCGGGCTCCACTGAAAGCTTGATATGCGAAGAGATAATAAACGTGGATTGAGCAGTGGCCAGAGTAGAGCAAGACTAAGTTCATCACTCCAAGCCAGGTGGGTGAGATTGGGAAGGAGTGGAGTGGGAACTTGAAGAACGTGGAACACTCCTAGGTCATCAGGGACAGCTCTGACTCTCCAGCCCCCTTCGTATCCAGAAAGCTCTATTTTGTGGACGCGATACGCGTACTTGTGAAAAACAGATAGATCCGGTCCCGCATCAGCGTCGATTTCTGACGTGTCCTGTTCGATAAGCGGATCAGCGTGAGGAGCAACATATAGATACCGAAGACGTGCCTCTTCGCTCAACTTCACGTTAGCATCGTAGATGCACGACACTAATGGGTACAGGCTACGTAGCTCGCTCCAGAGAGCATCCAGTGAGGGATCACTGAGAGCGCTGCAGGTTCTGGCGAGTGCTGCGAGAGTCCGGCGGCTGACTTGCTCACTATCAGCAGCCTTGATAAATGTGAAGATGTGATCTAAGATGTCTGGAACGAGTAGCGCGTGATGCATTTCGACAATTCAATAGTTGTTGTTCGCAATGTCAGCTGTAAGCGAGCTAGAGGAAATATTTTAGTAAAAGAAGGTGGGCAAGAAGTAACCAGATGATACCTCAGGCCTCAGTTCCTCAGCGCCACGAACAAACAGCTGCGGTATACTAGGCGCGAATTAAACACAACTTAAGTATTGAACGAAAAAGGAAAATAACTATAACTTACGGAGGTTAGCGGCAGCGATTTAGTCATGCTTAGAGGTAGCATACGAGTGTCTGGCAACTCGAGATGTTACATTGACTAGCTGGTAAGCATCGGCCATCATTATTTTCAAATTTGATGTACATGTACATGTAGGTACGGGTACGTAAGAACCCAATGGTTCTAAGTACTTTGACTAAGTACCATAATCAATGGTCAAATCGTACGTCGTCTGTCCCGTGAATGTCCCGAGATTTCTCTGGTAACTGGTACAATTAAGTAACTACACAAGAAACGCACACCGGTCATATAGTAATCTGCCTGAAGGTTATCATGTATGAAGACTGTCGAGCCATGATATAGACTCTCAGCAGGGAAATTCATACGTAGTTATACATAACAAATACGCCTGGATTATATCTGGGAAACAGGCTGAGGTGTAGCATGTCTCGCATCGTTTCTGAGTTCCATCATTCTCTGACGAACGATGTTCCACTTTTGAGGAACCATATTGTGTGGAGGCATGTTTTGAGGTGGAGCTGGCAGTAGAGCGTTTGGCCCCGCAAGGGGATCAAGCTCAGGAAGTATGTCGAAGAGGATGCGAGCCACCACCTCAGGATCGCTAATGGGCGAATCGATAAGCCTGGCATACTTGACCAGTCGATTACAAACTCCGCCGCCTGGATTATCACCTTGCAGATCATCCAGTTTGGTAGCATCGAGCGCTAGGTCAAAGTAGTAAAGATTTGGGCATATTTTCAAGAGCGAAATGAGGCCGTGAAAAGTAATTTCAGCGGTTCGTGATCTGATGGGGAAGAAAAGGTCTGGTGGGGGAAACGCTGGGAATACTGGAAATACTGGAGGGGGAATGGTAAACACAGGTAGGTACGGAAACTGATTCGCCTGACCAGCGTTTGCCAGAGGTATTGGCATAGGTACGTGGTGGTGCTGGGCCATTACAGTAACCACCGGAGGTTGTGGAGCTTGATTTGGCTGGCCAAGACCCGCGGTAGTGATGGGTGGTAGAGACGGTTGAGGATTGGGTGGAAGAGGGGGTGGAGGTGGGGGTGGGGGTGGAGGGGGAGTCTGAGTCGCTACACGTGGTCGTAAATCGATCAGCTCGAGTTCCTCGAGCAGTGGCCAAGCGTAAGCCATCGTTTCCAAATCGTCATCACTGAGAGTGAATGGCGATGACATTCGTATGGACAGTGTGCGAAGTTCACGACACACGAAGAGGGGTCGTAGGATCCCAGAGACATTGTCAGGATCATCTCCTAGAAGGAATGGGAGATTCAGACTGAAATGTCGAAGTTCGTGGTACAATGCATCTCGACTGACGAGGCCCAGGAGAACTCCGACAATTTCCGGACTGCAAGTTCCTCTGCGGGAGCGCCCTGCAAACACGTCAATTTTCAAAGATTTAGGAAGGCTTTTCATTGCTTTCATAAGAGTGATAGCAGTGTCCAAGGTGTCAGTTTGGAACTGGAAAGCTTGCAGCGATGGAAATGAAAGCGAGTCTGGAGGTAGGTCAATGACGGATGCGGAGTTGACTTGCAGACGGAGAATTCTGAGAGATTCCATCCCAGACAGGCATACAAGACCTTCAAAGGTCATGGGGTTGCAATCCAGCTCCTCGAGTTTGGCCCAAGAACCGATTACCCGAGATATGCAATGTGTGCTTTGAGTTAATTCCGAGTCTATATGTCCATCCCAAGAGTGAACTTGCAGTGTCAGTGATTTGATTTTCGGGCAAAGTCCAGGAATTTTGGTCAGGGCAAATAGAGTAGATGCTGAGCTCCAGCGGTGGCTGGGTATCTTCAGAGATAGTAAATGTGGACCGAGCAGATGGCGAAGCAAATTGAGACCCATCCCAGGTGCCCAAGCTAAGTGCCTGAGGTTTGGTAGGAGAGGGGAGTTCAGTGGATAATAGAGTAATGCGCCTAAATCCTCGGTGACAGATGGGTAACCACCATTGCGTCTCCAGAATCTTTGTTGTCCGGAAAGGTCTAATCTGCGGACACGATGAGCATATTTGTCGAAGACAGAGTAATCTGGTCTCGTGTCATCGTTAGCTTCAATCGTGAGCTGTGAGATAGAATGTGATGATTCAGCTTGAAACGTGGTAAACAAATGTAATAGACATGCCTCATCGCTCAGTGGTATAGTGTTTGTGGCGTAAATGCACGATGCTAACGGACGCAAACTATCCAGTTCGCTCCACAGAGCATCCAGAGAGGCCTCACTGAGGGCACTGCAGGTTCTAGCTAGTATGGCAAAGGTACAACGACCCGTTTGCTTATCTTCCTTGATAGAGGCGAAGATGTAGGCTCGGACATCTGGAATGAGCAACGCATGATGCATGTCGATATCCCAGACACCTGGTGATTAAATGGGAACAAGTGGATTTCAACGTTCACGAGGGCGCTAGACCAAGTTCTCAGCTATAGTAGCCGTTAGTATGAACAGCCTTTGTATGTAATATGCGGCACATCCTGCACATGCATCTAGCCCAAATCAACACATGACAGGATTAATAATCACTGCGAAAATAACCCGATATAGTGTGCTAGCCCAAGACTTCTTCAACTCGGATTTGACATCTATAGCACATCAGTACTCGGGATTCATATTCGCTGCATCGAGTGACTTCAGCCTGCGCTTGCAAGACACTTTGCTATGCCCCAGATTCGTAAAAGTATGTAGTTAATCAACTCTATGAAAATAATATACTCATTCGTGATATCGACACCGCGGAATAGAAACCTCCAAGCGAGGGACGACCCACAAACGTCAAAAGTTGAAGCATAAGGTCTCACAGGGCAGAAAGAAAGCTAAGAAAGAGGCCCGGAAAGAACAGGCTGCTGGAAAAAGTGAGTCCCATGCATTGTTATAGGCAAACTGCTTCGTTCAGTGTTCTGAGACAGTCATCCTCGCATCAATATTTTTTTCTGTTCGGCTGTTTATCTCCTTGTGCTCATAGTCTTTGTGTAGCCCAGAAAAAATCCAAAAAAGATCCTGGAATCCCGAACAATTTTCCCTACAAGGATCAGATACTCGCGGAAGTTGCAGAGTCACGACGTCAAGTAAGAAAGCACTAATCCATATGAGATTTCCCCTACTGATTTGATTGCACTACAGGCCACCGAGGAAAAGCAGCGACGTAAAAATGAAAAACGCCCTGCTCTTACTGGACTCGACGCCGAAGACGCCGAGGATTCTCAAAAAAACATCACGGATGTTGACGTCGACGAAAATCAAAATGATGGGCAAGGCTTTGATGGCATTATGTCCATTCGTCCTGCACCTCTAGTGCCATCCAAAAAGAAATCTGTAGAGCCTTCGAATTCAGGACCTGTCATACCGGTCACTGAAGGACTTCAATCTCTCCGTGAGGTATTGCAAAAAGCGGACGTTCTACTGCATGTAGTGGATGCATGGGACCCCGCAGCAGGCCTCAGTGAGGCTTTGTTTAGAGAGGCGACAGGCAAAGATATCATACTTCTCGTGAACAAGCTTCGTCAGCATGAGCGGTCTTTGTATGTAATATACCGCGGTGACACATCATGCATCCAGTCCAAATTGAACACATGCGCCGAGATTCCCCGACTCCACTTTAGTGGAGGAGGGTTCTGTGGCCAAGCAAATGGTTGCAAACGGACCCCACGGTGGGCGTGGGAAAGTATTGCGCTAGCCTTTTTCTTTCTCAATTAAACGCTTGCAGATACACTGAAGCACATGTGAGTATAATTCCCTCTCAATTCGTTCGTTTCATTGCAGTATAGCTCGTGTGTTTTCAGGGGTTTTCTTACAAAGTTGCCCTGTCGTTTGGCTCGCGTCCTCGATGAAGGACGATGTCTTCCTTGCGATAAGCCCCATGATGTTAAGCACTATCCTCGTTATTATGATGCCCTCTATTATCCACAATTTAATCTTGCGTTTTCTGAAACATCCGAAAGTTTTTGCACATGGTTGAAGTCTTCGCTTAAATCTAGATCTTATCCTTTGTGTTGCTCGAAGTGCGGCCGCTGGTCAAATTTTCATGGTTGTGTTTCATACGACGGTGTTTGTATCACTATATGCCACCAACGACCATGACACCAAGTGAATTTGCAGACGCGGGTTACCATCATTGTGTTGTCTTTCGCAAGCTTTCCTCTCGTGAAGCTCTCTCTGTTGAGAAGTGTCTGTCAGTGCCTTCAAGACTAGCCTAGACGTCTACCCAATATGGTTATACCACAGCGAGGAAATTCAAAAGCGGCATTTATCGGTCCTCCTGGATGGTGTCTTGGTTGAGTGTGTTTCTCGTCTCTCTGTTCCGCGAGGAAAAACGAAAAACGATCGTGTGCGCGCAGTGCTATATCATTTCGTTGCTACCCGACTACGAGTAATGCATTCGAGCAAGGATCAAGTACAAACATTACTTTCCCGCACCCCAATCACTGCAGAAGGTAGCCAGTTCGTTCCTCGTTTGGCAAGGTACTTCGGTGATATGTATGGAAAAAAGGTTTGTGAAGCTCTGTCGACCGCCGCCGCCATAAGTTTGTGTCATTTAGTTCAGAGGCTTCATAAGCTAACTATCAAAGCGCTTTCAGATTGTATACATAGCCTACCTTCGAAGGGGCGTCCATCAATAAACCGCCAAGTACACACAGCCCGTTTTGTGGACTTGCTCAAGGATGGGAAGGGAAAAAAGAAAGGCCATGGATAACTTGAAGGCAACTGGCCAGTCGCCCACTAAAAATATTCTTTTACCGCTGTGCTTGATAAGGATGAGCTCAAATATACTATGGTCGAGTAGGTTCAAGTGATTGTTTTTCTTGGTGGCTTCTTTGTCTTGGCCCGAAACCGTATAAATGATCTACAATATTGTCTGTGTCTTCTTGCGGAGTCGGGGATTGGCGCTTGCGCCGCTACGATAGTAATTATCAAACGCGAACATAACCCGCCGGTAGGGTTGTCGCAGAGTTACTAAGGGTCGTAGCCTAGCCGTGGCACTACTAGTAACCTGGTCCACCAGGCCCTAGTAATAAGATGGGCCATTCATTTGAAAACGGAAACGATCTTGTAAAGTTGAGAAGCTGTATGGCTTTCATCTACATAGACAAGTAAAATGTAACGCTCACGAGGTGTATAGCCGGGTGCGAAATAGTCTGTAAAGCCCACAACTTCAAGAGAAAACATTAAAGTAATTAGTTTAGTAGATGACCTCGTGAATCATGATTGATGTGAGGTAGGACGACCACAGCTAAAAAACAATCCGCAACACCTAACTTCATAAGAAACAACTCCCGTCCCACCACTTGAGCCTTGCGTTCCTGTTGGTTGCTCTTGAGATACTTGTGTCCCTGGCACAGCCCGAGGCTGTTCTGGTTGCGTTGAACTTCCAGCCTCGTTGCTGTTTGTACGTTGCATAGCTGCAGCCGCTTCAGCGTCAGTCTCAGGGGTAATAGCATATCTCTGTAAATCTGTTAAGAGGGTCAGATATTGGCATTGTCGAGCGCTCACATCTTCTTCGCGACAGGGAGCTACATCGACTACACGTCTAGAAATTCCGACAGGAAATGAGCTGAAATTCCAACGCCGGGGCTGGAGTGGTATCGGTTGCGGCGCGTTTAGAGGTCGAGTGCTGAAACGCAGTGAACCGAGCAAATTACGCCAACGAAGGGAAGGCAATGAACTCGCAGGAGGAGCTGCGGGACGAGGAGTGCTGTTCGTATCAGCGTGCCAGAAGTCTTTGCCCTGTACGAATGTTAGACTTGCAAGATCCGAGAAACGAAGGATTATACTGACATATTTTGCCAAGCCTCTGTTGTTGGGCTGCTGCTCGGAGACCAAACGGGGATTGAGATCTAACGAAATGAAATGAGGAAAGGATGAGGCTTACAACCGTTTGCTGTACATGTCTCGCACGTTCCTTGGTAAAGAAGTAAGATACCACAAGAAAAAGGAACGGAAACCGCTTGCCTTGAGCTTCGCGTCTGGTTTTGTATCGCTCTCATCCGCACTCTGAATGACAACCAAACCACACTTAGAAAGGACCCTGACATCACATAGACACACTCACATGATCATCGTCTGTATGTTTGAGCGCTGTCTCCGGGCTCCATATATATATATTTCCATCCAATCCACCACTGGTGATATATTTTCCATCAGGGGAAATGACAACAGCCCAGACATCGTCGTCGTGCAAGAGTGGGTCGCCAACTGGCTGATTTGTCTTGAGGTCCCAAACGCGTACTGAGCGGTCCCTTGCCGCGCTGACAAGGTGGCTTTCATCGGGGGAAAGACAGAGGGAGCGTACGCCTTTAGTATGACCTCGAAAAACAACGACCTCCTTCCCATCAATCGACTGCCATTTTCGAATGGTGCGATCCACTGATGCAGAGAAAATGTGTGCACCATCCTTGGACCAACACAACGACATCACCTCATAGTCATGGCCCTTGATCTCCAGGAGCAGCTCCCCGTCCTTTGACCATATGCAGATCACCTTGTCCTCCCCGCCGCTCGTGAACTTGTCCCCTTGTGGAGAGTATTTGACAGCGAAAACCCTCCCACGGCTGGCCTCTATCGGTGGTGCTATTTGTCGGCCAGTATCAGGGTTCCAGCGTCGTATGGTGCCGTCTTCCGATCCACTTGCTACCTCCTGGGCATTGGGAGACCAATCAATGCACCTTATTATACCATCATGCCCCTCCCATGGTTCGCCAACCATGTTGCCCTTTTTGATGTTCCACAGTCGTAGCTTGCCATCTGAGCTTCCGCTTACGACCATTGATTCATCAGGAGACATTTCCATTGAGTTTACTGGTTGTCCGTCACTATTCCATGGCCTTCCCACTGGCTCTCCATCTATTGTCCACTGACGAATTGAACCATCGCCTGACGCGCTTAGTATATTGCAACTGGTGCCCAAACAGGCAAGGCTGGAAATGAATTTGGAGTTACCCTCGATGATGCACTCCGGCTTCAAGCTCCCTGGCGGACGTTCTGGCGCTGGTTTCTTCCACGATGTGGTCCGAGTATTGTGGTCGACGAAGTAGGACCCACCGAGTGGTGAGATGTGCCATTCGCATCCGGGAATGAGTTGTTTGGGATAATCTATGTTTCACCATGAGTTCCTTGCTGCTAGTGACACATTATTCACCAACCTAGTCGCACCCCTGGTAAAGGTCGGTTCCATGAAGCCAATGGGAGTGTGACATCTTGATATTCTATAGTACCATCGAACAGCTTATACTGCCGCCATTGAGGAGGAAGTGCTTCATTCCCGCCTGCTTTTTGTTGAGTAAGCCAGTAGGTATTAAAATGCGGTTACTCACCTTCCCAAAGTGCATCTTGGCGATATTGTGCACCATAGGGTGGCGGATCCTTCTCCTTCGTTCGACGAGGTGTGCTAACCACCGGTGAGTTCAACGTCACTCTTTGTTCTCCATCTCTCTGATGTGCTGATGTGCTTGACTTGGCCATGGCGCCGACGAAGAAAGGATTTAATTACTGCTGTCTTTACCGACGCGTTGATAGAGCTCGGTAGTATGGAAAATGAATTGTTGATGGCGAGGAGAGATGGTGGAAGTGCTGAAGAGACCTGCGGGAAAGCCAGCTGCGCACGCTATAGTATGAAGATGGCCATGAATAGCAAGCTGGTAAAATGTAAGATAACAGACTGCATTTCTAATATTGTACATGCGCGTGTCTATCCGAATTAGCATGAGATGACGCCAATTTGTGAGTGACTCGCTTTTTTACTTGAAGAGCGAGAACCCCTGGATCACAGCCTAATGGGGAGAAAAAAACACTCGTGATGATGCCAAGCTACGTGACAGTGTGAGGAGCTTTATATAGTGGCACCCCGATGTGAACTCACTGATACGACAAGGCCGATGTTGACGGTGATATGCATCCTTGAACGTGATGCATGACGGGCCAGAAGGTGACGTGGTTTGACTGGACAATATTGGCTTTGGGAAGTTAACCCACGTAGTGACTGTATGCTCGCGATGAGGAGAAGAAGGTCAGATGATTGGAGCGACGCAATGAAGGTAGTGTTGTAAGAACACTTTACGCCATCGTCTTTGCCCTTTGAAAGTCCCGGCTTGGGGGGCTTGAGCTTTCAAAAAATTCAGGCCGAGCCGTAAGTCAATACCAGGCCAAAGCCGCGGCTTAGCCTAGGCTCATTCACGCCTTTAGAAGCAGAAAACGAGCCTGGTCAGCGAAATGTAATTTTGTAACTCCACCGAGATTTCGGACAGACAAGAAATCCATTTGCTCATTGTCGTGCGCAACCTTCGTCGACTCATAATCATGCACAAGCAGACACTGAAGGCCACCGCAGAGCGAAACGAGTTGCTGCGTGCGACACCTCAGTCCGTGATTCTGCCGTCCCAGTGCACTGCATCATTCAAGAACATAGCAGGAACTAATAAACGAGTGTGAGAATTGAGGATGATTTTTTCGCAAGGATTGTACAAGACAATAAGATCTGTTCGAGCCTATACTGTCGAGAGAAATTGGTAAGATTGGCCTGTCGGTCAGCTGGTCGAACGTAAATCATACCATACCTTGTAGAGATAAAGTATGCCGACCTTGCTTTTCGTAGTTGTAGGCTGCGACAACACCAGTGACTGATTTAGCTCATCATAGCATTATTTGAACATGTTCTCTGAGTACGCCAGTTTTGCCGTCGGATTGAATACTATAATAGAACAGATGTCAAAGTCGGGATGACTGAAACAGAAAATGACGAACACATAGCTTTGTGGTATGAATATAGGTGAAAATGAATCAGATTGAAGTAGAGATGTAAAAACAGACAATCACAGGCAGAAGTATAAATCTGCCAATGTAGATAAAAAGGAGAGATCAATATGAATTCAGCATGCGTTAAGCTCAGCCCACCTGGCAGGCAGACATCGGATGGATGTAACCTTGTTGAGGTCATCCGGAACCTACTTCTGGCTTTAATAGATACATCAACAGAAGGGGAAAAACACGAATAATGGACTTGAAGTAGGCACTGGACAGGTGCCACTCATCAACAACGCACAGAGCTCAATTGGTCATTAAGGCCAAAGAGCCCATCAAAGAAGTTGGGACCATGACTTGTGCCAGAGAGCTCACGGCCGCTGAGCAATGCGCGACCGGTTAGCTATTGATATTGAAAGGCAGCTGGGACAGGTGGGCAACATGATAACCTGCTACGAGGTTGCATGATTATTCTGGGACGTGACGGGAAAACAAACAAAGGAACTCGGCTTATATAAACTCGAGGGTCGAGTGGTGAAGATGTTGTCTTTCCAGAGGGTGAATATCGTTGGGTTATGAGTGTTCACGTGACGGAGGAGAGAAAAGGTGAAAACTCAAGTTTACATTGGGTCGGGTAAGGACAGAACCAGGGTCTGATTTGCATCCGTTTACGTGGTCTCGCAAAGTACTCCCAGACGCTCGAATTTTGTCCACGTCGAGTTTGAGTAGCACTAGTGTGGGGTCTTACGTCTGTACCACGTCGGTTTATACACCAACTCGGATTACGAGCTATAAAACCTCTGTTTCCCACGGTAGCGGAGGCTTAACTCAGATATCTGTACATGTCCTAGGTTAAGGCTTCTTCCACTCGGATTCGACATCCATAGGATACTTGAGCACATCAGTACTCGGGATTCATATTTGCTGCATCGAGTGACTTCAGCCTGCGCTCGCAAGACACTTTGCTATGCCCCAGATTCGTAAAAGTATGTAGTTAATCAACTCCATGAAAATAATATACTCATTCGTGATATCGACACCGCGGAATAGAAACCTCCAAGCGAGGGACGACCCACAAACGTCAAAAGTTGAAGCATAAGGTCTCACAGGGCAGAAAGAAAGCTAAGAAAGAGGCCCGGAAAGAACAGGCTGCTGGAAAAAGTGAGTCCCATGCATTGTTATAGGCAAACTGCTTCGTTCAGTGTTTTGAGACAGTCATTCTCGCATCAATATTTTTTTCTGTTCGGCTGTTTATCTCCTTGTGCTCATAGTCTTTGTGTAGCCCACAAGAAATCCAAAAAAGATCCTGGAATCCCGAACAATTTTCCCTACAAGGATCAGATACTCGCGGAAGTTGCAGAGTCACGACGTCAAGTAAGAAAGCGCTAATCCATATGAGATTTCCCCTACTGATTTGATTGCACTACAGGCCGCCGAGGAAAAACAGCGACGTAAAAATGAAAAACGCGCCGCTCTTACTGGACTCGACGCCGAAGACGTCGAGGATTCTCAAAAAAACATCATGGATGTTGACGTCGACGAAAATCAAAATGATGGGCAAGGCTTTGATGGCATTATGTCCATTCGGCCTGCACCTCTAGTGCCACCCAAAAAGAAATCTGTAGAACCTTCGAATTCAGAACCTGTCACACCGGTCACCGAAGGACCTCAATCTCTCCGTGAGGTATTGCAAAAAGCGGATGTCCTGCTGCATGTAGTGGATGCACGGGATCCTGTAGCAGGCCTCAGTGAAGCTTTGTTTAAAGAGGCGATAGGCAAAGATATCATATTTCTCGTGAACAAGATTGGTAGGTTGTTCGTCCTATCTGTGAATGGCACTGAATCAATTGTATTTAGATTCCGTACCACGAGAATCTCTGGTATCATGGCTCTCTTACTTGCGATTAACGTATACCACCCTGCCTTTTCGCGTGGCGGAAGCTTTCTTACCATCCAAACCCAACCCGCCCCCGGCATCGAAGAAGATTCCTGTCAAATTGGACGATGCACTTGGCTCAGACGCGGTTTGGCAGCAGCTTAGCAAGCTCAAAACCAAAAAACCTGGTGAGGAGTTGGTTGTGGCCCTAACGGGAGTTACGAATGTGAGTTTCCTCAATTGATTCTGTGTCAAACTGTTGTTAATGAAATTGTCTCGTCCAGTCCGGCAAATCTGCGGTTATCAATTCTCTTGCATGCGCAAATCTGCTACCCATTTACAATCTCAATTCTGCGATATCTGCAAAAGGCCCTTACACGACCACATCTGCAAGCGAGGTGGTCTTAGAGATTCCTGACAAAAGTGGGGCGAAGGTGCGGTTGATTGATACCCCAGGATTGGAATATGTCCGTGCGGAGGGTGTAGAAGAACAGGAAAAGGAGATGACGAGAGCAAGAGACATCCTGCTTCGAAGTCGAGGGCGGATTGATCGACTCAAAGACCCATTGTTTGCTGGCAAGTGTCTCCAAGTTGCTCCACTACCCAAAATCTGACGTCCATGAAAGTTACGCACATAGTGTCTCGAGCAAATACCCAGGATTTGATGCTGGCATATAGCTTACCTGCATTTTCGCAGGGCGACCCGACCTCATTCCTCGCTGGAATGGCACGTGCGAGCGGGCTTATCAAAAAGGTGGGTTTTCCGAGGACACGATTCAAGCGCACGCTGATATCTGTGATATACAGCGTGGTGTCCTGGATCATGCAGGTGCGGCGCGCATTGTGCTCAGGGATTGGAGTATTGGAAAGTTCGCGAGGTATACCATGCCACCAGGATCATTGACTACTTCCTCTTCAACAAATGACGAGGGAATTTTGGCAACGGTGAAGAGCCGGAAAGAGCTACGGAAAGCGGAAGATGTGAAACTTGTACAGTTGCAGCCCGGCGAAGCAGAGAAGAGGGAAGTGTTATTGGATGATGTGTGGGTTGTTGATGAAGAAGTCAGCGAGGATGAGGCCGATGATGAAGATACCGGAGATGAAGAGGCAAGCGGAGATGAGGACGGTGATGAAGACGAAGCCGATCAAGGCAGCGATCCCGAAAGTGGTGAGGAAGAGATTGTTGATGAGGATGAAGAGGAGGTGCCTGAACTGTTACCCCCGCCCAAACGAAAGCGAACGGTGTCCTTTGCTGTTGTTTCATCTGGGGGGAAACGGCAGCGAAGGTCCGGCAAAAACGGTCGTAGCTGAAGTCACCAGTGACTTACTGTATAGAGGACATGACGTACAAGACATGCTGTGTCGGAGAGCGTGGGTTTTGATTCTGACTTGTTTTACACGCTCCAAACGCCTAGTAGCCACGCTGTCTAACATGTGGGCGGACTAGTCAGTGGTGTTGGGAGTTTACCGTGACATCAAAATTATATAGCCTGCAGCAAGCTAATGACGGTCAGCACTTGGCCCATGGCTCGTCCGACTTTTCTCCAGAAGGTACTCCGAAGACCTTCACAGAAATATGCAACAGGCACAAACCGCACAGCATCAATAAAAGCCCCTCAGGCTCAAGAGCAGCCCAACACAAGGGATTTTCACTCGACCAAGGGCGAGTTACTTCGTATAGCTTCCGAACTCAATCGTGAAGATCCGCTGGACCACAATCATAACGAGGGCCGACGTTGTCTCCTAGATGAATCATGTGCATTTACACAGGTAAGCGATAAATACATTTCAGAACTACATATATTGACTCATCTGTCCTTGCTGAAGAACGGCAAGGTTGTCCTTACCGCTGCGACAGCGCTGGACTCTGGAAGACACATTCCTAGTGTCTCTACCGCCACTGACGTCGATGGCGAGAAGGCACAGGCACCACGACAAGGAGCAGTTTGGGGATTCCACGCTTCTGCAGATCAATCTATAGATCCTTCTCAGCACAACACTGAAGAGGTGTTCTACACCCCTCCCAGTACACCTACAGCTTCTTCGTCCCCTGTTGGCCTTTCCCCTCCAGCCTCTCGCTCGCATACTCCAGCCCATTCCCCATATTCAACACCCCCTCACTCTGCTGCATCGTCTGCTGCATCTTTAGGGTCTGATAATCCCCAGGATATCTCTGTTTCAGCAACTTCCTTGACCGAATTTACCACTGTCACCGTGATTCCCGTCAAGAACGAGCCAGGGTGTCATAAACGTATTCCAAGCCACCGTAAGCTAACGTATACGGACCGAGATTGGGCCAAAGACGTTCGGTGGCTTGACACCCCGCAACGTAACGGGACTAGAGGCAAGGCTACCAGACGCAATACTTCGCCGAGCAACGTTTCAAATGCAGCATCACGCTCGGCTTCATCTTTACCGAGCACTGTTTCTTCTCATACGTCACGAATGTCTACAACATACCTGTCTTCTCAGCCGCATGACCTTTCCAAAGTTGAATTTCCATTTCCACGTAAGCCAAAAGTTCATGGGCACATGAAAACAAAAGCGATGCGTGCGATGGTTGGCATGTCGGTTCTGCTTGAAGTGGAGGAGGACGCTGACCTGTCTGGCAATCCTGCTGGAGTGGATAGGAGTATGTCTCGCAGGCGCTCGCAATCTTTGACATATACCCCAACCCATACTCAACCACCAAGACCGTCACAACAGGAGCCATCTGCGACTTCATCGCAGCCAATACCAAGGTTGACCAGACGTCGTAGTTCATCTTCTCCTTCGCTTTCTCCACCATCGCGATCGTCATCAACGCGCTTACACCCTCGTGCAACTGGCGTGTCTGGTGCGTCTGCATCAGCTGTCAGCGTCGCGTCTCGCCCAATGAGCAGCTCTTCTCACGCGACATCCTCAACCACGAAATCTCCTTATACATCGGCGCCGTTAAATGCCCTGGACGCCCTTGCCGCGCACGCGTCATCCTCACGTGAGGCAGACGCTCTTCCATCAAGTGGTACGCGTGGATTCACCAGACTTGTTCTTCCTCGTGCGGCTACTTCTCCAGCCCCCTCTGGATCGAAATCTGGTGTTGGTTCTTGGCGCCCCTGGAAAGCAGGCAGAAGGGCAACAGCCGCAGAAAGTTTGGGCGCGGGACTCGGGTTTGGAGATGAGATTGATCTTACACGAGCTGGACTCGCGCAGACGACGATGGCCAGCGTGGAGATTGTTCATGGAATCGCGTCCGGTGATGTCGAACGCCAGGAATCGAAGTCTCGTGGGCCGTTGTTTGGCTTGGGCTGGCTCTCAAAGAGTAATACCAAGCAGGGGAAGGGCAAATCTCGACAGGTCCCTGCAGAGAGTCCGCTCGGTTTCACAGCCTATCGAAAACCTCCGGTTTATGTTGGCGGAAGCTCAGTGCTAGTGCAGGTATGGGCCGTGGGGCTGGACGATGTGGATGCTCGTCTTATGGGTGTACATCCGCCGCCACCAAAGCAACCATCTCCTGGGACTCCTCACAGAGCCGAGGAGAAAAGTGATGGGAAACGGCCCGTTCCACTGGGTTATATTCCAGGACGATCTTTCGTTGGGCGTGTCCTCGAAGTTGGATGGGATGTTGACGAACACACTATCAAGAAGGGAGAGTGGGTCATCGGTCTCAATAGTGTGCAGAAGGTTTGTATTACATTGACACGAGATTTGATACAAATATGCTGACTCGATGTCAAGTGCGGTGCTTTGGCTGAATTCATTCTCGTTGACCGACATCGCATTCATCGCGTGCCACATCCTTACATGCCCGATCAGCCATCTCTGGTTTTCGCTTCGTTGAGCGAGACTGCAGAGGATGGTGAAGGGAGGCAGCGCAATTCGCTCGTATTTCCTTCTGCGAATGAACCCAAGGGTTTCACAGTGGACGAGCTCGCTGTGCTCCCGCTTTCAGGCGTTCCTGCTTATCGCGCTGTGCGCACATTGACACACATCATGCGCGCATTCGTAAAGCCTGACGTAGCTGCACGGCGGCCGCGCGAAAACGGGGGTAGTCGCGAAGTTACCAGCGACACTCACAAAGATGATGTTGACATCGTGCGTTCCATTAAACATGGTTCAGCAGAAAAGCGGCTCGACACGACGCGTCCTCGCATATTAATTTTACGTGGACACGACGGATCCGGGGCGCTAGCCCTCCAAATGCTTGTTCGCGCTGGATGGTCCGTTTGGGTTCATGTACCTGTGCCATTCGACCTTCCAGGTCTTCCTGACAAATTCGAAGAGGATCTTCGAGACGAAGAGAAGAAGCGTACGTTGGCAAAACGACGAGTTGTACTAGAACAGATTGAAAAACGACTTCGTGCGTGGGGCGCAGACGAAGTTTTGTTTGTTCCCATCGAGTCGAGTTCCACGTCCGCGCCAACTTCGCGAGACGACCCTTCTTCCTCATCGCCGTCCGTGCACGATCCACGATCTTCTTCTTCTTCCGGTCATTCGCGGAACATATCTCCCTCACCATTTTCACGCTCCTCGACGTCGTCGACATTGTCGTCGCAATATCCACCCTCCACACATGGTAATATTTCCTCTACATCTCACCCTCATTGTGTACTCCCTGCTCCATACTCCTATACTGGACTTCCTCTTACTCCATATCAGAGTGAAAAAGCCTCAGCGACGGCACTTTTCACCTACTTGGCGCGCACGCACGTTCATTTTGATGCAGTCATCGATACAATTGGAGGTTGTGAGATTTGGGAGGCCGGGCGGGTATTACTCAGCCTTCCAGTTCACGATACCGCTCGAGCCAGCATCGAAGGCCAGTTTACTACGCTAGTAGGCGACGCACCCGACCGTGTAGTGTCTACCGCAAGCGATCATTTCCGTGCAGGCGTGCGAGCGCTCCGGATCGGAAACCCCACAGGCACCTCGAAAGTCCACGATGACGCCGAGTTCTCTCGGGTAACCGCCAGGCATGCCAGGGGCAAGAAGGACAGAAAGATGAAGCCTCGACCGGTGAACTACGCGTGGGTGAACGTCATGTCGGACGTGGATTGGGAGGGTGCGGATGTACGGGACTCGTTGGGCGCAGCCCTGGCGATGGCAGTTGGGGAAGGCGTGCGGCCTGCCGTTGGCCTTGTTGACTTTCCGGACATGTGGAACAAGGGCAAAGGGAAAATGAAAGCCGTGGGTAGCGGTGGTGACGGGGAGATGCTGGAGAAAGTCGTCCCGTTCGAGAATACGCCTCAAGTTTTCATCCCTGGAGGTGGGTTGGAACATGGAGGAACGGTGGTTTCCAGAATAGCTGTGTAATCCCAGGATGATCTTCAGATTCCGTCCTAATCCGAACGAACTGCTCCAGAGTCTTCTTTTAGAAGTGGTGATGCATGATTAGTACCACGAACGCTAACCAAATTATAATAAGTCACATATATTGTTGCACTGCTAGTATATATCTATCTGTTATTTAAGGGTTTCCAAGGAGCTACGCCCAGTGGATTGGGCATGACTGCAGGGTTGATTGTCGGAAATGGCCCACTACTAGGCTAGGGACATCCACATGGAGATTAGATGGATGGGAGGTTGTATTTGACCATCTAGTACGCTAGGCGTGGATCACAAGCACAAGAAAGTATTTCATATGGTAGATTTTTATATCGGAGAACAAATGTCGTTCTCACTCCAGATGCATGCCTGCGCAAGCTCTCAAAGAGACTCCTCGAGAAACACATACAAGTTTTCCACAGACGTGGGAATAAGAAACCACCGTGACATTAATATTGATGTCTATAGCTTGCCCGACAGTGTTGCGATGCTCAGAAGTCACGGTGGAAGTAAGACGCTACTAGTCTCCCGAGTCCCCTAGCCAATAGAAAGAAGACACTCGTCCCCCTTGATTACTGCGAGCCTCAAAATTTAAACCTGACCATAACAAGCAAAAAACTCAGAAGTTGCACCGAATGCCTCTACGTTTCGCCTTGAAGATCTTGTCTCACAGGCTTGTACGAGCAAGGCAACAGAAATCTAGGACATGCTCGCGTTGGAAAACCTATCGACAGAATTAAAGATTCAACGAAAGGTTTGCCGTGCTTGGTTTGGCACAGTGGCCTGAACTTCAGAGTGCGAATTTCACACCAGGTGATCGCAGGCCGTTGGCAAGCTGTTCAAGTTGGTAACTAGAAGTTGCCTGCATGCTCAATTGGTGGTCTGGTGGCAGCCTGAGCATACTGCCAGTTAGACTCGGGGATCTCGGGGACGATGAAACAACACGAAACTATTAATGGTCACCTCGGTAATGTACGAGATGGCGATACTCCACCACCTCACGTGGCCGATGACACCGGTGACCAATCGGGGATCCCGGGGAAGAGTAGTTAAAGTACTACTTGTACCTTATCGATTGATCATCGATATCGCTGGGAGTCCGACCAAACTCATAGCTGGTCTCCTAGGGTTTTCTTCGTTGACCAACTGCTAGTACCAGTGGTCACTCAGTCGTACTACCTCCGAGTCGATCTCAGTCATTTCTCCACCGATTTTGATCATTCGACTTCATACTAGTAGTATTTTAGAATAAACTAGACTCTGAAGCAGGGTAAACTACATTGTAGATCGAGGCAAATTTGCGCGAAATATTGCAGAGCGGCTGAAGACGGATGAGTGGTAGTAGACTACTAGCAATTGATAAGTGACTACCAGTGGTTATGCAATGTGATGTTTGATCGCTTCCCTTCGAGCGAGTTCAGTTAAGGTTTGACAGGAAGTGACAAAAAGCGCCTCTTGAGTAAGTGTCTCCTCCATACAGCAAGCGAAAAAATGCTCGTACTGCCTCGAAGGCGGTCCTTCGTATTCATATTTGTTACTGGTGGCAAAAACGCCACTACTTCCGAGTCACCCAAATATTTAAATGGCCTGCAATCAGAAGGCGAGTGTATCAGAATACTCAAATCGCCGATTCGTCCGCTTACACACTCTTAACCATCTGGTACGCTGGGCACCTGTCTCCAGAGAACAACTGAGTCATTGCTGACCTGCAGTACGACAGCCTGTCTTCCTTGCAATCAACCACCAGCTCCTCCCCCTCACGACCCACTATCATATTCATGCCTCTCGATATCATTCCCGTCACGGTGGATCCAGAAACCTTGTTTCGAATGGAACAAACCGGTCAACCACTTGTCGTGTATGAATGTGGATTACAGGGGACACCCTGTGGAATGTGTCTGGAGGGAACGACTAGTGCAGTGTCTGCCCACCTACGTAGACACGGTGTCACTGGTCCGGATAGTGCCGTCACAATTTGTACCTGGGGCGGCTGCTACAAGACACTCAAGAAAGGAAGCATGACAAGGCACATCCTCACTCACCTCGGTGTCAAGGCGTGCTGCTCCATATGCGGAGTTGTGAAATGCCGTTACGACCTCCTTCGTGCACACATCAATTCCTCGGAGACATGTCATTTCGCAATTGCCGATAATGTTCCAGGACCCGGAGGATATGTTGTTGTCCCCACGAGTTGGGCCGCTGCCCATATGCATCAGGTCTGATCCTTATGATGTCTGGTATGTAATTTGATCTCTTTTTGTGATCAGTACTGTTTACACTGGTTGGAAGTTTTTTTTCGACAAGGGAGTCTAGCGATATTCACTAGGAAGTCCGCTCGAAAGAAAAACGGACTCGCACGGTGTGAGAGATGTGGGGGCTCTGTATGCTATGTATATCGTGACATTCCTAGACGGACGACTGATTAGTTGTAGTTATATATTTAATAGCAGTGAAATTTTGGTACGTACGAAGAGACATCCAGGCCAGGATGGCTAGCCACCACGTCCGTGGTAGAGAATATTGTTTCATGATGTGCCCTTTCTCAATGGTCACATCAACATCGTAACTTAAGGTGAGATTGACCGTTGAAAGCAGTGCATTCCAATGGTCGATAATCACTCGAAACCGTTGTAGTGACGAATCATTTCGCCACGAGTTTGTGAGATTCCCACCACAAACGTTGAATGCACAATGCACATGGTGATCGCTCCTTGAACAAATAACATCATACATGCCAAGTATCCTAATAGAGCACTATTTTAACTTTTCAGTGACGTGTTGTTCAAGAGGAATAAGTTTAGCTCAGCCTGGTTTGTGACATGGAAGCCTTCCACAAGCCTGCCAATACTCCCCTTATGTTGATCCGTCACTGATGTGACTGTTGTGCATGACCTGTCTTGCAAATCGCAATCTCAATTGGGGACTTGGCATTCTTCGTGGAAGCGAAAGCAATCAAGATTATACAGAATTCATGTATCATCCTGGATATGAAACGGTTCAATTAGCACATTTGTAATGAGACGGGGTAAAGCCTCTAATGCTACCTTACGTTTTTGAACAGAAGGTGGTGCAAGTCAGGAAAGTTAGAGAACTGCATGAACGGGAAATAAGAAAGCCATAGGTCACTCAAAAGACGGGAACCCATATGATAGACTGCAAATTTAAACACGAAATGCGTGCGCGGGTGTGGACGATTCAGACCAAGCCCGGATGATTGGGTCAATGTACAACAAGACGGAAAGTCTGTCCCCGCGCGATCTTGCGACGTCAACGCCTCTCACTCATCTCATTGCCGAGTTTTCAGTAGAGTTCATCAGAATCGGGCGATGGAAGTTGGTAGACAGCGGCGTGCAGGGATTAAGCCGCCAAGTAGAACCGCTCCCACGGGGCGTGCACATGGCCAAGGTTCTGGATGGACAAATTGAGCAGCAGGGAAAGCTAAGGTTAAAGTAAGATGATACTTGTCGAAACTTATGTATCTTCCAAGTATCTTCTGTACCTTGCTATCCTTATGGAAAATTCTCGACTAAAAATTTCAGAAGCTTGGGATACAGGTAAGAGTAAGTGGCTCAACGTCATTGGCGGCCAGCTCGGGGTCTAACTTCGAACTCGAATGCTTCAAAGTTCACAAGCTGTATGCAAGTTGTCGCAAGTTGTTCAGCTACCACCAATCGTGTGGTCATACCCAGGCTCAGGCTTAAGTTGACTTGTTTTCCGGGAAGCCACGGACGGCGCAGCTACAGACACTACTCACCTTGGGGCAACGTCGACCTCGGCTTCTCCTTCATTCTTTTCAATGCCCTCATTTCTACCTCGCTACTCTCCGCGGCCATATGCTACGGTGTAGTGCAGTTTGGGCTAGTGGCGCTGGTGTTGCAGAAGGTAATGATTCATGGGCAGTCACGGTGGCCCGCAGTATTGCATATGAGCATTTTCTGCGTTTGTCACTGCTTGAGGTGACCAGGCATCCAGGTTTGTTGAATTTACTAGGAACTATCGAGGCAGCAATGCGTCCGAAGCAACTCTTACTATTGTCTCGGTTCCTGACGCGGAGAAGTTGCGAACAAGTCTAAAAAGCGCTGCAATCACATGATGAGTCCTACGACGGGTGTATCCACCATTCTATTCTGAACAGCTTGCATAGTTCTCCTCCGTACTGTTTGGTATGCTGTACTCGACGATACCTGTCTCTGTCATCGGCATCCGCAGTTGTAGAGCCGTTCTGGAAGCCTGAACAATATAGTATGTCACGCACAATCTCTCTTTGTGCGGGACCAGTGGTGTTGACTTTGATATAAGTATATATATATCGCATTTATTGTCCTTTGAAGCCGTAGACCCCATGTCGGACATAGCCCTTTTCGCGGGGGGCTTACTCCCAGTGGTGTTGACTTGTAACCACAAGTTCCGATTGTTGGCATGTTATGTGGAGGCACGATCTCGGGAATCTTTGTTTTCGTGTCCTATGTACTCCGGGAGATATAGTAAGTGCCACTAATGTACTTAAAGTGTAGATATCGACCAATGTCCTTACAGCGACAATCGTAACAAATTAGAAATGTACCTCGCATTTGGAGCATCACGTTTTGAAGCGTGTAGACCTGTTGCATGAAAAGCTCTTCGTCTTGCACTGACTCGAATGATTAACTACTAAATGAGGTTCGTACCATCCAAAATATAAGCCGTTTCTAATTTAGTGTTTGGCCTTGACAACAGCTTGATCGGAATCATTGTTATTCCAGGCATGATGACCGGTAGGAATTTACGCCACGACGTGGGCGAATGGTTGTGCCGATCGAAGGTTTCACTGGCAGGTGCCATACTTGATGACTCTTCAGTTCAGCAGGGAGTGCGGCTCCAGATGGTTATCATGTTTATCATTTCCGCCTCGACATCACTTGCATCGATCATCACTACGATCACAACGCTTGCTGTCGTCCGACGTGCCCAAGCATCCGGTCCGGCGTGCAAGGAACTAGCTCTTTAGCTGAGCAGTGGATGGGGCGAAATGCACCGTGCAGAGCTGTCGCGGGCTCAAACGTATGCCCGATAGACAGAATGTGGCTGTGGAAACGGAGTGATTGCTGGGCTGATGCTCATCTTATTCTACCAAATTATTTTTCCGCTTTCTTGCTGATCGCACAGAGTCCACACTCTTTATCTAGATCCTATCACATATGGACGATGGTTCTATATCCCGATTCTGGAAGTCCATGAACATAGTACGCAGATGTTACTATGTAACGGTGTCGAAAGGTATATAGCTTAACTCGGTTGTAACGCGTCAAGCTGAGGCATATAAGCGGCGACTCGGACCTGGTTTACCTTGCAATCATCGGAGGTGAGCCGTCTTTCATTCATATAGACTACCATATGGATGTTCTTATGCGGGATAACCATGCTCATGGCATGCAATTCGACAAGTACCGTGTACCAGCCTTCGCGATGTGCGAGATCGCTTTCTTAACATCTCTTACATCAATTAACAGTGATCTCTCGCAGCTTGCTGCCCAAGGTTTTCGTCTCAATGCACACACCCTGGAGCTCCTGCCAACCATGACCCCGCTGAGGAGGAACACTCAAAGCGACACCCGATATACGAACAGCCCGGTGACCACAGCATCATCATTGTTGGTGCGTGTCAATTCATCCTTGGTGTAATTTTTGTTGCAACATTACGCAACACATTGTAGTGCACTGCTGCAACCAGCGCTACGCATAACTATACCATTCACGCCAGTGCCATCCTGCACACTTGTTAACATCCTTGGTGACCCTTCGACCAGAAATTAGAGGAGCACTGGAGCCGTGTCTATAGCCGCGGCACACTATACACAATTATATCACTGCGGCCGGGACCCGCAGGCTAGATAATCCAGATTATCATATACCGGAGTGAAAACAAATTTGAAAATGACACTGCTCTGATAACACTGTTTGAATTCAAGAGAACATGGAAACCGACGTCCCTAAAGTAAGATGGTGCATGCGGGAGGGCGCCCCCTCGCATCACTGATCAACGACAATTTCGAGCGCCTGGAATGAATTGACAACAGTTCGAGTCGCTACTGCTGGAAATGCAAACATTGCGGCGACACCTGCAGTGCTGATAACCCATCAGGTGCTCGATCGGAATCGGATCCAGGATCGTGACAACAACCTACCGAACAAGCGCTGTGAAAATGCAACTGCTGCTCTGCACCAAGCAGCGCGCCTGTTTGTTATGGAAAAGACAGCAACTCCAGTGCCACTGTTTCAAATGCTATTCTTACTTCGGCTGCTTCGAGCTCTCAAGAAGTTCTACTGCCGCCGTCATTCTCATGCATGCCACACAAAGCTTGATCGACACGTCCGCGTCATTCCCATGATGCAAGAGACACAAAGCTTTTTATTCCTTACTCAAGGCTTGATCGACAAACCTAAATCTTGAAATAACCTTTTTCATTCATGCCAATATTCCCTTCCGTGTCATTGGCGACGAAGAGTTTTTCAACTTGAAATTTCCACAGACTACTGCTGCTAGGCACCTAGAGTTTTGCCGGTTATATGTAAGCTCGTTGCTTACCTGAGTTCCCATAATCAACATCAATACTGTCCGAGATAATCAAGCGTGAGCTTTGATTATCATGGGGTGGCCATTTGTGTCCTCCCGTTTCGGATGAAATTCCCACACCAAACCACAGTGCTACGCGATTGGGGAGCCGGCACTGGTGGGGGGATAAAAAGATCTGAAAACGTGGAAGGGTGTAAGCTCGTTGCTTACCTGAGTTCCTATAATCAACATAAATACTGTCCGAGATAATCAAGCGTGAGCTTTGATTATCACTGCCTTTTGGCCTAACGGTCTGGGCGTAACGGTTACTAAGGGACGACAGTCTTGACTACTTACATTATAACCGGCAAAACTAAACCCGAGTAGCCTAGTTCTGCCCCCTACAATATGCACCGGCCGTTGTTGCCACTGTCCTAGTCGGTGTTGAGCTCGCATGCCAAAATCGTATAGAAAATTGAAAGCTACTATGACGACTACATCTTTGTCGTCTGCAGCTGCAGGTAGCAGCCTCTACACAGATGGAGAAAACAAATTGCTCGAGGAGACTCAATGATTGGATGCTGCTAGTCATGGTAGGATGGAGCTGCTGCTAGTCATGGTAGGATGGAGCTGCTGCTAGTCACGGTAGGACAGAGCTGCTGCTAGTCATGGTAGGACGGAGCTGCTGCTAGTCACGGTAGGACAGAGCTGCTGCTAGTCATGGTAGGACGGAGCTGCTGCTAGTCACGGTAGGACGGAGCTGCTGCCACTTTAGCGATGGTCAAAAGTGTGGCCCTAGTTAGAAAAAAATATATGCTGCTTTCAGAAATACAGAATGGCAAGCGGCAGGTGTCAAAGTGACAATTGATGATGATGTGGTCCGACTGGCCAACCACACCACAACAAATGATTAAACAAACCAGTACCTATTCTAGGTCCTTTGAATCTCAAATGACGCAGCATACCTTCCTCTCAAGGGATAAACTTAAAAAACGGAGTGGTGCCTTGCGGGGGTGAGATTAAAATCAAGATATGTACAAACATGTTTAACTTTTCCTTGGACACGGCCGACACGGCTTATGGTGGGTTTGCTGCATCATATGCTGTGCTCATCATAAGCTGTGATCATCATAAGCTGTCGTACCTTAGATCTCAGGCGCAATCAGGTTGGCTCAAGTCGCAATTTATTTATGTCCAGTGCGCAGTGGCCCTGGGGAAGGCAAGCATTTAGGGTACCGCACGGGTAACACCGAGGGTCGGAAAGTTGACACCGCACCCGCACCCGCCAACACCGTACCCTTCACGGGTACGGGTACACACCGACCCGTCAATGTCGCGGTTTATGGAAAACACCGCGGTGTCTCTGAACACCGCGGGTACATTACCAAGAAGAGTGTATTAAGTATTAACAACAATGAAATAAAATAGTACTACTTTTCCTTGTCATTCTCCTCTGCTTCGACTTCATTTCGCTTCCGTTTTTGAGTCCTGACAGCGGCTAAAAGGTCCTCCATCACCAGAAGATCACTTCTGCCCCACGCTCCGAGGCAGAGAAAGGCACGAATTGTTGATGGTGCGAGTCGGTTGCGAGTAAAATGAAGGAGCTGCCGGCCCTGCGAGAAGACACGTTCAACCGCAGTTGATGTTGCTGAGCAAGATAATAAGTATTGATTGATTGAAAGAGGATTCGAAGGAGACATACCTGGGACAGAGAGATAGTCGAGTGCCATCCGATGCAGCATTGGATAAGCACGGCAGTTGTTTTGCCACCATGCGAGTGGGTCCTTGGTTTTCACAGTTGGTAATCGAAGAAACTCATCCAACTCGCTACTAGTAGTACGAGACATGGAACCAAGTGAGTAGTCACCAAAGTCATCCTCGTTCTGTATAGTTGTCAGTGTCAGTGCAAAATTAAATGTTGCATACGGACTGTGTCTGCTTCAATGTCATCAGTAATCTCGGCAGATTTCTCGTATTTATCAATAAACTCTTCGCGAACGAGCTTCTCGGCAATGTCAATCCATTCTTTCTCCCAGGAATGCTCACGGAAGTACTCGAGCTTCAAGCCAGGATGTAGGACTTTATGAAGATGATTAATCAATGATGTCAATGAAAGTTTGAAAGGCTGACCCATGGCAATGCGGTATACGTTGGAGAGATCTGTAATCTTCCAGTAGCGATCCATCTTGTTCTTTGCAAGCTGCATAGCCGACACAACTGCAGGGTGATATGCTTCCTTCGTCTGTTGATTGAGCTTGCTATCAAGTTTGTCCATTGCCGGTATCACGGCTGCGATAGTGGCTGAGTCCTGAGAGAAGAACAAGGTAGCCTTCTTGTATTGCTGGTGGATCAAAATAAGTGAGACAAATAAATACAATGTATGACGAGCGAGACCTACAGAGAGAACCGCAACGAGGTCAGCAACAATTTTCCACTCATCGTCATCCAATTCATATTTTTTAGCCCGCCTGAGGCTTTTATCACTCGTTATGCGATCAATGGGTACCTGATACTGTAACGCGAAGACCAGCATGTCATATGTGGAATTCCAACGTGTCGCAACATCACGTGGCATGAGCTTTTCTTTCAAGTGTGATGCTCCACATGCCCGTCGCCATGCTGGGAGCAAGAGAGTTGTTGAACGAATTACAGCGAAAGACAGACCACGAATCTGCCATATGATATTAGCTAGTATTAGATGCGGATCTAAGACACTGACCTTTGCAATAGTTCCTTTGACAGCGGCAGTGTCATCTAACATCTTCTCACGATTGGCTTGCGAGAGCATTTCCAACTCGTCAATATTGTCATCAGCGTCATCAAGCTCAGAGGTCAAGTCAACTTCCTCTACTTCCGAATCATCATCTAACATAAGTGGCGGCTCATCATCATCCACATCATCATTGGCTTCAGATGTTGATGCTGCTGATGACTCGGAGCTGAATGGTTTCAGCAAAGCTTTTGCCGAAAGCTGGAGAGTATGATTAAAACATCGAACACGGTTGACAGACTCAAACGAGTTGTCGAGGCTCGCAAGCTTTGTTGTTTGAGTATCATTGGCAGTCGCGTTATCAGCATTGACTGCAAGAATCTACAATCTTCACGTTAGCATGATTTCTGCAATATTCAAGATCGGCTTACTCTCTTCGTCAGCCCAAAGCGTTCAAGCATTGCTTGAAAGGCTTTCGCCATTGCAGCACCAGTATGTGACTATAAGATAAGATTGTGAAGATTGGTGGAGCATTCGAAATGGCCTGTGACGTACCTCGGCAACTTCAATGATGTCAAGCAGAAATGAAAACATTTTACCCTCATACTCGAGGTGGACTGTCCACGCTACAAAAGCACGGTGGTTGGGTGAAGTCCAAGCATCCGTGGCAAAGTGTAAGCGTCCAGGGTGATCCTAACCATTGTGTTAGCCAATTTTCTGATGTTAGCGAAAAGCTTACACGGAGAAGCTGTCCAATGCGTTCGCTACACTTCTCGAATGCTACTTTGATATTGCGGGACAATACATCAGGTGATGGAAGTTCAATGTTCGGGCGACCTGCACAAAGAAGCTCGCGGAGTTCACGATCATTGATTATATTAACTGGGCGATTACTTTCAGTGATCCATTTCACGAGACGAGCACTGAAACTAATGTTAGCATGCAAAAATATCCAGATTCAGATCATTTACCGAACTTCTGGGTTCGTGTGTGTCCGATGGGAGTAATGGACGGGCTGTTGGCCTTGGCGTGCAAATGCTGCGTAGACAGAGCCACTATTAGCACCAGCATCCTTGCCCTTCATGGCGTTGTTGACGGCATCCTCGCCAAAGCATCCAATGGCATGGTGCTTCAGATTAGTCGTCGAGGACTTATCCTTTGTATCCTGATAGCGGCGCACACCACCTAAAGCTGTCTTACACTTACGCGCACCACACGGGAAAAAATGACACAAGCGGCCATTGTGGTGTTGGACCACAACTTCGGATGAAAAGAAACTATAGATAGGTGACCGCCAAGTCTTCTTGAGAGCCTCTGTATCATTGTATAATCAGATATTTGCAAAAATCAATGGAAAGAAACATACCAAGATCTGCAGAAGGATCGGGATCAGGCTCGAATGCACCTGCCGTTGATTTGTTATCGTCAGTGGCAAGTGAATCAGTACTTGATCGCGTAAGATCAACGGTGTCTGTGGGGCTCGATCGAGAAGACCGAGACACAAATGACTGCTTGACCTTCTTCAAGGGGCGGGCCAGAGCCTTAGCACCCTTTGCAACAGCCTTTTTGAGTGACCTGGCCTTCTCGGAGATGGACGACGAGATAGACTTAGATGATGAGTGTGACTGGGTAGACGAAGCATCAGATGCCTTCTTTGTGAGCTTAGTTTTCATGGGGAGACGACTCAGTGGACTTACTGGTCTCGAGTTTTTGCCTTGGCTTTATGGTAGTGACTCGAGCTTCTCTGCAACGAAGTGTCAGCTCAATAAATTGCTAGAATGATTCACGGGGGTACAAAAGACATGACAGAAATCAGTATAGCATTCACTTGTGATCCTCAAGCTCTCAGAGGAAGGAAAAACAGAGAATCAAACACGGTGTTCAATGGCTGTCGCGCGCCTGGTTCCCGATTTGGTATATTATACCCGCCCAAACACCGTCAACCCGCGGTGAATGGCCACGGTATGCTCAAGGGTACGACTATCCTACTCCGTACCCGTACCCTCCAAACCCGTCAGCATAGAACCGCGGTGTTACCCGTACCCGTGCGTTTCCCTACAAGTATTTCATCAAACCTCGTATTCCAGGAACTTATTTTGATGTAAAATCCGTTGTATAGACGCTCCTCGCGCACGCGGCGTAGAGCTAAGTTACCGTTATAGATCAGCAAATTCGACACCCTCCGGATCCAGCGCCTGGCCTAATCACTTGCAACTGACACTACCCTATAAATCAGTGTATTATGACACGCCTATCATCCAATTTTACAAACAACGCCCATACGACACGCCCCATGCGACACGCTTATCAACACATCGAAAATATACATTACATACAGTGATCAACCGCTCCTTTGGACGGTGAAATGAAAAAAACGAGTGTAAAAAAATGAAATCTTTAATATACAAAAATTGATCTGGTACATCTGACAGAGCAGGGTTTGATCTACTATATACCAAGTTTTTAAAACATCTGGGGCCCTGCTTAGTTGGCAGCACCTCACTTGGTTGAACGAGTCATTTTCTCGCCTTCCTGATTCGTTTGTACAGTTGGTGTGACAACCATGTTACAGCGTGTGACAAATGTCACATTTCACCGCTCGTCGTACTCGTCGTCATCCTCATACTCGCTGTCATCGCAAATCGACCCTTCGTGAATGTCAATGAACTCTCCTTGATCTTGCCCATCCTCCTCATCAATATTTCCACCATTTCTCCTTGGATTCTTTGGCTTAGGACAAGGCTTCTCGAGTGGTCCTCGGACAGGCTTCTTCCACTGTGGTTTTCGTTTCTCTTGCTTTGCTAGCCGTTGTTCTAACCTCCCACTCTTTAACAGCTACCTTCCACTGCTCTGTTTTGGCTTTGTTTCGGTTTTTTCTTGCCTCATCCTCTTGCATCCACAACTCCATCTCTCGAGTTCGTACCATCCGTGCTGCTTTCCTTGTTTCCTTCTCGGCCGCTTTTGCCTGTTGACGCTCCTGGTATACCAGGACTTGCTCGAAGACCTCGTCACTGGTAAGTAGCCTTGGCATACCATCTCCATTCAACTTGACATTGTCACCCTCTCGGCAGCCTTTCTTCTCTTGTGTCTCGAGATGACGGCGAACTCGATCACAGTAGCGTCCCTGGAGAATTACAGTTGCTTGAAGGGCGCTTACATGCTCTTTGAGCGTTGTGACCTGCTTGGTGAGTTTTTTGACTGTCTCCTCGAGTTTTTTCTCCCGTGTTGACTTTGAAGATATGTTACAGTGAAATCTCGCACGTTTAATGGGTGAGACTATTGCTAGTGGCATGGTAGGCAACCTTGAACTTGATTTGATGGGAGATGATGATATAAGGAATTGTGCAGATGTTTCCTCGAGTCGTGCGAAGACATTTGGAATGGTTCTATCACCAGTCTGAAAAGGACTATCGTTCTCGTAAGTATTCTCGTCTGCTGTTTGATAAATTATTGATCTGATCTTTGAAATGCAAACAGTGAGGATTACCTGGAGTTGTCTCGTCGTTAATACTACCATCTTCTTCAGCAATTGTACCAAGTTGAATATCACAATTACGAGTTTCCGCCCTTGGTTGCAGGTCTCTGAGCAGCTGTATTATGGCTCGAACAGGAGATTCAGGAGTGATTGGAAGGTGGCCCTGGTTAGATGATTCGCGAGCAGGAGCTAACATCTCATCTGTGACGACTTTAGGATTGAAAGGCCATACACCGGTTTTTCGGAATGCAGATTTAATGGTTTCTGATGTGAGTGCACGAATGTGGGCAGCACCATAGATTGCAAGGAAGTTGCTTTTCGTCACTTTCTCTCCTTTCTCGCGCTCCCATTTGTCTCGTTCTTCTGACCAACACTGCTTAAGGACACCAAATACTGCCACATCTAGGCCCTGGTAGATGTGGGTACTGTGTGCAGGATAGCAGAGGACGTGAATTCGGTGCTGCCGAGCATACTCCAGGAATGCGCGAGTGTAGTGAGAATTGTGCCCATCAACGAGAAGTAGGCGAGTACGACCATTAGCTTTGTCACATGTCTGCTCATCGAATTGTTTGATCCAGAGTGCACCAATCTCGCCGTCAGTCCAACCCTTCTTTGAATAACCAATACTATAAAGAACAGTGTTATATGAGTGATTAAGAGCACAACATAATGCATGCCAACTCACGATGCTTTGAGTGGATTATTTTCGTTCCACTTGGACTGATATGCCTTTCCCTTGAAAATCACCGCAGGTGCAATTGTACTTCCATCTGCGCAAATTGTGACTAACACAGTAATGTTTTCACGATTGCTGTTTCGCTGCTGATACTGAACCTGCGTTCCAGCACTACCAAGTGCTCGTTCTTGGGTGCTTCCTCCTCCTGGTTGAATTCCAGTCTCATCGACACCCCAAATACACTCTGGTGCCATTGGTTTGTTGTCGTCACCACTCTCCAGGACATCCTTCAACATTTCGAACCATGCCTTGTTAGTTGTCGGGTTCACGGCACGGCCATGAGCAGTATCAAGTGAATGTGCTCGGTAAGCTCGTAGGTGATCAGAGTGCTTCTCGACGAAGCGCTGAGTCCAGTTTTTTCCCACTCCAGACTGCGGGAAGGCATCTCCAAGTCGGGCTCGACAGATTTCATCAACATGCTCCTTGAGACGCTTGTGGCTAAGTGGAAAGCCACGTTGAGCCATTTCCACAACATATTCAATAACTTTGTCTGTTTCTGTGGGTGTGAGCCAGCTTTTCGTGGAGCTATTGAATTCGCTAAGCCGAACCCCTCCCTTGGCGAGATTTGCCAGAGTATTATGATTTAAATTGACAACTTGGCCCGTTTCCTTGAGGTATGCCTTCTGAACATCCCTGCACACCTTTCGAAGGCCCTGCTTCTTCTCTGAGCTTGGTTTTGCGAGTTCAGCTTGGTACATAGCCACAGCACGAGCCATGACTTTTTCTTTCTCCTCACGCAAGACCTGTGCCTTCTTCGTCAATGATTTTGGCCTCCCAACCATATTAAGAGAATATATGCATGTTTTGAAGATATATGTTGAATACTGGCAGCAAAAGGGAGATGTTGAGCGAGACTGAGTCAAAAAGGCACCTCGTGTCCAAGCTTAGTCTGTATAATGAAGTTACTCGTGGATCACAACGTGTTTCACCAATGAAACTTTGACTAAAATCATCTCCACTGCTTCTAATCCATCTGTAATGTTCATACATAAAGTAGAACGGGTGAAACTTAGTGCAGTGGTGAGGTTTTGATGCTCGAGAAATTCAAATATATTGCCCTAGAGGTATAATTTGCAGCTTCGGATGGATTTATAAATTTGAGCACTGTAATTTTGGTACCATCGCATAGCAGGATGTATTCTGAACATGATGATATATGATTTGCAGGGAGTCGACAAAGAATGCAATGAGAAAATCAAATTGTACAGTGGAGTAGTAGTGTACAAAGGACCGTGGGATCACTGTACCATATCCATTTGCAATGGTGGTTGGCGGGACCAATGACCCCCTGGTGTTTAAATACCTCCAACTGGACGGCAAGTGCAACAAAAATTGTGACTTTTGCTTTCCAAAGTTTCTTTGACCATCCTCTGGTACGTCGGGTATCCACCTAACAACTGGACTATGGCTGACTCGTAGCACAGTATATCCTCCTAACAACCTCATCTATCAGCTTCACCTTGCAGCGATCCACTGTCGTATATATACATGCCTCTCGACACCTTGAACGTGGATCCAGAGACCGCCTTTCGAGTGGAACAAAGTGGTCAACCACTCATTGTATATGAGTGTAAACTAGAGGGAGTCCCCTGCGGAATGTTCGTGGAGGGAACGACCAGCGCGGTGTCCGCTCACCTGCGAGGACATGGCATCATTGGCCCGGACAGCGCCAAGATAGGTTGTCCGTGGGCAGGTTGCTCCAAGACACTCAAGAGGGGAGGGTTAACAAGGCATATCCTTACTCACCTCGGTGTCAAGGTGCGGTGCTCCATATGCGGAGTTGTGAGATGCCGTCACGACGTCCTTCGTGCGCATATCAGACACTCAGAGTTGTGCCATTTCGCATTTATCGAAATTGTCCATGGACCCGAGGGTCGTTTGCTTGTCCCTACGGGTGGGACCGCTACCCATCAGGTCTAATGATTTCTGATATATCACCTTCAAAAGTTTTCTGACGGACACTGTTTTGTACTAGTAAGTACTTTGTTGTACAATTACAGTGAGATTGTATGGTAGTGTATTATACGTACCAATAGATATCCAGAGGGAGGGGGATTTCGAACCGGATTTCAAGGATAGCTATCGTGGCCGTGATGGTGAAATGTATGCGATTTTACTTTGTGTTGATGCTATTCCTGTTCTGGACTGTTGGCGTCAACGCCGCATACCCCGGTGATTAACTAGCGGAAGCGCTGCATTTCGACGATGAATGATAACTCAAATCCGGCATAGCGACGAAACTTTTCGCTACAAGTTCGTGAGATTCTCGACAACGAAGCGTTGCGTTTCATCAAACGCCTGCGCAAAATGCACTTGGCAATTGCTTCTTGATTGATAACGCAATACATGCCAAGCCTCCTGATTGAGCAATCAGAACGAGTCATTCAAGATGAGTAGACGTAAGTATCGCTCAGCCTGGTTTGTGAAGCCTTCCACAAGCCTGCCAACATTCCCTTGGCTGCATATGATGAATCGCTACGCACAGGATTATTGTGCCTGACCTTTCTTGCAATCGCAATTCGGGACTTGCCACTCTTCATGGAAGTGAAAGTTGATAGTGTAGAACAAAATAGTAGAGCGATATGAAATGCGAAACGGATGCAGGCAAATAGTCGAGGATGAAATGAACTTCGAACTTGGTTTTCTGTCTGAAATAGCGAACGCGGAAACCACGTCTTGCTTTCTTCAAGATAGGGAAGTAACGAGAGCATTGCCAACTTGAGGCTTGCTGGGGGATGTCCGCTATGAACCTCTTCAATCACTTGTGCTTGTACGAACGAGACCAGAGTCTTGTGCATACTTTCGCCCATCGATAACTGAAACAAAGGACCACGGCTGGCACATCTTCGAAATGGTTTCTGCTGACAGCTGAAACATTACCAACGACTACCGTTCTCAGCCTGGTTGGAGGAGCTTGCTGCACCAGTGCCTAAAAATTAGACGAGGGCTGCGACGATCGCGCCAATCACGGCTGTGACAGCTGTAGGGGTCCCTATCCTTATCGCGATCGGAACGGTAATAATCGTGGTCATGATATGAATCACGGTAGGAGTCGCGGTGGTAAGAGCCGCGGCCTGAGCCTGAGTAGGTGTCCCTAGTGACGATGTCCCATATACTCCCCAGGTGTTGGTGCGTGCGAGACAGAATAGTTGACCCCAATATGGCGTACATTCAGTTCCTATGAAGGAGATCAGCAAGGAAAGCATACGCATGAAAGGAAAACGTACGACTCCGTTGAGTTCCTGAATGCAGCGAGTAGCTTCTTCCGTGCTGGACATTCTTATAAAGCCGAAACCACGACTGGAACAATTGTAACTTTTTCGACTCCTCCAAAAAGAGAGAACTCTTCGTCTAAATCCCGCTCTTGTGTCCTAATACTTAAACCGAAAACCCCAAAAACTTGGGATGGGTTGGGCGCCTTCTTTGCCCCATAAGCGCCTTGCGAAGCATGAGGAGAACATGTGGAATGTACAATTAAAGCATGTATTGGCTTTTAGGAGGCGGAGACCTGCGCTTTTGAGGGAGGACCAAGGTAACCGGTGCTGCGGGCTCCAGGACTTCTCGAAGGAGAACGACCGCGTAGTGGGGCAGCATCTGGTCTCTGATGTAGCAGTGGCGGGTGCTGGTGCATTGTGTGCATCTGAGTGAGGCACAACTAAAGGTTTCCCGTATTGATCCTAACAGAAAGGTAAGAAGTTAGACAAAGTTGCCTTGGGCACCGAAAATGTGACGCACCACGGCAGTTGAAGTTGAAGAAAAATTTGGCGTTGTTTGTCGCTTGTTTGTCTCAAGATGTTCTTCAGTGACATATGCGACGAACCAATGAGTCCTGGAGTCTCTCATAGAAGTGAGTGCTCTGAGTGAGCGCTGACGCGACACGGTATCATAAGAAGTGTGTGTTTGGCTCCTTTACAACTTGCAGACGACAACGAATTGAGCATCCCTTAGGCCTGGAGCTGAGGGAGATATTAACTAGCGGCCTTTTAGCTGCTCATCGTCACAATCATCATTCCCCTTGAACTCCTGAATCTCTTCAGCCTCAGCCTTACCCTTATTCTTCCCTGCATTGTCAGGAACCGATCGATGTCGTTGGGTGTTGTGGAACTCTCCCGCTGGCATATCATCCAACCAAGTACCAGCCTCATCTTCAATCTCTTCATCTCCGGCGTCATGGCTATTGGTCAACAGCAAGCTGTTCATTACATCATGTTGCTGTTTGCTCTCTTTGGCATTTGAAGGCTCAAGCGCTAGCGCTCATCGTTTCGACATCCCTCGTGTGAGTTTGGTTATTTGAAAAAAGCCTCGTGGCCTTTTCTGGTGTGGACACCTTGCACACTGATCTCATGAGTGTTTTTCCAACAATAATATATTTCCCACAAACGGCTAGCTCCGACACTTAGTCCTCATCTCATGAGATTTGTGCAAGGTGTCCGCACCAGAAAAGGCCACGAGGCTTTTTAAAGTGATATGGATTTACTTTTCTGGTGCGGGGCGCATTCTTCTTCATCAGTAACGTTAAGGTGAGCGCTGTGGTGAGCGGTATTCGGAGCTAGCCGTTTGTGGGAAATTATATATTATTGTTGGAAAAACACTCATGAGATCATCTTGTGCAAGGTGTCCGCACCAGAAGAGGCCGAGGCTTTTTAAAGTGATATCGATGGATTTATTGGCAGATGTCATGCAATGCTTAATTTCCGTGTTGCACAGAGAAGAACACAACTAAAATTTCCAACACGTCAGTGCTTCCCTTGAGCTGGATTACTGTCCGTCTCCTCGTTTGGAGGTTTCGAAGTAGAAAGACCGCGAAGATTGTCTCCTTACGAGGTTTGGTTTACAATGACAACGAATTTTGAGTTCGGATGATCTTAGAGTCCCTCTTCGGGATACTAGTATAACTTAAAATCATTCATTCATTCCTTAACGCCCAAAGCTAACTAACTTACTCCCACCTACAAAGCCTCATTCCGCTCTCGACACCCACTTTAGTAGAGATAGTGTTCTGTAAAATCTAATTGTCTTCGCTAAGTCTCGAGGATCGCAGACAGCAAGGATATAGCCAGCAAAAAAGGGACCCAGCCGCGAGAGCGGTGGGACCCCATGCATGCATGGATTTGGGAGACAAGCATGAGCATCTGTAATTTTTTTTGTGGCAATGATTTTCAATAGGTCCCGGATGCCGCCTCCAACGCTATTGGTTTGAATAAAAGTACCTGTGCATTCTACTCGTCATACTGTCCTCAGTCCATTGATGCTCGATTGCAAGAATGCGTATATATTTCAGTTCGACATAAACCAGCTGCTTTATATGACACTTGTGAGTTTGTGCGAGTTCTCTTTGAAAGTTCTCAGTACATTCTGTGATCATGAAGATCTGCCGTCATCTTGGACCAGAATCTGATACCAGGATCCGTGCCTACGAACTTCTTTGTCGCGGTGCCTTGGAGATCAGATCGATCAGATCTGGAGATTGGAAATTCAAAAAATGTTATCTCGTTCTCTTGTGTTATGGGCACGAGTAGGACGCATGAGAATTCCTATGCAGAACCCAGGCTGGCATCCGGACAGAAATTGACCAAAAAGACTGGATGTGGCTAAAGCGAACCAAGTTTATGGATGCATACGTACGTGTCTCTGGCACAATCTGGCAGAACACTATTAATGTCAATCACATGGGTACGGCTCGGTTTCGACACAAGCGTAAGAGATATTTAACATACTAGTAGAGTGCAGGATGTCTGTGGAGGGAACAGCCAGCGCAATGTCCGCACACCTGCAAGGACATGGCATCACTGGCCCGGACGGCGCCAGCACAAGTTGTCTGTGGGCTTGTTCAAGTTGCTCCAAGACACTCAAGGCAAAGTGCATACTTGCTCACCTCGGTGTCAAAGTGCGTTGCTCCGTGTGCGGAGTCGTGAAGTGTGATTTCGACCTCCTTTGTGCGCATATCAGATCCTCAGAGTCATTGCCGTCTTGCACGTGTCAATATTGTCTATGGACCCGAAGGTCGTTTCTGTTCCATTCGAAACAAAGTCTCTGGATCTACCGTGACGGGAATGATATCGAGAGGTGTGTATAAGAAAGCGGGTTGTCAGGGGGAGGAGCTGGTGATTTGTTAGAAGGACAGACTGCCGTGTTGTGAGTCAATAATAGTAATATTTAATCCAATCGTAAGGCCGCGGACGCGCCAGTTCCCGACTTCGCCGACCGCAGAATAAGTCTTCAGATGCCGATCACATGTACTGTTCGTGCGAAACCTCTACAACCTCCTAGTACGAGCTTCTTGTCTTATTCATACTGGACAAAACAATTCAATCATCTCATACGTCCACAAGCCATCCATCGACGTGCCATTAATTTCCCATGGAGTCCTGCTCATTTCGTCAACTCTTTGACCAATTTCAGTAAGTGTGAGACATGTGCAAACGGTTTCAAACATATCCGCCCCTGATCAATGCAGGGCTTTACCCATGGGCTCCATATGTTATTGCCAAACGACCTCCTTACTCTGTTTTTCATCTCTCGATGACCACAATCATTAACACCGTCATGTGCGCCACATTGTTTGAAGTTGTGGAGGACCACTTATGGCAAGGAAGATTCATATTGGGTACTATGACATACAACTTACTTTTGCTGCTCATCTGACTATGCATCATGTATAGATTCTCGTCGACATGGCAGGCCCGCCCGAATTGCGGCCATCTCAATATCCACAGTACGCCAGTCCGCGATGCAGAGACGCGTCCACAGACCTGAGTGGATCGCTGTCGTCAACAGTGGTGTATTTATGGACTCCGATTTGCATGCCTACTTTGGTGCATGGGACCGCCCTCTCTACACGCCTTGAAATTCATCGAGAGTGAGACCAATACGTTACATGACGTGATCACGACAGCAACGCCATCAAAAGAAACGCGACCTGTGAACGTTAGAGGACACCAGAAGCAAGAGCCGTGATGTGACACAATACATTTCAACAGCCAAGCACAAAACATCTCAGCAGTGGCAAAGATCGCAGTGTGATAGTGAGGATAATAGAGCGCGTCATAATAATCAGGATAATCGCATATATTGTGAGTGGTGGATGGCGGACATACAGCCTCATCCAACATGCAAGGAACGCGCAAAGGCGCCTTAACCGAAAACATTCTGGTGTACAAAAGTGAGGTCGGAATCTTAAGCGATAAATAGACGCACCGAGGTAATAATGAAGGACACAGTAATACTGTAAGGCAGGCAATCGAAGAAGTTTGCAAAGGGTAAAGCGGGGAGTACAAGACAATGCTATGCTGATATAATCGCTGACATAAGACATTGCCACAGTCGATTTGGAAGTCGGGAACTGTTATCTGGAGGCACGTGCTCAACGCACCAGGGTCCAGGGTCCGGTTAAGAGTATATCCCGACTTACCTGATTACAGGAGGCACAGGAGCTACTCCAGGAGTCCTCCTAGGGGTAGTAGCCCTCGCAAGGATTATGATGGTCCTTCAGGCACTGGTGCGGCAAGCTCCTCCAACCAGGCTGAAAACGGTGGTTGTTGGTGATGGTTCAACGTTCACCTGTCAGCGGAAACCATCTTGAAGGTGTGCCAGTCGTGGTTCCTTGTCTCAGTTGTCGATGGGCGAAAGGAGGTCGTTCGTACAAGCACAAGTGATTGAAAAGGTTCACGGCGGTCATCCTCCAGCAAGCCTCAAGTTGGCAATGTTCTCGTTACTTCCCTATCTTGAAGAAAGCAAGACATGGTTTCCGCGTTCGCTATCTCAGACAGAAAGCCAAGTTCAAAGTTCATTTCATCCTCGACTATTTGCCTGTATCCGTTCCGCATTCATATCGTTCTACTACTTTGTTCTACACTATCAACTTTCGCTTCTGTGAAGAGTGGCAAGTCCCGGATTGCAATTGCAAGAAAGGTCGGGCACAACAATCCTGCGCGTAGCGATTCAGCATATGCAGCCAAGGGAATATTGGCAGGCTTGTGGAAGGTTTCACAAACCAGGCTGAGCGAAACTTACGTCTACTTATCTACTCGTTCTGACATTAATGATTGCTCAATCAGGAGACCTGGCATGTATGGTGTTATCAATCAAGCAACTGCCAAGTGCATTTTGTGCAGGCGTTTGATGAAATCTGTTCGTCACTACGTCGGATTCGAGTTGTTATCGACCATCAGAATGCACTGGTTCCGCTGGTTAATCGTGGGCATGTGGCATCGACGCCAACAGGAATAGCATTAACATACAGCAAAATCGTACACATTTCACCATCACAGCCACGATAGCTAACCTTCAACTCCGAATCGAAGCTCCCCCCTGGATATCTATTTGTACGTATAATACACTACAATCTCGCTATAATTGTACAATAAAGTACTTACTAGTACAAAACGGTATCCGTCAGAAAACCTTTGAAGGTAATATACCAGAAATCATTAGACCTGGTGGGTAGCGGTCCAACCTGTGGGGACAAGAAAACGACCCTCAGGTCCATGGGCAATATCAACACATGCGAAACGGCATGACTCCGATGATCTGATATGCGCACGCAGGAGGTCGCGACGGCATTTCACAACTCCGCATATGGAGCATCGCACCTTGACACCGAGGTGAGTTAGGATATGCCTTGTTAACCCTCCCCTCTTGAGTGTCTTGGAGCAACCTGCCCATGGACAACTTATCCTGGCGCTGTCCGGGCCATTGATGCCATGTCTTCGCAGGTGGGTGGACAGCGCGCTGGTCATTCCCTCCACGAACATTCCGCAGGGGACTCCTCCTAGTTTACACTCATATACAATGAGTGGTTGACCACTTTGTTCCACTCGAAAGGCGGTCTCTGGATCCACGTTCAAGGTATCGAAAGGCATGTTGTATACGACAGTGGATCGTTGCAAGATGAAGCTGATGGATGGAGTTGTTAGGAGGATATGTTGTGCTACGGGTCAGCAATAGTCCAGTTATTAGGTGGATACTCGACGCACCAGAGGAGTTGAGAATGTGGTCAAAGAAATTTTGGAATGCAAGGTTCGCAATCTTTGTAGCACTTGCCGTCTGATTGCAGGTATTTAAACACCAGGAAGCCATTGGCATTCTACCTGCCACCGCCATTCATCGTGCAAACGGATGCGGCAATAGTCGAAATGTCCATATAAAAATAAAAAACGTAGTGGGTTGTACGAGAGTATCGTGTAATATACGCAGCATTAGATGGACGCGTGGGGATGATTTTTCGCTTTTAATACACCTTCTTGGTATGCCGAATGGCAAGTAAAGGATTACTCTCCGTTGGAGCATGAACGCTTATCAAAACTGATTAACCAAATGAGGGGTTATGTCAAAAGGGTGATGTCAAAAGGGTGATGTCAAAAGGGTGTTAGAATTCTCAGCCAATTAAGAGCTGTCTATGGAGGCTAGCGTACGTGGTACATGTTACGTCAGATTCATCTACATATTGTGAGGACGGAGCGTTTGATCCTGCGGAACCAGTTCTTGTCGTCGCCATGTCAAAAAGGTGTTGGAATTCTCAGTTAAACATGACGGAGAAGCGGCTGGATGCCCCTGAGTGGTACAAGCGCTCAGGAGATCCCCAATTAAGAGCTGTCTATGGAGACTAGCGTACGTGGTACATGTTACGTCAGATTCATCTACATATTGTGAGGACGGAGCGTTTGATCCTGCGGAACCAGTTCTTGTCGTCGCCATGTCAAAAAGGTGTTGGAATTCTCAGTTAAACATGACGGAGAAGCGGCTGGATGCCCCTGAGTGGTACAAGCACTCAGGAGATCCCCAATTAAGAGCTGTCTATGGAGACATGTCACATAAGACATAATTGATATCCACGGACGCTAGGATCTCAGATCTCAGATCTCAGGCCTCAGGGCGCTTGTACGGTAACTTAGCTAGAGTCCGTGTGCGTCACGATCATTGAGAGAGCCTCTCGCCCGGAGTGCATGTAGAATGGACTTTACACATAAATAAGTTGGTTCATTTTACCACAGGCGTGTAAAACGCCAAAGCACGCCGCCCCGCTGACACATCCGCAACGCGACGCGTCCTACTTACCAGTACTAACGCTCAACGCGCAGATCTGCAGATCCCATTCCGTCGTCTTCGCATTACAGGATGCACCGCACCTGTACCTGCACTTGAGGACCACTCGTAAGCACAGAAACCACTCACCAACGGAGCTCGCCGGGCCCCTTGTGTCGCCGTGTCGCGTCTCGCGCTGTTGTTGCTACGCGATTCCGTCAAAATTTCACGTGCGCACACGCAGAAAGACGGCATAGTTTATGTTTTTTCTCTGTCCATAATGTACAGCTGTATATACGTGCACCCATGCAATATACATGTTTGAATTTGCTTAATTGTATGGCGAAAATGAGCTCGTGCGCCCGCCCGCTCTACCCATGTAAAATTCCGCCGCCGGAGCTCTCAGCCACCCGTAAAATCCCAAGATTTTACAGTAAAATAAAGTGCGGCGGGCACTTTACCCCGACTTTTCCGTTCTTTTCTTGTGAAATGCGGCGCGCAGCGCGGCGAAAAATTGCATTTCTGGTTCCCTTCCCTCAAAATTTGGCTTTAAATGTAGCCTTACATTCTCACTACGGTTTCTGCTACTCTGAATGTTCCTAGAGGTGTGTAGTTCTTACCCTTTCATTACATGTTGCAACGCGCCTCACACTCAGACCAGGGGCTGCCCTAACGAGGCAGTGTGACCGTTTGTCACAATCGCGTTGCTCTTTGTCTAGTGTGGGGGGCAAAACTACTTGGCTTTAGTTTTGCCGGTTATAACCGGCAAAACTGGCAAAACCGGTTGTTTTGCCAGGGTGGCAAAACTTGGCAAAACTCTAGGCGCTTAGCTAGGTTATGTAGACTATGTGTATGACATTCCTAGTGGTGACATCAATATTAATGTTGCCTCATCCCAGCTGTCACCCTCGCCATTGTAATTAACCACCTCAATCTCATCTAGAACAGTCTGTGGTTGTTCAACCCGATCCAACAGGATCCAACTCGTCAAAATCGAAAGCATTTCCCACGAGAACTTCAACTTCGTTAATGCTCTGAACTTCTTCAGTCCTTTTCAACTCTTCGAGAGCTGCAAATTCAGCGGCAATGTCGTCAGGTGAGATAATCTCTAGACCAGTGAGAAGGTCATCTGTATTGCGAGGCTCAGTCGAGAGTGCAAATTGTGTTGCGCCGAGATCACAGAATGTGCGCTCTTGATGAATTATCAGTGTCACCGCAATGTTTGCATTTACAATATTAACAATGCGAGCTGTTGTCAACTTGTTCCAGGTGCTCGAAATTGTTGTTGATCAGTGATGCCCTCCAGCATGCACCATCTTACTTTAGGGATGTCATTTTGCATGTTCTCTTGAATTTAAACTATGTTATCAGAGAGTAGCTAGATTACATCTCCACGAGTCTTGGATATCCTGGAGTTGTACCAAGTTTTGCCACCCCCCTTTCGCGTGAGTTCTGCCGAGGACCGGGCACAACCAGTTTTGCCGAACCAGTTGGCAAAACTACTGAGTTTTGCCAACAACACTAGTGGGACTCAGAGTAGATTTTTTAAAGTCGCTAAAACATAACTAAGACTCGGTAAACTTTGAAAAAACTCGGCCATAGACGGCCGGCATAGATCGGAGTTCAAAACAAGACTTAAGCATTTCTGAGAGATAATGGGGGATATTGGGGGTAGCGCATATGATAGAGAATGTAGATATACGTAGATATGTCGAAGTAATTAGTCTGTCAGCCTCCAAACAACGAATGATCACAGGGACCCATCCCACAATTGCGCGAGTGAACAAGTGTCACGAGGAGAGGGGAAGGGAGCTGAGCCAAACACCTCGCGACTGTGGTGTGTTGGCGTCTGGAGCTTCCGCGGGAGAAGGAACATGGGTTTGTCCACTGGAGGGGGAGAGCAGGAAGCCGTGTACTGCCGCTTGGGGGACTGTCAAGGCTAATGACACGACGACGGGAGGGGTCAAGCTCCATCCCTTCGTCATCATCCATGTCAGCGTCCCCCCCGCCCAACATCCCCAGCGCGTTGCCAAGGGGGGCAGAAAAAAGATCGTTTTCGTCAGCGTGGAGGTCGTCGTCGAGGTCACCGTCTGGATCGTCGATTGGACTGCCCCCAGCGCCGGAAAAATGATGAGGGGGTGCTGTGAAGGGGGGGGATGCAGAGTATTTGGAGGGGCGTGCTGAGCGCCCGTGGGACCAGGCCGAATGCTTGGAGGAGCGCGCTGAGTGCTAGTGTCAGGTGGGCTCCAGAGAGGGAGCTGAGGGTCTGAGGGAAGCGGCTGATGGTTTTGGAGAGGGAGCTGAGGACCAGGTAGATTCATAGAGGGACCAGCCCCCACGCGTGGACGAATGAGCGCAGAGAAATCTGCAGCGCCATCAGGAGGTATAGGATGACGAAGAAGCAGGGAAAGATCTGGGAGCGCATGGAAATCTGCAGCGCCATCAGAAGGTATAGGATGGTGAAGAAGCCGGGAAAGATCTGGGAGGGGCATCCTCATATCCGGGGTTGTTGAGGCCAATGGGCAGCACAGTGGGGATGGTAGGTTGCTCGCTGTCATGCAAGGTGAGCGAGACTTAGCACGCTGACCGTGGTAAGATTTCAAACTCCGATTGAAACTCCGCTTATCAGCGCACATCAGCTAGGGGGGATGATAAGGGAATCATCTCTCGATCTTGAGCTCTCACCATGCCTCGCCCATCCACCAGGCAAGATCTTCTTGGTGCAGTTGATAAAGCTGCACTGTCATTAGCCCAACTCCAATATCAGCAGGTGTTGGAAGCTCAGGAGTCAAACTCTGACTCCAGCTTCAATTCCAACGCTGATTCTAACTCGGATTCAACCATGGACATCACCTCCTCACCCACCCTTTCCTCCAACACCACTAGTGAATTTTCTGATGAGTCCAATGACTCTGACGATATTGCTATATGTTATAATCGTCTTCAGCACCGAATTGCGGCGCTTCGCGATGAGGTCGCAAGGGCTCGTGTCCTCAACAAGCCAGATGAACCTCCCCCACGAGCTCCCCAGCTGCACATGCTTGTTCATCATGAGAAACACCACCCTTACCTATTTCGCCAGAAGCTACGTGTTGACCCTATCATTTTTGACGATATTCTCGATCAAATCTCTGATCATCAAATATTTTTCAACCAATCCAATAATCCCCGGCTTCCCATTTCCATCCAGCTTGCTATCTTCCTCAATCGTGCTGGCCACTATGGCAATGCGATTTCTCTTGAGGATGTTGCCCAATGGGCAGGTATAAGTGTCGGGTCAGTTGTGAATTGCACAAATTGTGTGATGATTGCACTGCTTGACCAGCATGACAATTTTGTTGGTTTTCCGCACCCTGATTCAGAGGATGCTGAGCTTGCTCAGGAATATGCACAGTCCAAGACTTGTCCCGAGTGGCGCAATGGCATTCTAGCTGTTGATGGCACCACAATTGATCTCTATGCCAAACCTGCTCATTTTGGTGAGACATTCTATGACAGGAAATCTAACTATTCCCTTGGCTGTCAGGTATTTTTTTCCCCTCCCCTCATGGTCAACAATTAAATATTTTTAGGCAGCTGTTATGCCTCATAACCTTATCATTGTCGACTATGCTCTTGGTCATCCCGGCAGTGTCCACGATGCCTATGCTTTCCGATCAACTCGTCTTTATCAACAGCACGAAGCCCTTCTGCCAGATGACCATTGGATTTGGGCTGACAGTGCATACCCACTTGAGAAGTGGTGCATAGTCCCTTTCAAGAAGCCCCGTAATGGAAGGTTGACTAAGGACCAGAAGACATTTAATTATCATCTTTCCACGGTGTGCTCATATTTTTGTGATTTTTTGTGATGGTTTGGTGACTGATTTTTATTTTTATTTAGGTTCGTGTGCGTGTTGAGCATGCATTTGCTGCTCTTAAGGGGCGGTTTCAATCCCTTCGAGAGCTTCGCTTCAATATTCACACAGAAAGAGAGCTTCAGATTGCTGTCCATTGGATTATGTGTTGCATCATCTTGCACAACATGATCATTCGATTTGAAGCACACCATCGCCAGCAGAACCCGAAATTCCGTCGTTCTCAGAGGTGGGCTGAAAGGGAGGCCAGAGAATTTGCAGCTCAAGAGAGGGAAGATCCTGATGGAGATGAAGTTGTGGGTGATAGGTCATATGAGGGTACTCCAGGGCAAGCTTCCCGTTTGAGGATGATGGATCAACTGTTTGACAGTCCTCACTCAAGAGCTCAACACAGGGAAGGGTAGCTTGCAGGGAACAGAATCATATTGGCAACCATAAGGTACATGTACTACTACAAGAGATTCAACAGATGTATCAACAGATGTATATAAAAAACAATCAAGCAGCTAAAGTTAACATGACAGCAATGAAAAAAAACGCGAAAATCACAACACATATTCAGGCTGATGGTGACGAGGATGAGGGACCAGCACCTGCGGTACGGATCATCATCTCATATTGGATCCTAAGGCGCCAGGTCTCAGCCTCCTTTTCCTGCAGGGCAGCTGCAGCCTGGAGGCGCTGAATCTCCTTGTCCTTGGCCTCTTGCTCGCGTTGATGCGTGGTGGCCGAAATGAGGACTTCGTGTGAAAGACTTTCACAGCGCCACTGAAGATCCTTCTTCTGCGCTTGGTAGTTCATCTTGATGGCATAGCGCTCGTTCCTCGACTCCCGGCGCTCGGAGATGTCGGTCTTCATGCTCCGGATGTCCTCGTTGATGATGTTGAGGTCATCCGCCATGTCCACTACGGAGGATCGCTTCTTCTTCGAGCTGGCCGAGCTCCGCGGCTTCGCAGACAGCGACGTCTGGGATGCCGTTGGCGATGCACAATAGTCGGTCGATGCAAAGGACGAAGACGCCGTGGACGAGGGAGTGGAACGGCTGCGTGATATCCCCGACGACGACGCAAACGAGGAAGGTCTACGTGGCACCTGGCCACCAGGGGAGGCGGAGCCAAATGCCTCGCGACTGTGGTATGTCGGCGTCTGGAGCTTCCGCGGGAGAAGGAACATGGGTTTGTCCACTGGAGGGGGAGAGGGGGGAAGCGGCGTACTGCCGCTTCTGTCCCACCAACCTGGGGGGACTGTCAAGGCTAATGACACGACGACGGGAGGGGTCAAGCTCCATCCCTTCGTCATCATCCATGTCAGCGTCCCCCCCGCCCAACATCCCCAGCGCGTTGCCAAGGGGGCAGAAAAAAGATCGTTTTCGTCAGCGTGGAGGTCGTCATCGAGGTCACCGTCTGGATCGTCGATTGGACTGCCCCCAGTGCCGGAAAAATGATGAGGGGGTGCTGTGAAGGGGGGGGGATGCAGAGTATTTGGAGGGGCGTGCTGAGCGCCCGTGGGACCAGGCCGAATGCTTGGAGGAGCGCGCTGAGCGCTAGTGTCAGGTGGGCTCCAGAGAGGGAGCTGAGGGTCTGAGGGAAGCGACTGATGGTTTTGGAGAGGGAGCTGAGGGTCTGGGGGAAACAGCTGGGGGTCTGGGGGGTGGGGGTGGGGGTGGGGCTGAGGGTTTTGAGGATGGGGCTGAGGACCGGGTGGGTTTGTAGAGGGATCAGCCCCCCCACGCGGACAAATGAGCGAGTAGTAATCTGCAGCGTGGTCGACTCCCGGCTGGGAGGTGAAGACCTTTGCGCCGATTGTTGGATTGGAGAAGAGGAATGGGTGGAGCTGGTCATACCAAGGGAACTCGAGTAGTACTTGTTCTTTAAATCAAAAAATCAAAAAAAAATATGAAAACAATGACGAAAAACTCACTGTGAAGATTGGCGGCCGCGTGTTCGTCAAGCGGGGTGACGCCAGCGCCGGTCTTGTTGAACTTATCGTGCTGATCCCTAAACAACTTCCTAAGACTTGAAATATTTAAATTAGTGGCGACAAATCTGAATAAAGGAGGCCACTTACGCAGTGCAGCGGTTGCCCACTGATACATCGAATTTTTTTGGGTCCTCAGCGTATAACGCTGAATATTCGGAGTCCTTCTCGAAGATCAGCTGCGACAAGATCCGATGGATGTCCCCTTTGTCCCTGCCAGAGGGACGCTCCTCAGTGCTAGAACCAGCGGTCTTTTTCCCCTCGTAGAAAAGAGTGCGTGCGTCAGAAGGATTATTGGTCAGGTGGGTCACGAGAGTGTCTGTGCGGTGGAAATCTTGGGCCCTGGTCCAATGGACGATTATCTTCGGTCCGGCAGCCTTAGGAGGCTGATTACGAGCGGAATTGGACCCACGTCCTCGAGATTTCCCTCTTCCACGGGATGCAGATGGATTTGGGGGCAGCTCCATCGCCTTTGGGCGAGTTCGAGCGTTTGCTTGAAGCCTTGCAGAACGGCGAACACGTTGGCGGACAGCAGGCATGGTGATTCAGACTCCGACTTCATGCCGGCCGACTCCATCTGTGCTAGAGCGCTTAGCCGGTGTTTTACCGAGCGCTCTAGCGAGTTTAGAACTCTACTCTGATTCCCACTACTATCTTTGTCCCACACTAAGACTAGATCTAGCCGCACGGTTTGTTCAACGCCAACGGCCCTCGACACCACCCCATACAACTCAGTTCTATCGCGGTCTTGTTCATTACTGCGGCTTAGTATGAGTGAATGGTGCTCGCCAGTCCACAGCTGCATCTAATGTCAATGCCGCTTTGGATGCAGCGGAGCAAATAGGCTATCCCGTCAACCTTCGGTCTGCATTCACTCTTGGTAGTCTCGGTTCCTGTTTCGCCAATCACTCGCAACCTCCTCCTACTCCTACTTCAGCAACTAGTCCTCCACCCCCAGACCAAACAAAAGGCACATTCAGCGTCCAAGCATTCGTCTCGCGCGTCCAAGCACTTGTCATAGACGATCGAGCCCTAGTTGAAAGACTGATACGGTTTGCCTAAGACCTACTCAAGAGAACTTCCTCCAAGTTCGGCTGGGGAATGACGAAACGGATTGAGAGCCATGGACTCGCTCGGTTCAAGGCTCACGTTCAAAGAGTTAGCTTATTTTGTTGTCTTTCTTCGTTACTGTCGTCTGATCTCCTTGTAGTCTCGGCAGGGCGTCTCCCTCTTCCTTGACTTAATTCGCCAGGCTCGATTGCAGCCTATGGCGTTAGGCTCGTATATAACACATCTCCACTCAGAACGTTCTTTCACTTCTACGGATACTCCGGCTTCATCCCACAGCTCAGACAATACTGGACATGCGCCAGAGGAGTATTCTTCGCCCACGACTGAAAATACTTGGTTGGGCAAAATATGGGGCAGTAGGACCCCAATGTCAAGGAATACTGTGGCATTGAGGTTAATGCTCGGTACGTTTATGGTTCTTTTCATATTTTTCTATACCTAACACGACTTCTTTCAGTCTAAATCACTCAAGTGCCCTGGCATCTAAAGCTACTGGTTATCCGCTTGCTCGGAGTTAAATCAAAAAGGAGAAGACCACTACGCGGGCAGGGCAATACATCTTTATAATGCCACAGCGCTCCTGAGGAAGATTATATTTCTGTGCACATCCGTGTCGTCGGTGACTTGACCGCTGCGCTCGCCAAAGCTGTCGGCTGTAACTTTGACTCTAAGGATTCCAAGGATGTCGACGCCAGTGGTGGAAAGGTTATTGGCACGAACGCAAATCCGCCGTTCAACCGGGTGCTCCCTCGTATCAATGGTTGACGGTCCGTTTGGTAGTGCCAGTGAGGACTTCTTAAATTATGAGACTGTTTTCCTTGTTGGTGCTGGTATTGGTGTCACACCCTTTGCTTCGTGCGTATCACATCTCTCATCTACTCGATGACGACATTAACCATATCCATTCAGTATTCCGAAGTCGATCTGGTACCGCATGAACAACCTGAACAACTCCAAGCCTACCCGTCTCTCCAAGGTCTACTTCACTTGGGTCATCCGCGACTTTGGCAGCGCCGAGTGGTTCCATTCACTACTGCAGGCTATCGAAGAGCAGGATCAACATCTACCTCACTGCAAAGATCAAGGAGGATGACATGAACAACATTATAGTGCGCGGTACCCATCTTTCTCAGTGGTTTCTGTACTAATTGTATTTTCCTTAGGTCCAAGATGTCGGTGCAGAGAAAGACGCTATCCCTTCTTTGCGTGCTCCCACTCATTTCGGCAGGCCAAACTGGGACAGGGTGTTCGGTTCTATAGTTGAAAAGCACCCCGAAACTGATGTCGGTGTGGTTTGTAGCTCGTCGTTGCTTTTTAACTCATCTGCTTACCTGTCCTTTTCCAGTTCTTCTGTGGCCCCATATTTTCGTTTCGCGGTCTTCACGCGAGGACAAGATAGGTCCCGTCTGGTGGTCGACGCGGTAATTGGCAACGGTTATTGCTGCTCTACTGTTATAAGTGACCTGACAGTGACCCAGACGTTTTATCATAACGATGGTCCCTATATCACTTGGACCACTGGATTTCTCCCCCGAGCCTGATCTTCATCCTTTGTATCCGAGTTCAAGTCTCATATCCCACTCGCTGTCACCCGATTCGGGCTTAGCACCCCAAGCATGCGTATTTGGGGATCTATCTCTTCTCCATTATCTTTTGTCTGACCATCAATCACAACCTTATATCGACCTCAGCGCACGCGACGAAGACCGGCTTAGCTTGATCAGTCTTGCAATCCTAGGTTTCGGGTCTGAATCGGAAAGAGATGTCGAAGTGAAGAGTGTGTAGCGCTGACCGCATAATAGGGAGATAACTTTTCCATTTTGGTGGCCAACGAGCTCACGGATACCTCCATGTACACGGTTACCAGCGTCGTAAGCAGCGTCAAATCGTCAACATTGATGTCAATTAACTTTTTAACCTTGTTTGCCACAGCATTGGCACAGCATCCACCAGAATGGGACGAGCTATGCCGACGGGACGAGCACCGTCACGCAATGCCCCATTGCGCAGAACCAATCTTATTTGCAGTCTTTTTCGGCCCAGAATCAGGCAGGCACTTACTGGTATCACAGTCATTATTCTGTTCAATACGCAAGTATCACTCCAATCTTGCATACGCATCAGAAGACTGACCTGTGGAACAGTGCGATGGTCTCAGGGGAGTCCTGGTAATTTATGATGACCCTCATGCATCCATGTACGATGTCGACGATGGTGAGCCAGAATTATATATATATTAATCCTCTGACCATCATGCGTTGTCAGAGAGCACCGTGATCACGCTTTCCGACTGGTGAGTTTTATGAACGCTGGTGATCTGCCTGACTAAATAGCATCGCCAGGTATCACGCAGAGGCCACCGTCTTGCGCTACATCATAGGCAATGTCGCCGACTTCACGCTCATCAATGGACTCGGTCGATATGCTGGCGGACCCATGTCTGACCTAGCTGTGATCAACGTCCAGCAGGGAAAGCGGTATCGCATGCGCCTGGTTTCAATGTCGTGCGATCCCAACTTCCTGTTCTCCATCGATGGCCATAACATGACCGTCATCGAAGCGGATGGACAGCTGACCGACCCTCTCGAGGTGGATCAGCTCCAGATTTTTGCGGGTCAACGTTACTCTGTGGTTTTGGTCGCCGATCAACCGACAGACAACTACTGGATACGCAGCCTTCCTGATACAGCCAAGCCGACTACGGTCAATACTACATCCACGAACCCATTTGGTGGAGACCAATTTGCATGCTCTGATCAATCCCTCTGCTCCTGGCGTTCCAGAATATGGAGCGGCTGATATCAACCTCAACCTCGCAGTTTCCATCGACAACGGAATCTTCTCCGTCAACAACGTCTCATTCGCATCCCCCACCGTTCCTGTCCTACTCCAGATTCTCAGCGGAGCTCAAGATGCTTCTGATCTGATGCCAAATGGCAGCGTTATCATTCTCGAGGCCAACAAAGTGGTAGAATTGACATTGTCGACCACTGGTGTGGGTGGACCCTGCATGGGGATGACGGAGTGTTTCTGGAGGAGTACCCTGAAGCAAATTGTGGTGCCAAGCCACTTTTCGACGCAATCCAGCGTAAACGTGAGGGACGCGGGGAAATCACTGGACGAGCGAGTAAGAATGGCCGGCCAGAAGTCAGAGCATCCGCCTCGCGCTGAGAATCATCATGCCCTCAACAACGCATCACATTAATCAGTCTTCCTAGTAGCAATCCTCGACCCATCCCACACACATGCATTTGTAGGCACAATCATCAAGACTCACGGACATTCCACATTTGTACGCACAATCATCAAGACTCACGGACATTGCACACGCTAGTCTCTTTTGTTCAAGTCATATCTCCATTGCTGTCCTTCCTCGTAGATTTGTTTGCTTGTTTGCTGTTCGATTAGATCACACGCTGGGTGGGACTCGGATTCGATTTGATTGCAAAGCGACGCAGAACGGAATGAAACATTACGAAAGCGAGCGATGGCAGCGTACGAAGACACCGACGAAAAAGGTCTGCGAAGAGAAATCCGGCGGAACCCGAAGGTCACGTGGAACGCATCCACGTGACCGTAAAACGGCGTAAAATCCTCGACATAAAAGTAATGATGAGGGCTGCGACGATCGCACCAATCACGGCTGTCGCAACCATAGGGGTCCCTATCCTTATCGCGATCGGAACGGCAGTAATCGCGGTACACATAAAGGGAAAACGTAAGGCTCCGTTGAGTTCCTGAATGTAGCGAGTAGCTTCTTCAGTGCTGGACATTCATATAAAGCCAAAACCACGAGAACGGTCGAACTGAAAAACACGTTTTTGTGGGTTAAGGTAACGAAATGAAACTACCGTACCCTCTGGTCGTAAACAATTGCGACTTTTTCGACTCTTCCAAAGCGAGAGAACTCCTCGTCTACATATCGCTCTTGTGTCCTGATACTTAATCCGAAGATTCCCAAAACTTGGGACGGGTTGGGCGCCTTCTTCGCCCCATAAGCGCTTGGCAAAACATGAGGAGAACATGTGGAACGTACAATTGGAGCATGTGTTGACTTTTAGGAGGGGGAGACCTGCCCTTTTGAGGACTACGGTAACTGGTGCTGCGGGCTCCAGGACTTTTTGAACGAGAACGACTGCGTGGTTGGGCGGCATCCCGGTCTCTGGTTTCTGATGTAGCAGTAGCGGGTGCTGAAGCATTGTGCGCATCTAAGTAAGGGTTGAGTGAAGGAGCAGTTAACAGGTTCTTCGTCTTGATCCTAACAAAAAGCAAAAGGCTAGAAAAAGTTGCCTTGAGCACCAAAATGTAAAATGTGACGCACCGCGACAGTTGAAGTTGAAGAAAAATTTGGCGTTGTTCAAGCGTTGTTTGTCGCTTGGTTGTCTCAAGATGTTCTTCAGCGACATACTATGCAGACAAACCAACAAGTCCTGGGCTTGGAGTCTTTCATCATTTTAGAACCGACCAACTACAGGCTGAAATAACGTGAACAGAATGATATCCGCTGACATAATCCACCGCTCACAGTGACTTGATCATGTTAATTCATCTGGCACCCATTCGAAGGAACGGCCCAACCCTAGAATATTCTGCTGTCATTGCATACTAATTGGTTAGTTCAATAGCATAGTGATCGCCTTGAGATTTGGAATGACGTTCTTACTAAAGTGGGTACTGTAGTTTATCTGCTCATGCTGCGCTAACTTCAATCCGAAATTTCTCTCTGTCCTGCCATGTCACACTAATGCGCTTCACTTCCCTGTGGAACAATCCGCCCTCGATTCAGGCGCTCTCCTCACCTGGACCAAAGGTTTCTCTGCAAAGAATGCCATTGGAAAGGATGTCGTAAAGCTTCTTCAAGACGCGTTTGACCGGAAACATATTCAAGTTGTGTAGCTCTCGTCAACAACGTTGGTCAACATTCTTTCATCTGCGATCCTTCATCAGATCTACGTCTCAATTTTCATGTGACCGTATGTACTGATGAGAGAATTTCCACGACAGACTGTCGAAGCTCTTCTTTTTCGTCTTGCGGACGCATTCCTATCCTCGGTGCTATTAACAGGTATCACTAAATTAAGCCAGAACAAGGTGGTGAAACGATTGTGAACACTGCAAGCGGGGCGGTTTCATCACTACGTACTAGCCCCACGTGCACTCAGTTCTTCTCCCATTTTATTTCTCCAATTTACGACAGCTGTCTCTCAAATAGAGTTCGAGAAATAAACTGGCGCACAAACGTCTAAAAATACCACCCCGTCGGAGGTTCGACTTACCAACACCCCGGCTGTGTCTGGCGCTGGTGGATGTCATCGACTTGCCAAGCTTCAATAGCACGGCTTCATCGTACGGGTAAACGGGGTCATTTCATGCACAACTGGCTGCAGAACACGAAGCCGATGCTATTTGCTAAATCACAGCTGCTAAAGATGAGGATGTCAAGTTTATCGGCCTTGCCATTGCTGTGCTTGCTTTAGCCGAGAAACAACGTGCACGAAACAACAGGTATGGTCTACGTGGATCTTATAACCAGCCCATAACGGAGGACTTCTTGGTGTTGATAATATTTTGCAAACACTCGTTCACATGCCAGTGAGACTAACCGACTAATATTCCAGACCCTGACACCTGTCGAGGAAGCTCGTGTCAGGGAAGCTCCGAGTCATACCGGAGAAGCTCTTCGAGATCTAATTCGATTCGGCATCTTCCCTGCGGCAACCAATCATGATCAAGAACCCCAGCGGAGCCTCCGCGAGAAGGAGGCAACTAATTTGGCTATTATTCAACAGGATCCTAGTAGGGCGCTAGACAACCCCACGATGCTGTTGTGCCACTTAATGCCCAAGCTTATCAGTTCCCCCAGGCGTGTAACCCAACTATCGACGCGAGGTCGTCACAACTTTTGTCGCTTCTTCAACGCTTCATTCTTCGCCTATGGCAACCAACCATGAACGTCCGAGCGGAGCCTCCGCGAGAAGGAGGCAACTTACTTGGTTAGTAGTAATGGAGCCCATAGTACGTTTATCAGTGCCCTTAGACCATCGCACGTTTTTGTCACTCTTCATTCCTCGCTTGTGGCAATCAATATTAATCAACACGCCCCAGAGTGACGAGGCGACTAACTTGGCTAGGGCGGTAACAATTCATATAAGTGTAGTATGGTTTATTGATGGCATTCAGAGCATGTTAATGTCACCAACAGTCTTTGAACCTAATTTCCGCCTGAAGCGGCTGTGAATTGGAGCCGAGCAGCAGTGCTGCGGTGTTTACGGTATGTTATTGGCGGGGAGAATTCCAACTATCTTACTCCGAATCTTATAAAAATTGTTCTATGATTATACAACCAGAATGTAAGCGTGTTAAAGCCCTCGAACGATCCAGATCTCTACTTGTTATTTCTAGGAACTTCTTTGATCACACTGGTGCGTTCAAGTTGAATGCCTGTGTCAAAGAATAACTGGACATTACTGATACGCAATACAGCACATCCTTCTATCAGTCCGACAAACCTCATATATCAGCTTGCTCTCAATCATCGCTGTCCTATATAATGCCTTTCAATATCTTTCCCGTGGACACAGAGACCTTTTTTCAAGTGCAGCGCAGCGACCAACCACTTGTCGCATATGAGTGTAAATTACAGGAGGTCGGCTGCGGAATGTTTGTAGAGGGAACAACCAGCGCAATAGCCGCCCATCTGCGACGACACGACATCACTGGTCCAGACACCACCAGTGCAAGTTGTACATGGGGTAGCTGCTCAAAGACACTGAAGAGGGGAGGCATGACAAGACACATCCTTACTCACCTCGGTGTCAAGGTGCGCTGCTCTGTGTGCGGGGTTGTGAAGTGCCGTCGTGACCTTCTTCGTGCACATATCAAATCCTCAGAGCAGTGCCGTTTCGCATTTATCGATATCGTCCACGGGCCCGAAGGACATCTTCTTGTCCCTGAGGGTTTGGTCGCTGTACACCAAGTCTGATGATTGTCGATATATTACCTTTACATGTTTTCTGACGGACACGTTTTTATGCTAGTTAGTACTTGTTGCATACACACTATCATTCCATGCAATATGCGAAATTTTCAGCAAATCTTTTGTAACTCCTCAATCACATTACATGTTCTTTCACAAATATTCCCTGTCATAGATTCATATCTCCTCTACATGTATCTGATTTTTACTGATTTTTAGAATGATGTGGTGTGGTGTCGGAGCAAACCCAATAAAACTCGGGGTCTACCCCGTAATTTGCACAATCATTGGTCACATCCTATGAGATGTTCTATTGGAGAAAGAACGCGTACAATGGCCTGAGAGCATATGACGCGAGAATGAGAATAATGTAAGGAGACGGGGTCTATATGATGTGCTCATATGTTTTTTAACGCCAACATATTTAAAGCACATTGGCACACACTGTCCGAACCTTGCAGAATACGAGCGACGGCCCATACAAGGTGGAGCGCCCGGCGGCGTTCGCGGCATACCTGCCAACGGATGGTGTTTGCGGGTTTCATATCACAAAGTCAACGTTGGCCTCCAATTTTTCCATGGCAAACGGATTCTGGGGCATAGAGTCCACGAGCGACCCAGGCACATACGCAAGTTGGAGCATTGACTTGAGACCACCTCCACCAATGCTGATCGTCACGCGACTCTGTGCTAGTGAAGAGATGTTCCCTGGGCTGATTGCGAAGATCAGACCAGGCGGCTAGACGAAGCGGAATTGGGAAAGTAGACTCGGAGGTGTGGAATTTGAGAGTAGGACTGAGGAGGTTGCGGAGAAGACGGGTGTGCGGACGTTCACACGAAATGAACACTCGCCCGGCCACAGATAGTGTGGTATGGATTTGGAACAACGGGAAACGTACTAGTAGGGTGGGCGTATAATGAGAAGTGAGTCTTCCTGCTATCCAAAAAAAGGGATTAACTGAGTGTTCGACAGATTCTGCTGATGCTGATACGTGGCAGTCGTGGAGCAGCTAGCTGAGTGTTGCGCTAATAGAAATGGCTAGGAAAAATTAGAATCACATATGTGTCCCCTCTACAGAGTTTATATAAACTCGACACAAATGATCAGAAGGCCCTGCAGCGGTCCGGGCAGACGTGGGAACTGCAAAGAGAACTCGTTTGACTCAGTCTTGAGCGCTTGAGCGCTCTGGCTCAGCTTGAGAACTCATTCGACAAATAACCGTGACACGCTGGTTCGCTGAAACTCGTTCATCTTACGATTGAAGGGCACAGGGATACTATCCTACTACTTAATAGTGGACGCAAGTTAGTGTCCGGAATTTGCACTGAGCCCTTTGGACAACTTCGAGATTCCGAGAGGTACATTTTTTGACTGAGATTAGACTGAACTATAATAGACTGACTACTCCCGTAGCTCCTCCATGATGATGGTTTCCACTTCCACAGACATTATTCCTAGGGGCAAAACCACCCTCGTTGAGCAGTGTCGCACAGACATAGACAAAGATATCGCTGCACTAGTTGCGTCCTTGAGCATCCTTCGCTCTCGCAGGAATACTCTCGCCTCTGTATTTTCACTTCCGCCCGAGATTCTTGTGACGATCTTCACATACACTGCAGAAGATGCGAATTTCAACATTTATGCGGACATAATACCCCGCAGTACTGGTACTCCTACTTCAATGATAGTCACACACGTCTGTAGGCACTGGCGCCAAGTCGCCCTCGAGTGCCCGAGTCTTTGGACATTTATCGACCATCTCCCTGTTCCTTGGATAGCTATAATGCTTGAGAGGTCGAAGGAAGCTGCTTTGGTTGTCAAATACAGTATACCGCCCGCACTAGAATGCTACATAGTGGGGCCACTGATGCAACCTCTTTCGCAGTTGCCTCGAATCGAAGTCCTCAAGTTGCACACATACTCAAATGTTGTTCATCACGTGTTTGACTGCTTGTCATCGCAGCCCGCGCCGTTGCTTCAGCAATTCAGATACGACGTCCTGGGGAGCTATGAACCGGTCACGACCGTATCAGAGACCATTTTTCAAGGACACGCCCCCCTACTTCGGAGTGTTGAGCTGGATGGATGTCTCTTCATCTTGACATCGCGCACTTTTAGCGGGCTTCAAACTCTAGATTTGAAGCAATATGATCCTCCTCATCTTACCCTGTCGCAGATCCTCTCAGCTCTGAGACGTATGCCTGACTTGGAGCTGCTCGCACTTAGGCTGTTACGCAGAATTTCCGTGGACACCGAGCTCTTCGACCAAGTTCCACTCACTCGGTTGAGAAACTTAGCGTTTGATGGCTGCCAAATCCAAAACGCTGTATCTCTCTTCTCACATCTTGTCCTTCCCGTTGATGTCAAGATCGCTCTGTCCCTCACAGAGATTGAAAGCCCACAAAGCCTTTCTGATCTATTTTCTGCCATCCACAAGGATGCTGATGCATCTTTTCCCATCATCCGGTCCCTGTGTGCCAGTTTTTCGCACAATATAGTCGGTGTCCAATTCAGCACGTCATTGGCGCACAAATCCGAGTATTCGTTGAACATCCGTGACAGTGATATACGACTCTCCATCCAACTCAGAGGCTTCAGCAACCCTGCCATCATATTTGACATGTGTCGGATGGTCCCCCATTGCAAGATCCAAGGCTTGTCTATATCAACCTCCCTTAGGCTTTCGCAAAATTTCTGGTCTGCAGGGTTCGCCGACCTTCTGGAGCTCGAAAGTATCTATTTGAAAGGGACACCCATTTCAGGCTTCGTCCTTGCGCTCACGACTGTAGACGTGTCTGTAGCCTACCCCTTTCTCCGTACTCTGGAATTTGAGTCTATCGACATCGGATCCGATGAACATAATGGTCTTCAGGAGATTGCCAGAAGGCGAGCCAAAGGTGGTGTTGACATACAAAAACTCAGATTAACGAGGTGCTGGAATGTGACGGAAGCAAATGTGCAGCTCCTTGAGAGTGTGATTGGAGATGTTGATTGGGATCCTGTGAAGAAGAGGTGTTGATACGGCGACTGCGTTTGTCCCACAAGCTTGGATGAAGATTTGTCTGCCGGTGCGCATTCGGAGGACTAGTTTGAATGTATTACGTCTGACCAAGTTACGATCAGCCTTAGACATATACTATAGTACTATCTTTCATCTCCGTCACGGCTATCGGTCGACAGCAAGCTGTCCATTGCATCATGTTGCTGTTTGCTCTTTTGAAGGCTCAGCGCAGCGCTCATCGATCATCGATCCTCGTGTGGGTTTGGCTATTTGCAACACATGTTAGTTGATCATATATCAGTGGAAGCCAGCCAGCCGCCGGTCGGCTCGAGTCTCACGTGCGCTGATATTCCTGACCCCAGTGATGCATACATACATGGGTATCTGAGGCGCGGTCAGCCGTAGAGAGTTTTTGGCTCTTTGGTACGTGTTAATATTAGCATGTTACATGTTATATCACATATTTTGCGTGTGAAACTCAAGGCTGTGCAACTAGTACTTGAGCTTGAGTCAACGATTGACTCGGAATCTGCTCTCGTCTACATTCTTCAATACCATCAATATTAATGACGGCGGCCTAAATGTCTAATGCACAAATCGTTATGTCCAATAATGAGTTCTGCATAAGATATTTGGACATTATTGCATAGATTGCGGGCGGGTCCCTACGACAAAGACATCGAAAACTAGCTGGGCTGTCGGTGTCAAGAAACTAATTCGACATCTTGATTCTTGAAACTCGGTGTCATCGTCAGTTCTTTACTCAATTCTGTACGTCGAGTTACATAACATCCATCGATGCATCTCTAGCATAAACTGCGACCCCGGTGTCCACTCGATGCTGGATCCATGACGTGCTAGTTGTCATCTGCGCGGCTGAGTCCAATCCTTATCGTCCACCAAGATGGGGCCACAGGTATCCACATATGTCACGCATGTCATTGATCGTTGTTTTCTAATGGAATTCTCTTCGTAGCATTGCGTATAACGGATAATGAAGCCTTCGAACAGATGCAGAAGCTTTACCAATGCATTCGTGCTTTGTCGTGGCTCACGTCCACTAGTGCACCAACAAAGCGTTTATGTATGAATCCCACAAGCGTCTGTCCACCGCAAAGCACAATGCCACTTCCACCTCTGGGAATCGTATTTAGTCCAGCCCGAATGCCTACCTGGTATCATCATTACCCCAAGGAGAATCAGGCATTCACCTCAGACAAAATCAAGCAGCATAATCAACTCTCAAATGTCTCCTACCAAGGCGAGCCTAATCACGAGGATAATTTATGCACTAGGACTGAATCTGAAAATGTGTAGGTCTATGTTTGCTCTCAGGCTAAGTGCGGCGAAACTTTTACCAAGTTTGCGGAATTCAAGAGACATGAGGCTAGGCATGCAGAAAAGTACGTGTTCATTCTACATGCTAGACTGGTCACTCACATGAGCCCGCATCCAGCGTGTACACCTGTACCTTTCCCGGATGTGACTTTGCGACGCTGATAAAAAGAAGCTTCGATGTCCACTCCGCCAGACAGTATGTGCTCGTGCGTTGTCATCAACGAGTTCATCTGATTACCAAATTTAGCACCGGCGAGCAACGCTATGGTTGTCCTCATGATTGCACCTTCAGGACCCACGATCCTTCCGCCCTGACGCGTCATCGCAAAACAAAACATGGATATGTCCCTTCTCCGCGCAGCGGACGCGGCGGCGGTCGTGTTGCTGCCCCCTCCGCATCAGACAGGACCCCATCGTCCCAGCCCTCTGCTTCGTCCTACCAATCACACCCTCACAGCCTGAGCCAAGACCCGTCATTGGTCTTCTATGACCCGGTGGATAGTGAGGACGACTGTACCATGTTCAGCGAACCTGTGACGACGGCAAATGGGTGGACTGAGGGCTGCATGTGCCCCGAAATTGATGCAAAGACGCCCTTCGGAGATGTTGGGTTATGCATACAGGCAATATTAGTTTGCATCAACTCAAGGTGACTTGTGTTCGTCGTTTGTAAAACCTCCCCTCGTTATATGTGTCTATTATTTTTCACTTAAAAGCACTTTACGATGTCGTCTGAAGGCTTATACACTCTTTTATAGATGCACTAGTAGTAATACGCTCTTTTCTAAATCATGATGTTCCCCAAACATACTATGGGCCTCTGCTTCCGGGGTCCTTCCGTGACTGTAAAGGTCCGAGGACTTGCTTTCTTCCGCATTGCGCAACTAGAGGGGCCTGAATCAAACACAACCTCTGCAGCGCCTGACTCCGACTCCACCTTCGTCCCCCAGCTTTTATCTTACAATGACTGCATGACTTGTCGCGTCATAGGAAGCGGTGGGTTCGCTGCCACTGGCATCTACGCACTGAGAATGGCCCGTCCCAGCGCACCGGGAAGTATATAGTTGGCAAGAGGATCATGGGTGGGTGGGCTTGGAGTTTGTGAGATATTTGTTTTAACTCTTGTTAGCTATAGCTATTAAATAATACGCTAATTAGCAAGCTGCTATCAGGCGAGCAGTTTTATCCCGAACCCTAGTTCCCTTCATCTCTCTGCCATTAATGATGTATGTGAGTTCACTACGCCTTCGCATGTTGGCTCATTCATCTATCTATATAGGACTTACAACCCCTTCCTGATGGCGCTCGCGCCTTTCCAGCGGTTATCATAGCAAATGAAATTTCGCGCAGTCGTCAAAATTGCGGGGCTATTTTCGTAAGTATCGCAAACGGATATCGATCATACATTCCGCTCACGAAACAACTTGGAATCTTATTTTAGTTCAGACGGTCTGAAAGAAGCCGAGCACACTCCGTTGAACGCACCAGAACAAGCCCCCGACTACCTTGCGATATTGACCCATCCTGGAGTACCTCCTCGTCGCCTGGATCTCAAAGAGAACTGTATTCAACGAAACATGATTTCGGTTGAAAATGGATTGGTCAGAAACGCGCGCGTGCGCGTGATCATCGCGCTGCATCCGAGTCGTCGGTTCGTCGAAGTCCAACTTGAACTCCTTTTGAATGCATTCGAAAGTCACTGCATCCCCCGCATCGACTTTGCGTTCCATCCGAACCGTTCGTCGTGGACAGTGAATCGGAGACAGTTTCCTCTGCGACCCGCGTATGCAACTACATTTAATGGTTGTCAAGGTTTGACGCTAGCACTGCTCGACTTCCGGACGGATCCCTCTGCTCACGGTCAATAGTCGAGGGTGAGAACGCGAATAGACATTGTTTATTTGCAGAGACGAAGGACAAGATTGTGCTAACATTATATTTCCTGAGTTGCTACTGAAGGGGAGTCCTTGTATATGGTCAGATCGAGTAGATAATGAATGAAAACAGTGCTTTCATGCTATTTTTTCCGCTGCCTGTACGATTTCCGCGCGCCTACGCTGCCTTTATGCCGCCATGATACATAGCACTAACATCATGCACTGTCAATGATAGCACGTCGTCTCTCGTCAGGTCAATTCATGCATTCAATGAATCAAATAATTGCAAGTACCGGATAGTATGATGTGATATGGTTCCATCTGAAACCTGGGTGAGAAATTTCGTCGGAGATCGTGCCCGGGCATAGATGCGCACCGACACAACATGATTCTCTCTGATTTTTCCCCAATTGAGGATAACACCCCCATTCTCATCGTACCATGCCATAGCACGTGTTCACTGGGGTTGAAGTTAGCTACCACTGCCCTGATCGTGATGGTGAAATATATACAATCTTACTCTATGTCGATGCTGTTCCTTTTCTCGACTGTTGGGATCAACGCCACATGCCCTGGTGATTAACCAGCGGAAGCGGTGCATTCTAATGGTCGATAATAACTCGAATCCGGCGTAGTGACGAAACTTTTCGCTACGACGAGTTCGTGAGATTTCCGACAACAAAGCGCTGCATTTCATCAAACGCCTGCGCAAAATACACTTGGTAATTGCTTCTTGTTTGATAACGCCATACATGCCAAGCCTCCTGATTGAGCAATCATCAATGTCAGAACGAGCCGTTCAAGATAAGTAGACGTAAGTTTCGCTCAGCCTGGTTTGTGAAGCCTTCCACAAGCCTGCCAACATTCCCTTGGCTGCATATGCTGAATCGCTACGCGCAGGATTATTGTGCCTGACCTTTCTTGCAATCGCAATTCGGGACTTGCCACTCTTCATGGAAGCGAAAGTTGATAGTGTAGAACAAAATAGTAGAGCGATATGAAATGCGGAACGGATACAGGCAAATAGTCGAGGATGAAATGAACTTTGAACTTGGTTTTCTGTCTGAAATAGCGAACGCGGAAACCATGTCTTGCTTTCTTCAAGATAGGGAAGTAACGAGAACATTGCCAACTTGAGATTTGCTGGGGGATGACCGCCATGAACCTCTTCAATCACTTGTGCTTGTACGAACGAGACCTCTTGTCCATGCTTTCGCCCATCGATAACTGAAACAAAGGACCACAACTAACACACCTTCGAGATGGTTTCCGCTGACAACTGAAACATCACCAACGACTACCGTTTTCAGCCTGGTTGGAGGAGCTTGCTGCACCAGTGCCTGAAGGACCATCATAATCCTTGCGAGGGCTACTACCCCTAGGAGGACTCCTGGAGTAGCTCCCACGCCTCCTGTAATCAGGTGAGTAACGACGAGGGCTGCGACGATCGCGCCAATCACGGCTGTCGCGACCGTAGGGGTCTCTATCCTTATCGCGATCGGAACGGCGATGATCACGATCACGGTGCGAGTCACGGTAGGAGTCGCGGTAAGAGTCGCGGCCTGAACCTGAGTAGGTGTCCCTAGTCGAGCGACGATGTCCCATATATTCGCCAGGGGTTGGTGCGTGTGGTCTGTCAGTGACAGAATAGTCGACCCGAATACGACGTCCATTCAGTTCCTATGAAGGAGATCAGCTAGGAAAGCATACGCATGAAGGGAAAACGTACGACTCCGTTGAGTTCCTGAATGCAGCGAGTGGCTTCTTCAGTGCTGGACATTCTTATAAAGCCGAAACCACGAGAACGGTCGGACTGAAAAACACGTTTTTGTGGGTTAGGGTAACGAAATGCAAATGAAACCGTCGTACCCTTTGGTCGTACACAATTGTGACTTTTTCGACTCTTCCAAAACGAGAGAACTCCTCGTCCAAATCCCGCTCTTGTGTCCTGATACTTAATCCGAAGACCCCCAAAACTTGGGAGGGGTTAGGCGCCTTCTTTGCCCCATAAGCGCTTTGCAAAACACGAGGAGAACATGTGGAACGTACAATTGGAGCATGTGTTGGCTTTTTAGGAGCTGGTGACCTGCGTTTTGGAGGAGGACTACGGTAACCAGTGCTGCGGGCTCCAGGACTTCTCGAACGAGAACGGCCGCGTGTTGGGGCGGCGTCCCGGTCTCTGGTTTCTGATGTAGCAGTAGCGGGTGCTGGTGCATTGTATGCATCTGAGTAAGGGTCAACTGAAGGGGCAGTTGGTTCTCCGTATTGATCCTAAGAGAAAGGTAAGAAGTTAGAAAAAATCGCCTTGGCCACCGAAAATGTGACGCACCATGGCAGTTGAAGTTGAAGAAAAATTTGGCGTTGTTTGTCACTTGTTTGGTCTCAAACTGCGAATTCAATTTCATCTTCCGCCAAATGCCGAGAATCAAACCTTATTTACTTGTCCTGCACAGTTCCTCAAGCCTCCGTTGTCGTCTGTTCACCGTCCCCGAACAGCACAAATCGGCAAGATCAAGATGGTGAGCTGGTCGTCCCAAATAGCACCCAGATATTATACTGAAATGTGCCTTACTAGGGTATCGACCTCAGGACACACCACGTCAAGAAGGCCCAGCGGACGGCCCCCAAAAGCGAGGATCCTTACCTCCTTTTGCTCGTCAAAGTATGTGTGTTCAGTATGCGCAAAAGCTTAATCTAAATGTTATTCAGCTTTACAGATTTTTGGCTCGCCGCACAGACTCGAGTTTTAACAAGGTTGAATAGTTTCACGTGTGGTTCAGGCGTTTGACTGAAGCATGATTTTTACTCAGGCTATCCTCCACCGCCTCTTCCTCTCCAAAATCAACCGTCCCCCCCTCTCTTTGTCAAGAATTGTTAAAGAGACCACTGCCACCCCTGATCGCGACTCAAAAGTTATCGTGGTTGTTGGCACTGTAACCGATGACGTTCGTCTCGTCGAAGTGCCCAAACTTTCAGTCGCTGCTCTACGCTTCACGCGCGCAGCAAAGGAGCGCATTCTCAATGCTGGTGGTGAGGCATTGACGCTGGATCAACTCGCACTTCGTGCACCAACAGGGTCTAACACTGTGTTGCTCCGGGGAAAGAGGAACACTCGCGAGGCTGTCAAGCACTTTGGCATGGGTCCCCACAAGAACAAGAAGCCTTACACCATCTCCAAGGGTCGCAAAGTACGTGTTGATCATCGTTTTAAAGGTGTTCATATCTGACACATTTCCCTCAGTTCGAGCGGGCCCGCGGTCGCCGAAAGTCTCGTGGCTTCAAGGTATAAGAAGCTCACAAAATATTCATTGGTGGCAGCATGGAAGGCGTCGCAATATCTGTGTGGTCACATGCATTATGGGTATACTACAAACCATCTTCTTTTCATTCTGTATGCCCCGCCTATGCATTGCTTATGTTCGAGCCCACGTCTCTATTAGGAAGGCCCTGCTTGAGAAATGCGATATTTAGGACTGAAACATGATCCAGAAGTTCGAGACAGTATGCAAAATCTTGATTGAACATAAGTATCAATTGTCGGAGCCCGTCTAAATAAGTACCCAAACTCGGCCTAATCTTTCATCCTGTGTTGCAATTCCCTCAACTCTTCTGCTACGTCATCTAGAGGTGGTGGCATAACGTGGGATTCGGGTGTCACGACCTTCTCAGCGACTTTTCCTTCCTTCTTCTGTAGAGCCTTCAAAAATTTGGAGCCACCAAGCCAGAAGAAAGCGAGTGTCGAGCCAATCATCCAAAAGCCGTACCAATGGAGCCGACTCCAAGCCTCGATAGAATCGGTGAAAGTTAGCAGCATAAACGGCGCCGCCACGTAGTTGAGAATGAGGATGCTGACGAAAGTTCCAGTCAAATCATAAATGCGTTTCGTGATTGTCGTAGGTGCTCCTGGAGGGGGGAGGACCAAAGGACGTATGTTGGCACGGCAGAGGCGGCCTGCGGTAGTGATGAATCCACCGAAGAAGAACGTCAGATAGTAGCCCGTCGCAATGCCATGCTACAACAAAATCAGCACAAATCATGCGTAGCATACCCAAGCACCTACCCAGAAGGCGCTCGTCGCGAAAGTCAACATGCTGCTGCGGAACCCAGGCTTCTTCCCTTTGGGAGTTACACGTTTGTATATGCATTCCCTCAGCCAGATGTTCGTATTGATGTTCCATGAATCGAGCAGAACTTTGAAGTTCGAAGGGAGCTCGATCTCGAGGATTTTGACGTTGGCGGCACCTTCCCATGTGGATTCGCCTGAAGGGCCATACCCAGTAAACCCTAATCCGGTCAGGATACTTGCACCCTGGTTGCCTGCGTTAGAATTGCGCCTACGATAGAACACGAAACGCACCTCCGTGAGCGTCCAAATCGCATAGTACTTAGACCGCTCAATGAAACCAGACAATTGGAAATATGCCATCCTTTAGCCAAATACGTCAGAGAAGCATTCAATTGAACGCATTGAGACGGACCTATAGAGAAATCCTTGGGTCATGAACCATGGGGCGATCACGATGCCGTAGTAGAATGAGGGACTCAAAACCACAAAGATTCCCAGGAAGACCAAACCAGTCAACATCTTGCGATATGCGACTCGCTTTCTGCCGTCTGGAATGGACCTTGTTGAACTGGGACTGCGCTTGCCTTCGAAGAGTGATTCGTCAATCAAGGACATGTACGACGCGTAGTCAAGATATGGCCCGACTAGAACACCCGGGAAATAAAAGCTACATAAAAATCTGTCATCTGTCGACAAAACACATCGACTAAGACTCACGAATAACCAAGAAACTCGAGTAGTGTGGGATATTTCGTGACGCGCTTTTGTAATTGCCATTTGTCTAGATTCTGAATTTGTGTGATTCAATTCAGGAGACTTTTGAGCGTGCAGTAGGGGCTTACTCTAGGAGCCGTTCTACCATCCCAGACATTCCATGCAAAAGTCGTGAGTTTCATCGTGAGCACCATCTGAGGCCCTGTCACTTCGAACGTTTCATAGCTTAAGTCGTAAAATGCCCGTATAACGTGACTTGGAATGGGTATATATCAGCCTCTCGTCCAAACATGTCTTATATATTCCTTACTTGACTGTGAGATGACCCATGACGAAGCTGCAGAAAGTCCAGTGAGCAGGCATTTCCCGAGTTAAGAGGGTAAACATACGCGAAAACTATCCACGGCATGTTGGGGCCTTTTACATTAGCCGCAATGTAATACGTTCCAAGAACACTCCCTAATAGCTGGGTAAAGCCCCATGGCAGATTCAAAACTGGTATGAAAAAGAAAACTGAGACGAGCAGATTGAAGAGATGCTTGAGATTGGGCTGAGATGCTGGTATACGAATGAAGAGACTTCCTAGGGGGCATGCTATTAGTAGACATGAGATGAGCTAGCATTTTTTTTCAATCGAGTTAGCCCTATATGTATGAACCAAGATTGCCCCCAACCTTGATCTGGTCTACGGATGCACCGATGGCAGAGGCGAGTGGTACAAAGAGCGCATCCATGACGAGCAGGCCACAAGCTGGAAGGACAACGAAGGACAACCAGGCAACTTGAAGAACCAGAGCAAGCTTTTTGAGGCCAGGTACGTATATACTTGAAGCAATAGAGTAACCCAAAAGCGGCATTCTTTCTATAACGGCGTACGGCATGTATTCCCACGCCAATGTTCGACATTAGTAGGCTGTTACTAGGTCTACGTACAAGTTGTACAACCAAGCGTATTTACAACCAAATTGGCCACAAGGCTGAGAGTTTATCGACAAATTTCAGCCGTTCCTGTCTAAGACCACCTAAGCCCTACGTGCCTCGTCCGACAGAACCCCCAAACGTTCACTACCAGCGTGAAAAACCAGCTACGACCTTTCCGCCGTGTCTTCTGCCAGCGTTGCAGGTGGGGCATGCCTCTCGCGATAATGACCACTCGGAGAAATGTACGACGAATGTATCGACGTCCCAGCGTTTGGTGGAATGGGGGCAAGAATATTCAACTCCGAGTTGTCGCTCGTGTGCAGCACACTGAGCCTTTCGCCAAATACTGCAAAGTGGTTGTTCGTTGCAGGTTCACTGGTCCGTGAAGAAACGGCGAAAGACCCATCTGCAAAAGGGTCTGATAGCACCTCGGTCGTCGGCTCCGAACTGTCCCCTGGGGAGCGGCATCTTGACCGCCAATCAAATATCCTTCCCACAAGTGGGGGAGCACGAGGGCGTCTTTCTAGCGTGACTGGTGTTGAGGCTGGTGGAGTTGGGTTTTGCATCGACCACTCTTGGAAGCGCATTGACCACTCTTGGAAGTCATGGTTCTCATGACCTGGTAGAGGCTGGAGGAGCAACTCAGCCTGCCGGCGCCGGCGAGAGCGAAATTTGTGGATTATTACGGCGAGGGCGACAAGAAAAATAACTCCAAAAACAGTTCCCAATATCAACGGAAGAGGACTTAAACGAGAATAAGCAACAATTCGTCAGACTAGATACGCGTAAATGCTCACCTGGACTTAGATGTAGACGGAGCAGATGTAGACGGAGCAGATGCGACAGTTCCAGTGGGCGAAGCTTGAACACTCCCAGGACTAGTGCTCCCCAATATCAAGGGAAAAGGACTTCAACGAGAATGAGCAACGATTTGTCAGACTAGATACGCGCAAATGCTCACTTAGACTTAGATGCAGACGGAACAGATGCGACAGTTTCAGTGGGCGAAGGTTGAACACTCCCAGGACTATCGCTATCCAATACCAAGGAAAGAGGACTTCAACGAGAATGAGCAACAATTTGTCAAACTAGATACGCGCAAATGCTCACCTAGACTTAGATGTAGACGGAGCAGATGTGACAGTTTCAGTGGGCGAAGGTTGAACACTCCCAGGACTAGTGTTCTCCAATGACACTGTTGTGTCATAAGTCAATGCGGAGGTGATGGTCACCACCACCGAGACAGTGGCAGAGGTTGCAGAAGAAACTGAAGATGCGACATCATTACCATCATTACCATCATTACCATTATTACTATGAGATGTAGTCTGAGGAGATTGACCCTCATCAGAATCATTATTTCGTATGACCACAACGCGTGATGTGGTACGGCTATTGGTCGCAAATGAGGACGACGAAGACGATGTTGGAGTTGCAGGTACTCCCGACGGAGATGGCAGCGAAATCACCGTGTCGCAATTGACGGGATCATAGGTGGAAAGGGGGAGTTGAAAAGGTATGTCAAAAAGCACATGACTAGAGGATGAAATGCATGCCATGGCCACGGCAGGTTGAGGACAAGTGATTCCACAGCATCGTGACGAGGAAGGGGGTCGATATTCCCCCAATATGGTTCCCGAGGATGATAATGAGCAACACTCAGATACAGATCTAGCCATGGCTTCTAGCTGAGACATGTTCAATCTTGTCTTGCCGGAATAACGGGAGTGGGGGGAGAAAATGAATATTGTGAACTAGTCGAGGAATCGAGTGGGTAGCTCATGCTACTAGGTGTTAGCAATACCATCGTACTTATAAGACGTTCAGTCGAAGACAGGGATGACACACTAAAAACGAAGCGAGCGTGAGTAAGGTACAACAATTACGGCAGAAACGCCACATGATGCATGAACTTTGATTCGAAGCATATGTGTGGAACTGGCTGAGCGAACGTTCTGCAGATGCGCGACTGTTAGAGTGTTGTACCACTGGAGAACTTCGACTTGAAGGAGAAATGGCTTACTGCGAAAGTATCGATAAAATGTTTGAGAGCACAAGCTGTAGCCCTGGAGCGATCCCTGAATTGATGTTACAAATCACGCGAATGGATTGATTGTCGATACAGGCATGGGAACCCAACTGGACAGGTGTCGCAGACCTGACGTCGTTGTGTATGGAATGGTCCAGGTATTGAATGCTGAATACAAAGCCAAGAGTTTCCTGTACAGTTACCGTGATACAGGGGAGGACTTTAGCTAAACATTTCAACTCCAGATAAATATAACCGAAAGAAATTTAATGGGACTGTAAACAAGTCAGTTCGGTCGGGAATAACTTTGATATATGAGTGTCAGTAGATGCATGGGAAATTGGGAACACGGTGAAGCACAAAAATTGCATAGACTTTGTATCAAGGTCTAGATACTAAAACATGGCGAACCTGCCACATCTACCGATGCGCTGGTTGTGAAAAATCTTCGATTATGAAGTTTCGCGTATCCCCGGTCACTGGTCCACTCCAAAAAGATTTGAGATCTGAAACAAACGAGTCCAAGAACGAATTTTGGGCCTGATGATAATTCGCTTTGAGGGACGAGATATTATCAGAGGATGTGATGAAATCGGAGTGTGGACGGCGGACAGCAATGTGCACCAGAATGTGGCAGACCAGAATGAAGAGAATGAGGGAGACGATGATAGCGCTCCGAGTCTTCAGGGGCAGCTGTGGCTGGAAAGGAGAATACTCGGAGATGCGCTCACGAAACGTAGGCTTAAGGGGCGGTGTTAAGAACGCTATGTAGTACTCAGGTGCGTCGGCTGATGGAGATGATGGGGTCACAATGATAGCCGGCAAAGGTGACTTTTCCGTGGCCAGCGGAAGGGATAAATCTGCAGGAATTTGATTAATGTTGCGACTTGACTTATGCATTCACACGCACCCAAAGGCGCGGGAATCAGGTTGTAGTCAAGACGTTGAGGGAGACGGTGGATACGAGGAGCTGTATGATGCGTTGAGTCTTCGCACGCGAGATCCTAACAGTTAAAGACTCACCCCGACGAGTCATGTTGAAAGTGGGAGTAGACTAGAATGCAACGAAGTGAAATGCTTATTCTTAGTCTAGGTGAATGGATTCTCAGGTTCGAGAATCTATGTTAAGGGAATCGACGAAAAGACTGTGGATTGAAAAGAGCGTGGGTGTTTTGAAGGAGTCGAATAGAAAAACAGCTGCGGTGGAACAGGATCTAGGCGCTTGCAATTGCAATTGCAAGGTGGTGGTAAAGAAATAAAGATATGGCGAATGACGAGGGAATTTCGTAGCGAGGCTAGATAATCTGCTGACCTGCTGACGTAATCTTGGACTTCTGAATTTACACTCTCCTTCAAGCCAATCTTTTGAAAAGACTTTGGAAAAGCTTGCAAAAGTGCATTCATGTCGTTACTCGAGTCTCCTTCATTCGAGACAATTTCTTCAGCAATAAAGTCTACCGCTCACCCGGATGGAAGCTATGTTCTAGCACTGACATCGCTGGGAAATTACTATGTTTCTTCTGCTTCTGCTCCATCAAACGCAATTCATCTTTTTGACAAGTCATCTTTGAAATGCGTCCAGACCCTCAAAGGTCATCAAAACGCTACCACAACCTTGCGAACAGTTAGAGGCATCGGGGGGTCCGATCGGCATATGCTTTTATCTGCTGGTAAGGATGGTTGCGTGATTGCTTGGGATGAACGTTCTGGCGCTCCGACCATACAAAGTATGTTTTTCATACTTTACTGCTTGATCTTCACGTTTGACAACTCAAGAGTATTATCGGTAACTAGTGACGACATCTGGGAGATCTCGTACCGTTTTGTCCTGTGATGCTTCTCATGATGGCTTGACCGTTGCTGCGGGGACGGACCTACAGAAGGAGGATGCATTTATACTCTACTGGTAGGTTCTGCTCTTCTTTAGAAGGCTGTGAACTTCAACATGAGATTAAAGGGACCCTCGAAAACCAGCTGTACCACTCCGTATTCACGGCTCAACACATTCAGATGACATTACTGCAGTGCACTTTCTGAAAAATAGTCCATCTCCAACATCTGGACAGATCTTGCTGTCAGCTTCCACCGATGGCCTGGTTAGCACATCAAATTCTGCAGAAGACGACGAGGATGAAGCGGTTCTGAACGTTGGCAGTTGGGGTTGCAGCATATCTCAAGCAGGGTGGATTCGCGGCTCGTCCGCCAATCGTGTCTGGGCTGCAAGCGATATGGAGACATTTAGCTGCTGGTCAAATGAGGTATATCCCAACCACCTTTCGATCTACTGATTCCTCATGATGCTGCACAAAGCTCGACATGTTGCAGAACTGTGACATTCGTCACCCCTCCGTTCATAGCCATGGGCGAACTTGGGTTACCGACTATATGATAACATGTCACAACACAAAACGATCTGACAGCAACCTCGCTGTATTTGTTGGTTCAAACGAGTATGTGATGTCATGACTGTAATATGCAATTTAACATATCTGCACAGGGGTGATGTGGCCCTTCTCTCAAGCTCAAATGTGTCAGACTCATCTGCTCCATGGACAATAAATTCAGTATGGGCCAATGGTCACACTGGAGTGGTCCGTTCAGTCTTCTGGGATGAAAACGTACGTTTTCATCGTGCGGTGATATCTATTGCTCACCTGCAACACAGCATGAAATTCTTGTCACGGGAGGCGAGGATTCAAAGATAAGTACATGGCGTTGTCCTATTTCCGGACAGCTTTCGGGGTTCGATAAATCTGCGCGAGATGAAAGTGCGATGGATATGGACTCCGCTATTCTGAAAAGAGAACGGGATGACGAGATGGATATTAGTGAGAGTGAGCCAGTAAGGATATTTCTACCAATGACCTCTCCAAGTTTGCTCATTATGAACTGCCTTACCAGGAGGGTAAAAAAGTAAAGCGGTAATCGTGAGCGTGAATTAGTGGCGGAGCGGAGACTTGGATGTCGTTGAAGCGGTGCCAGTCAGCCCTTAACCGATTAACAATTATCAACGGCACATGTGCATGCGCCCAGCCTTGCTCGCCCTCTGAAAAATTTATGCGACTATTTTCAGCCTAACTCACAAGACCTGAGATGGTAGCATTTGTTTACATTATGCCGCGTTCCTGGTCAGGGTCCTGGAAGCATGTGCCGCAACAGTCGATCAGTTTTTCGATCGATCGTTACAAGTATCGTACGCTTCCGAAACTCGCACAGCAAATGTCATCAAGGTCCCCGGCGTGCACTTCTCCGCTCACAACTTGAACACAGTCGTGTTTGGTATGTTGAAAGCACTGTCCCGAGTTGCCGGTGACCTGCCTCGAGGACTCGGCACGAGCAGTATTAGTCAACCTTCATGATTTTCCTGCCGGCAATTTTGAACTTTTTGGAGCGAGAACTCCAGAACCCGCTACGTAATCGGGTCCGTCTTATCCTGTACTGTGGCATCCAACCGGATTGGGGCCGCTGCGATCAAGCAGTGACCACATATGTTCGCCTCGCGGCTGAGCGCTGAGCATTTATTTTTCGCGTACCGAGCCTTAAAGCTGGTTCTGCTTCATGTCATGCTACGGATATTTCCAGCCGTCCATGTTAGACACGACCTTCATTTCTCTGTCTGCTCGGCAAGCTTGTTGGTGACTTCGACTCGTTTCTTGGGCTGTGTACTGATGAATATATGCCAATCAGTGAACATTGGGAAACAATCACGAGTTGCAGCACTGGGACTTCTCATTTATGAACACAGTAAGGAGTTTTTCCGATGCATTTTACTTGCTGACTCTCATTTCTGGTAGTCATTACCATCGAGGACGAGGTAAACCGTCAATCTGATTCCAGCCACTGCAGCTGTTAAGATACGATTCGGTAGATTGATCTGGTCTGGTTGAAGAGGAAAAGTTGGGTGACATGTCTCTATCATTTTGTGAGTTTACATAATAGAGAAGAATATGCACTACGCTAATATGCATTCGAGAACCGCTGGCTTCCAGCGTTATGGCTCACATTTGACACGAGTGAGTAGGAAGTATTGACCACTGCTGATTCTGTTGACTAGCATTCAAAGTACGACAAAACAAAGTGGTATCATCCAAAGTAATTCTTATGGCATACCCTTCCACCGTCTTACGCTAACCATTCATCAAGACGTATGTTCGTGTTACTATGACATCCATGAGATTGACTTCCTCTGGCCTAGTTGCGTCACCTACATGTTATGCAATAATATCGTGTGAGTCGCGGGTCACTTTCTCTTGATGCCTTACTCACGATTCGACAGTGCACTCCTTATGACTATTTCCGTTCAAAGTAAGCATGCAGCACATGCACAACCGTCACCTATTGAACCTTCGTTCGTTTCAGCAATACTACAGCTTAGAGGGAGTCCAAGTGTTTCATACGAAAAGTCGACAACTAACATCTTTCAAGGTGTGGGCAATTTATAGCCGAAGTCGCAAGGTGCTCTCTTGGATGATTGTCCTGAGTATAATTGAGGTCGCAGCGATGGCGCTCCTCATTGGCCTGACAATCGCTCGCGTGGAAAGTGAGTCTGGCAGTTTTCATTAGAATCGACTGAATGGACCGCTGTCAGGATTTCCGGTGGTTTCCACTCCAGCAGGCTGTCTCTTTGAGGGTCTTGCCCCCATCTCTGCGATCTTTTGGACGCCAGCGCTGATCCTCGAACCTATCATTTGCATACTCGTCCTCAAAAAGGTTTTCCTGGACCGACACCAACGCGGTGAACTTGCAACGTCTCTGGCCCGTGATAGGTTGGTAGTTATTATCTTTTATGAGATATGCTGACGACCACTGAAGTTTATTATACTTTCTTGTGTACGTCTGTCAGCTTCTAGGTGGCTGTCACGGTATACTTGACTATTTATCATCTACAGAATATTCATGGAACTCGTTGGGTCAACTATTGTCTGGGCTCGGTATCCCTCCTATATAGACCTCTTCATGCCGTGGGTCTCTATTTCCCTTTGTGTTACATTTCTAAAACAAATTGGCAGTTGGTCTATCGCTTTACCGTCCATGCTCTGCAACCGTCTTCTGCTCAACATGAGAGGTCGCTTTGCTAGGGAGTCTGAGCCTGTGCACTCCTCATTGTTGATTGAACTCGCCACCCTCCGAACCAGCGCAGATTCAAGAGTGCCAGACGAAGAGTAAAAGATGGTGTGCTGTAATTTTATACCCCAGCACGGATTCAATTAGTATGATATCTCTGTTTGCGCGGGTCTTTGTTAGTGTAACGTACGTTGTGGCTTAGCACGAGCGCTATGTGTTGTTGTGAGTTTATTCTTTGTCTTTGTCTTGATCGTGGAAACATTGTCAGCCTCGCCAAGTCTAACGCTCACATGTCACATATTGTCATGACTGATAACTTCCCAGACCTTGCTGCTTATGTTGGGCCAATTGTCTGTGTTGCGGTGCCTTTGATGTCACTGATCTAAGAGGATCTAAGGTGTCTTTACGTTATATTTCTGGTCCAAGCCCGATATAACTTGCCCTGGATCCTTATCCAATCTAATATGCAATTTTCAGCCGAACTAACTCTTATTAGCGATGTATGTAGGCAAGGCGTCTCTCAGTTTCTATGAGGGGGTAGCAGCTGGTGAGTCCCTTCATTAAAAAATTCAGATGAAGCCCTGAACCAGTCACATGGACCAGGTCGCCATCAACGGCGAATACAACGGTTCTAGTCAGTGGCGAAGATCCGAGAAGAATTTTACAAGGCGCTTCGACGTTTTCGGTCGAACACTACCGGAAAGCGTGTCACAAGAGCAAGGCTGCAATGTTTCCGAGCAGTCACCACCGTGTGGCATGGAAAGCCCCATCACCAACCTACGGGCCTACACTGAGAACTTGAAAGCACTGACTGATGCCGGACAACATGAAAGAACCCGTCGGTCATGTTGCCAGCTTCTTTGAACTTCTTTGTTTCGAGCTCCGTGACGTGCAGCTTCTTCCTTCGTTTTGCTAAGCTTTGTTGATGCAGCGTTTGGTGCCGTCGCAGTTGAAGCTTCCTGTGAGTAACCGTTCAAAGCGATTGCAAACAGATGCTGATTTACCTGACTCCATCTAGCGGTTACATGCGAGAACACAGCTAACATCTCATCTTCTTTCATTGGGCGGAACTCAGATGCTCATGTCGACACACTAGCTTGCTCAAACATCATTGAAAAGCACGATCTTGGAGCGCGCCAGACAAATGTCTGCGCTGGTATCTGTGCATTGCGATCAATGCTCCGAGTCTTGTCTTCCGGATCTTTCCAAGCTTGTTTCGTCGCACTGTTCAAGGTGCCACCAACTACTTTACTCCCTTTGGTGGTAGTCCAAACCCTTACGATGGTCAAGTCATCTCGGATACTCTCTTGTATGATGGTCAGAACATCGGTAAATAGTGCTCGCGTCTTTCGGTAATAGCATGTAATTTGCAGGAGCATTTTTTAATATCGCAGTACGTCAATCGTGGTCTCTTGAGGATCTACGCTGATACTTTGAGGTAGAGTGGATCCGCTATCTATATGTAGCATTCACCTTGTCAGATGCTGAACCAGGCCAGCTACAACAAGACCTAGTGCAGAATCAAGTTGTCAGCTGGATAAGACTTCTCTCGTGAGACGTGCTTGATTTTAGTGTCTGACTCAAACACGTTAAATACGTCACATTTGACTGCGAGTATTAGTCACTCATGGCAGCAATTACGTCCCTCCTGATCAGACCAGGTTGGTTTGTCCGCTAAGTGCTTGACGTCACCAGTAGCTCGCTTGATCAGTGCATACAAAACTCCGAAACTAATAGTAAAGACCTGATTTACGGGTTTTATAGTCACACTTGTAATTTTATTCAGGAGGTTATTCGAGTTCTGTTGATGAGTGACATACAGCACTCTTTTCCGGATCCCAGCGGCTTTCACGTACCGTGATTTGTGTTATGGTGATCTGAGACCGAAGCTTTACTCTACAACAAAGGCGATACTACATGTAAGTTGCCACCATATGATGAATGGATAATGATGCAACAGACGAGCGTGATGGACACAGCGGGGTATGAGGGGACGTTGGTGCCGAAGCTGTCAGAAAAGGTCTTCAAGTGTCATCTGCTTGACAATGTCCTAAGGGTAAAGATTGAGCACCAACAGTGAAGCTAGGGAAATGTTTCCAACCGTGTTTGACACCATCTGGGCAAACTCTTCGAAGTTAAGTTTTCCATCACGATCTAGATCGCCCTCCATGATCGTCTTGTCAACAATCTGCTGCAGTTGTTGATCCTGTTTCAAAGAAAAGATTACAAAGAGTTCCGAATCATTGGGCAAGTGCATACAGACCTTGAGATTGTTCCCAACCATCATTTTCAATACCAGAAACAGCTCTCCATTGGAAATGAAACCATCTCGATCCACATCATAAACCTTGAATGCGACTTGATATCATGATGTGAGGCCGTGCTAATGAACCAAAATGGGAGACGCACATCGTAGCTTCTCTTCCCGCCCTCCTCGACTGCTAAATGCGCTTAACCCACCCACAAATTCCTGAAAGTCCACAGTCCCTCCTCCACTGCGCAAGAATTAAATTGTGACTCGGCCACAGAAATCTGTCGACGCACTCTTCGTCAAAGATTGCAATCATCCTTGAGGCTAATGGGTTTGTAGCTATTTGTGGTATTTGCAGAAATTCTTCGCGATCTATGGAGCCCGAGCCATCGCTGTTTACGCATTATGAGATCGTTAGCAATGCATGGTCAATTGAAGAGATGATATAGACCTGTCTAGCTTCATAAAGCGTTTCTTCAATCTTTCTAGCTCAGCGGATGTGACTGTGCAGCACAGTCAAATTAGTATCGCAGAGCAGAGGTGGTATGGAACGTAGAACGCACAGTTGGACCGCTTCTGCATGTCCTCCATAAACTGTGATGCTGTTCATCACGGGGTGAATGGAAGATGAATGCGGCATGGAAAGATACGAACGTGTTTGACCCATAGCTCCTGATTAAACTGGGCAACCTAAGTATGTGATTGTATAACAAGGGTGAGATTAGTCGGTTTAGTTAGACCTTGTGCTCGGCGATGAGAGGCAAGGGCAAGCTGTAGTCGTGAGAAATTATGATCAGCCTTTGTAGCGCGTCTATCATCATACTGGTCGCGCCTGACGGCGAGCTAGAATTCGAGGGCAGTGAATGTTGCGGCAATGGCGAGCCAGTATCACTCAGAAAGCTGTAAAGGATCCACGGATACAACGGAGACAGGTTCAATTTCGGGAAAATAACTCCCTGCTGATCTCAAACCTTGCATCAGTCGTTCTACATAGAAATTCTCCCTGGAACTGCAGATCACATCGCCCCAACAGGTCGTCGTGGCAGTTCGATGCTACTGGGTATACCAGTCATACTCATACAACACTCTCTGTCAAGTCTGAGCCCACGCTCTCTGATGCGCAGCGTAGAACTATATACGCGCTCTCCACTCCACCTGGGAAAGCAGGTATAGCTGTCATTCGGGTTTCTGGACCCAATGCGCTTGACGTCTGGCGACGAGTGACGCGCAAAAAAAAGTCCGAAGACATACCGACACCATGGATGCTCCAGCGCAGACACGTCGTCGACCCAGAGACCGAAGAGAGACTCGATGACAGCTTGACTGTCTTCTTCAAGGGTGAGTTCTAATTATTTGCCGTAGGTTGCGGGATGTTTAATTATGTACATTAGGTCCAAAATCATTTACCACGGAAGATACTCTTGAGCTTCATATCCACTCTGGGCGCGCAGTGCTCTCTGCAGTGTTACGTGCACTTGCTAAACTACCATATTGTCGGCCCGCTGTCCCAGGCGAGTTTACGAGACGTGCCTTCGAGGGTGGCCGACTTGATCTCACCCAAGTCGAGGGGCTGCGGGACTTGATAGATGCTGAAACAGAAGCTCAAAGAAGGGTTGCTGTCAGCGGAGCTGAGGTAGGCGTTATTGCTGATTTTGGGACTTACAATTTACCCCAAATGTTCCTAGGGGACTGCGAGAGCGCAATATGTTGCACTGAGGTCACAGATCCTGGAATGTCTAGTTTTTGTCGAAGGTTTTATTGATTTTGGCGAGGACGTGGATGATCTTGGTCAGGAAGCGATGATTAGAGAAGGCAGGTCCTCTACAGGTTCATTTGCAATTTCATCTGAAGCGGTATTAGCTCATGATCGTGCATTGAATATCATCAATTGCATTCGATCTCACTTGGATGACAACCGCCGTGGGGAGATTCTGCGTTCTGGAATAAAACTTGCGATATTTGGACCTCCGAATGCTGGCAAGAGTAGCTTATTCAATTTTCTTGGTATGTCCTTTAAGTTACGCTCTTTGACACCTTGATTCGAATCCTTGATTGTAGCTCAGCGTGATGCGGCCATTACATCACCCATTCCAGGAACTACGCGAGACGTGCTAACGCTCACTTTAGACATTGGAGGTTTTCCAGTTGTACTGAGTGACACCGCTGGCCTGCGAGAAACTTTGGACACTGTAGAGCAAGTAGGGGTGGGTCGTGCAGGCAATGCGTATGTGCAAGTCATAATACGCTATATCCTTTTGTTAACGGTTCGCTCAGTGTCAAGGAGGCTGATGTGTCTCTCTGTGTTCTATCTCTTCCTGATGTTTTATCCTCTCCGGACAATGCTCTGATTCGAGTCCCGGATGAGGTTAAGAGCCACCTGAAACCAGATACCCTTTTCTTGTTGAACAAGTCCGATACTATCGCGAACCTTCCTGCCAACCAGTCTCTCACTTTTATGGAGTATAACGATGACTGTCATAACGGCAAACGAACCCAGTTCTGGACAGCGAGTCTTCGCACATCCGAGGGTACCCAATCGTTTCTAGATGGTCTCGCACAGGTTTTACGATCAAGGTACTTTACACGGTTCTGGTATCTACTGGGTGGATGGACGTCCTGACCTCTCTTAATAGATACAGCGATGGTTTCGATTACACAAGTCCACTCATCACACATGCTCGTCATAGAGATTTTCTTGAGCAAGCTGTCATGCACTTGGAAGAGTTCATCGCCTTCTGTAAGTACATTCGTTATGCTTCATTGATGCATCATACCAATTTGTGCTCGACCTCACAGCTCCTTCGGAAGTAGACATCGCCGCGGAGTCCCTACGTTATGCAGCCCGTGCGATTGGTTCTGTTTCTGGACTGGATGTCGGCGTTGAAGAAGTCTTGGGAGGAATATTCAGTTCGTTTTGTGTTGGCAAATGACCGCTGATTTTATGTGATTTTACTGTCAATGCATGATGTTCTGCGACTCGTAGACGTTCTTCTTGACCAGTGTTAGCCAAATGGTAAGCGTGACAGGCCAGAAATCTGATTCAAAACCTGGGAAGTGTCCTGGCCAAAGTGGTTACCACGACAGAATTGAATTCTGTTTCTCTTGGACTGCGTAGGTTCGAAACCTGACGACAATAAGGTTTTTATCTCTGTGGCATTCGCTCATGGATAGTTTCCTCGGTTTACCTGAACAGTTATAAGGCAAGTGGTTGCCACAACAGAATGAAAATCTATTTCTCTTGCACTGCACAGGTTTGAAACCTGCCGATGTCAAGGTTTTTTTCTAACGGAACACGTCTTAACATTCGCACGTGGATGGGGTCCACCGAGGTTTTACCCTAACCGGTGAAGTCAAGTGGTTGCCACAACAGAATGGAAATCTGTTTCTCTTGGATTGCGCAGGTTCGAAACCTGCCCATCACGTCAAGGTTTTTTTCTATCGGAACACACCTCGACATTCACTCGTGGACGGTTTCGTCGGGGGCTCGTGGCAGTTGGTCTTAGCCAAGTGGCCACCACAACAGAGCCGAAATCTGTTTCTCCTGGTCTGCGCAGGTTCAAAACCTGCTGCTGACAACATGGTTTTTTTGCTATCGGAAAAATCCACCTAAAAATCACTGATGGATAATTTCCTCGCAGATCATTCACTCATGGACAGTTCCTCGGGAGTTCATGTCAACTTCGTCCTGGCCAAAATGGTTACCACAACAGAATCAAAATCTGTTTCTCTGTGACTATGCAGGTTCGAAACCTACCGACGACAAGGTTTTTACTATTGGAACACACCTTCAATATTCACTCATGGGCGGTTCCTCGGTGGCCCACCTCAACTGGTCTTAGCCTAGTGGTTCCCGCAACAGACTCAAAATCTGTTTCTCTTGGACTGTGCAGGTTTGAAACCTGCCGACAACAGTTTTTTCTATCGGAAACACGCCTTAAAGATTCACTCATGGACAGTTCCTCGGAGGCTAGCCAGGTGGTTATCGTAACAGAATCAACATCTGTTGAACTCGTTTTGTTTTCCTATCGAGACTGGACCTCCGAGGACCTCCGAGGTTCTTGGCTCGGTGATAACCCAGAATCGAAATCTGTTTCTCTTGGACTACGCAGGTTCGAACCCTGCTGATGATAACACTATCAGAAACACGCCTTGAAGCTTGAAGATTCACTCATGGGTAGTTCCTCGGAGACTCGTCTTAACTGGTTTTAGCCAAGCGATAACTACAACAGAATCTAAGTCTGTTTCTCTTGCACTGCGCAGCTTCGAAACCTGCCGTTGACACCATTTTTTTCCTATTGGAACACGCCTCGACCTCTCTTAACATTAGCATTCCATGATGGATGGTTCCGAGGTTCATCTTAGCCGGTCTTAGCTAAGTGGTTAACGCAACAGAATCAAAATTTGTTTCTCTACTGTGTCCGAAACCTGCAAGGTTTTTTCTATCGGAACACACCTTGACACTGATTCATGGATGATTTCCTTCGAGGTCCATCTAACTGGTCTTAAAGCAATAGAGTCAAAATCTGTTTCTCTTGCAGTTGGTTCGAAACCTGCTGACATCATTTTTGCGGTGTATAGATCCTCGGAGGTTCTTAACTAGGCCCAGTCTTTGCGCCGCTACCCTCCTTTTTTATGTGATAATCTGTCCATGAAAGGAATTCACCCTCACGCCTCGCAGGGGTTGTCTCAGAAACATAAGATTCATCCCCGAGGCACATATGTGCCAACCTAGATCGATCTAGAGTGTCGGAGATCGGTGCTAGGTACCACTGCGATATCCGGATGGTTGATCACCTTCAAGTGCATCGCTGAGCGGCCCGTCACTAACTCGATTACATAGGTTTTCCCATAGCTCGGTAACTTGCTGTGTCGCCGTCTCAACACCTCTCTCATCCTCAAAATGACCACGGTGCAGTCCGTGCAGATGCACAGCAAACGTAATGCTGCAGTATTGGCAGTTCCACCTTATATCTTCCTTGGACCTTATACGTCTGCATCGAGATCTTTCATCGATTCAGCAGGCATTACCCACATCATCAGCATCGGTAGGGCGCCTGTTTGTCCCAACCACCCTCATGTCCAATACTACCGCCTGCAACTTTTGGACAAGGATATATCCTCCATCTATACGGCTATTGATAGAGCCAACCAGGTCATCGCTGATGCTAGGAACAGCGGAGGGAAGGTTCTCGTGCACTGCGTCGCAGGGGTGTCCCGCTCTCCGACGATTATCGCAGCATACCTCATCTCGAGATGTTCTATGTCGCTGAAGGACGCACTTGGGCTGCTCGTGCGCGCGAGGCCTGTGGTGTGTCCGAGACCAGGGTTTATCGCGAAGTTAAAGGATCTAGAGATAAGGGTGAGGGGACATAGTTCACTCGATGTGGACGTTCTTCCCGGCTCGAAGGAGGCGCGCTTGGTGCTCCTCGGTGGTTGATCAAAGGTTGATCGGCAACTGTATGTTCTTAAATGTACCTGCAAGGCCATAGCCTCAATTATACTCATTAGGGTGAAACTCGTCTCGACTTCATCATGCAGCGCCTTGTAGTAGTCAACCCAGCCAAGTGCACCCTTCGGGTTCGCTCGATTCGCAGCTATTTACATATCTCACTCTGACATGCTTTAATTGTTCGTCAGGTTGGCAGTTCCCATACTAGGTTTGCGACGAGAAAGTGTTATTCATCCCATGAGAACGTACAACTGTAATAATGATAGGGATTATTTCGTCGGTACTCAATTACAACAGGATTCACGATACTGAATTAGGCTGGAATCATCGTGAATAGCCATTAGGGACCTAATTGGACTTCGGCGCCGGCCAGAACGCTTCTGCTGGAACAATCAGAACGTGGGTTATGACTTCATGATGGATTCATTGACAGAGCGTTTTTATTGGAGGAGAAACGGGATCCGATGGATGCTCTCGCGGATAAAGTGGGATAGGGAAGACGGCCCGCATTTCTGCCTAGAAATCCAAGAGCGGGAAGCTGCCGCCTACCGCCGCTGAGCTGAGCGAATTAGGCAACACAAGCAATCTAGCTTTCATAGATCTGCAGATGGACACACAGGAAGACACAAACCCAAGGGACGGCCAAGAATAAACAAAACGGCCTTTGTCCAGTCCGCGGGAAATGGTATTTGGCAGTTCCTGGGGGGTTCAAGATGAGGGGACGGCCTTGCCATGGGCCGTACAAAGTGCCGGTTAACTCAGCACATAAGACTGTGTGTATGAGTCACAATGCACCATGCACGCGAATATGAGAAACAACGTACCGAACATATGCGGTGACCAGGACTTGAGAAGGTTAAGTACTTAGCACATGCCGAGTATAGTCGACATGAGAAGATCGTACGTACTTAAGTCTGGACAAGAAAAGAACGAGTGGGTTACTTGGCGTGATGCAATAATTTTCTTCCGAAGGAAGGCGAATTATCTCACCAAGTCTGGAAAATATTCCTGGGAGACGAGTTGTATATGCCTGCTATGTTGTCTCGAGACTCGGAGTCTCGGAGCACTCAGTAACACGAGTTTGGAGCGGAGCATGACGGGTAAGCTAGGAAAGACGGACCGGAAGAAACCGAAAGGTTGGTTACCCTTGTATGGAATTAGTCACCACGTGTTTTGGAATTAATGATTTATACTCCTGACAAGGCTCTGCATGACGGCTCTGTTCATCTCTCCTCCGTTACCTTCCGCCACACGCACAAAGGCTCTTCATCATGAGCGTGTCTGTAGATGACCTTGTAGCCTCCCTCAATGCGAATCACATTGGTCAAGAGGCTATTGACCTTGCAGCTCTCCAGGTACGTACTACAAACCTTATTTCCCCTGCCCACAAATGCTTATCTGGTCGTGTCGTGCAACTCGTGGCGCCGCAATTTTCCAGGCGCAGCTCGCGCAGACGTTATTCGCGCATCAAATTTCACCCTCTTGCGCATCGTCTAGCTCGCCCAACTCGTATGGAAATGCGAGCGCGGTCAGGTGCGACCCCACACACGTGCAGCACTGCACCACACCCACTACGCGCACACCTTCTTCATCTATCTCATGGCCTGCAGGCTATATTCCCGTAGAGATAACTCAAAAGAAGCGCAGCAACAGCATTGTCTGTCCGCGTTCCCGTCGACCAAGTGTAGACGAGGGATGGTGTGACCCGGACGAGCTGGACGAGGAACGCATGGTTGAGGATATGATAGTTCCGTCCTCCCCGCAGTCTCCAAAAACCTTCATTTGGGGATACACGGGGTTGAAAGGTGCACCAACCCCTGCGCCCACGCCTATTACGATTGTTGGCACGCCGGTTGAATCGCAATCTCTATTTACCTCCACAGATCCATTTTATCTACAAGCCTCTCAAGCAAATGCGACCCCGCAGCCACCCTCATCATTTTTCACAAATGCAGGCCGCCCATCTAATCACTCGCCCTTTGTGAGGAGCAATTGGGAAGGTACTCCTACCCAATCTGCTGCCTGGGATCGCTGAGCTGTGGGGTTGCGTCTAAGCTTTCCTCTGTCTCTTGAACATTACTTGAACATATATCTGCGCACACCCCATCTTTGCCAGTCACATCTTGCCATGTACATTTTATGGTACCAATGCGTGCCTCACCACCTCCCCGTTCTGCACCCCGTCCACGTGCGGACTGCGTCGTGATTATTTAACCCAAACCTCCGAGGAACCCTCTGCTTCGCAGGAAATGAGGCATCAAATGGATTTTTGATCTGGCATCGCCGCATCGGCCCGATATTGAGCGTTATGGTTATAGTGGGCTGGGTTCTGGGCAATTGTTTTTCGCCGTTGCGTGGAAGTGTTTTGTGGAGTTGATCCTGGCAGATTTTCACCCAGACGCGCTTTTCACGCAGTCATATCTTTGATTTTCTGTTGTGTACCTACATATCGCTACTGGATTACGGACATTCTGGGTTGATCTAAAGTAATTTACAACGGATTGTTCCAAGATAGAATCAGGGGTTATTTGTCTGACGTGGGTGAAGAACTGCTGCCAACAAGACCGTCAAAGAGCGCAGAATCAAATGTTATGAGTTGTTGATATTCTTCCTGGATATAAATATCATGATGAGAATCACCAACAAGATACACGAGTAGATATCATACCTGAATGATGCTTGGGCATGCTGCTGCCAGCTTGATACAAGTCATTTGAAGAAGAGCTCTGTATTCCAATTCCAGGCTACTTGCACCTGGATACCAATAATTACGAAGAAACTCAGCCAAGGGTAAATTACTTACCTGTCTCATCCGCAAGTTGGGTATTTTCAATATCCATGGCACTTGCCCATGCGCGTCCAGTTGCATCAATGATATTGCATTTCCACAGATACATTCGGGGGGCACAGGTTTCAATGCAAGTACATAGTGCGCGAAGTGAAGACACCTTAAGCTTCAGATCGACATCAAGCGGCCGGGTGAGGGAAGGAACAGCTGGTGGGAGAAGAGCATGGGTCAACTGCGGAATTAATGCCTAGAAACGAGCAGCCATTGCAAGTTATTCGCATGAGTGGAAGTTGGCTTGGTAAAGGCACACCTTGAGCCACCTGGCAGCGCCTATTCCGATGTGGGTGAGTACAAGCGGAAGCATGTCTGTTGCCGCGAGGATGGCCTCAGGATCGGCATATGCATACAGGAAGACAGTGCCAATAAGGCAGGAACCGAGGAGTGTAGATAGATGTTCATATCGAGTGGCCGGATTTGCGGGGGAGGTCCCTGACTTAACCATGGTGCGGCTTTTGGAGGGAAATCCAGATGTCGGGGGAAGCGGAGCCAGTGAGGGCGGTGAGGTAAGGTCAATCAGGTGCAGGGTGGTAGGAACGGCGGCGCGAATCAGATCCGGGGTGAACGGATCGCGCAAGTGATTAAATGTACCGCTTAAAGACTGCATGAAAGAATTTCAGCATTCAAGGCAATTCTAATTTACGCAACAGCAAGAAAAAGGATGATAGAGCGCATCCTATTAGTTCAATTTTAATCGTGACGTACTGTGAATAAAAGGCCGTCAACTCCTGTACGCTTGAGAAGCTCTGGAGGAACGCGAGAAAGCAAGTCGGATACGAGCTGCACTCCCCGCAGTTTGTAAGGTGCTTCGAAATCATCGAGGTAAGTCATCACAGGAGGGAGAATCAGGTGCCAAACTGATTCATACGTGCTGGCCTACGTGATTGAGATAAGTTTTGGGGGGTTATTCATCTGCTGCATGTACCTCGATGTTTCGTAAACACCACCCTAGAACATTTTCGGTTCCGATACGCGTCTTCCATACCTGTCCTTCATATGCGTCTTGCGTATCTGCTGGTCGAGGTAACTTGCGCCCCGTCTGCAAATTGAGCCGTGGATGCGGATTGGCGGCGAAAGCGGGTTTGATGTGATGCGTCAAGATACGCGTTAGTACCAGAGGAGGGATGTCTGGTTCTGTAAGCGGGCCGAGGATGGCTGTGATAAGAGTGAGACGCCGTCAAGGTAGCAAAGTCATAAAGGAGCCATACATAGTGCGAGAGACGATACGCCATCTGCAATCCATTCATCAGGACTATCAAACACAGCTACGGACGCAGCGATATCTGCCTGCTCGTCGACAGGTAGGCTTTGGATGCCATGTCGCGTCGCAAGCAGATCGCGAAGGTTTGTGAGGCTAGTACTGACACCGTTTTTCCACCTGATGAGTTGAGCAAGGATTTGTTCATCTGTGAGCTTGTCAAAGCGGGAGAATTCTTGAGGAATGGCAAGGGCCGTAAGCAGGTTGGGAAGTGTTGAAGAGCTCATTGTTGTTCGATGATCGCTGTTTGGAGAACGGACGCGACGTGACAGTTCAACGTGACCTATAACCAGCGCCAATTTCCTTCCTGCTCAAATATCACTCAGAGCAACTCAGAGTTCGGAACCGTCATCTGGACAAAATTAAACATGAACGCTTCCTTACTCAGTATGCTTGCGCATCATTTTCGATAATGTATACTGAGCCATCACACTAAGACCCATTTACCGTTACGCACCCGACCGCTGTACAAACCTCACTGGTCTCTGGTGCATCATTTGCTCGTTTTGATCCGACTGGCAAATTCGTCGCAGCAGGCCGGTCAGATGGCTCAGCTGCTATTTGGGATCTCGACACCCGCGCTGTTATACGGTGGTGTGAAGGTCACGTCAAGGCTGTAACAAGCGTCGAGTGAGTGACGCAGCATTTTTCAACGCTCCCGTGTCAATTGCTCGTATCTACACAGCTGGTCTCGCAACTCCCGCTATATCCTGACGTCGTCCAAAGACTGGAACGTAATTATCTGGGATCTAGCTTCTCCAGTGGATCCTCCACACCGGTATAATACGATACGATTTGATGCATCGGTTGTTAGCGCATATTTTCATCCAAGAAATAGGTGCGTGTCGGTTCTTTGTTTTTGTTCTCATAGGTTCACAATGAATGCAAGCGTAGTCGCATAGTACTCGCACTGCTCAGCACGGGCGAGGCGTACGTGGTTGATTCGCGCAAGGAGCACAGAGCAAGGGTGGAACTGTGCGAGACCTTGAGTGAAGATGACGACGACGAACGGGCGCGGTATTTGGCTTGGTCTCTGCTTTACGACCTGCGCTGACGTACAGACTCAGTTCCATCATGACTACCGCGCGATTTGATCCGTCTGGCAGACACGTATTTGTTGGGACTTCGACTGGGAACGTACTTGTGTTTAATAGCAGAACGAAAATTGTAAGGATTCCCACTGGTAACCTATCATGGAAATCGGACCTAATGATATTGTTAAAGATGGTCGCACGGCATCGCATAGCAGGTGCGGGTAGCATGAAGAGTCTGGAGTTCGCGAAGGTTGGGCGGTAAGTGCCCTATTCTCCGATATATTCGTTCTGTTTACGCTACGTTCTTTTAGACGCTTTGCTACTAATTCCTCGGATCGCACCATTAGGCAGTTCATCCTCCCCACTTATCCTTCACCCATCGTGGGTGCCGAATGCGCGATTTTAGAAACAGAATTGGAGCCTACTCATAGATTCAATGATCCCATCAGCAAGGTCTCGTGGCACGCTATGTCTTATAGCCCTGATGGAGAGTGGCTCGCTGGAGGTAAATTGCTCCACAGCATTATCGACTTGACTTGAACCATTTGTACGAGGACAGGTGCGGCGGATCCAGCGACGCACAAAATCTACATCTGGGATATTTCAAACGATGGTCAATTTGCGACCGCTTTGGACGGCGGTAGGGAACCTCTGATTGATATTCATGTACGTCTCCTCAGTCGTGATACTGGGTACCGCAATCATGATTATTTCAGTGGCACCCACGAGCCTCTCGACTTGCCTCAACAACTAACCAAGGTTCTGTACTCATTTGGCATTGTCCCTCTCCAGAGCGGTGGGGTGCATTTGCCGGCGGCTTCGAAGAGGCAGATGAGAATGTGATGTATGAGGAGGGAGAATCAGAATTTGACATTGTAAGCTGTACTTTGCATTACTATCACCCTCTTTTACCAACGATGACTAGGAGAATGAAGTTGAACTCGCCATGCGCAAAAAACTCCAGGAAGATGAGGCTGTTGACATATCAGGTGGTGTTGATGACCTTGTTGATCACAAGATGAATGGGGTTGCAGGAGATCCTGGTGATGAGGACCTTGAATGGGCTGATGACGAGCCGGATGATGATTGGCAAGGATGGAGATTAAAGGTGATCATGGTTGATGATGACGACGCTTACTAGGGTAGATCAATTTGTTTTGCTTATTGATCTTTAGGATGGCCTTGTACTGATCCTGTTTGTGAGGACTTCATTTGCTTCGGCTGATGACACTGATGTTATTTCCTGTATGTATGATATGCTTCAAAGGCCATAGCGATACAAGTCTTATATCTGGTACGCCCCCGATGTTCAAGCAGTCGAAAAACAGCAGGTCGATTGGGAGGAGCCGCCTCTATCATCTCCGTGCTAAAGTCGATTGAACAAACTAGACTCGGTATCATGATCATTTATCGGGCAACTATAGTTGAGTACAACTTGAATACTTGGCAGTATTCAATCTTGTTCGAGTAACTTTCAACTGGGCGACATCTATGGTGAAATCGACCCGGCCTGTGTCGGAATGGTAGTCCCGCATTGATCGATTGACCCTGACCCGGATTGATATTATGTGAATTTATCATTTTTGCGCTGTATCAGTATCACGTGGAAGTTTCATTTATATAGCTTCGCTTTGCGCAGACTCTGGTCTCACCATATTGCTCCTTTGTATCACGTTCTAAAATCCACGATTTTGCCCCCTGTCAGCTCTCGCATGATTCGTTCAGTGTTTTCCGCCGTCACCCACGCGGGTTTCCAAAGTTATGGCTAATTGAAAATCAGCAATAAAGTTTGGCTAGGGTGCTTAGCCCATCTGATACGTCTCATTTGGACTGGTTATGTCTAGCTTTTTATCCAATTCATCTAACTTTATGCGGGAGGGTTTTTCTGATGAGTCAAGGTCCGAATGATAACAGGGTACCATGAACTCTCCTCGGGCCCATCTCGCTCGCCCTTTTGCTGCCCTGTTCGAACTAGTGTTTGAGAGCAGCAGGTACTGATCGATCTTGTTAACAACTTTCATCATGGGTTTGTTGCAAAGCAAGCACTACGGCAGGGACATTTACCTTGCCTTCAAGGATATTTGCCTTGTCTCGCCCCTGCTAGGCTCAGCGACACGTATCTCGGTTTTGGTACTGGCGTCCCTCTATTTCCTGCAAGCCTATCGCCGGAAACAACGAACGACATGCATACGAGGACCTCAGAGCCCAGGCTGGGTGTTTGGCTTAGCCAAGACAGTGTTAGATTCCACCGCTACAATTGAACTGTACGAACGTTGGGCTAGGGAGTACGACCCAGTGTACAAGGTCCCGGGTGTCTTTGGACAGTCCATGGTTATATTATGGGACTCGAAAACAATCTCTCATTTCTTTGCAAGAGACACATGGTTGTATAACCGACTTCCGTTCTACAAGATCGCTATTCAAACAGCGGTATGTCGTTTTACCTTCTTGTTATAGGCTAACGGCGCGCTTATGCGACTGACAGATCGGAAGAAGAGTGATGTGTGTGATTAAGAGTGGCGAAAAGCTCGCCTGTCTTCGTATTCCAGATTTTGACTGAATATTCATATTCATCATCCAGGTCCCACTGGTAGTATCCACCAGTCGCAAACATGGTCATGTTTGGCGAGTAGACGACTGCGCACACGTGTGTGTGCCCTGTTTCGATTGGACCGAGGATGGTATCTCCCTTCTCCACATCCCACTCCCTTGCAGTCCCATCATCAGATCCGCTTACCACTCGCCGACCACCTCGACTCCAGCACACAGACCGCACTGTTGCCGTGTGTCCCATCCATTTCCCGATGACTTTACCTGTGTCCATGTCCCATAACCTCATTCCACCATCCAAACTTCCACTAACCACTTTCTTCCCGTCCGGGGACAACGCTATGGTTCTCACTTCAATATCAATGTCTCCGTCCCGATGGTCTTCTCCTATCTGTTTCCCACTCTTCACGTTCCATACCCGCAGCGAGCCGTCCCTTGAACAAGTCATCATCCGCTGTCCGTCTGGCAGATGTACTATGGCGGTATTGACAGAATCGGTCTGTCCTTCAAAATTTCTGGCGGAGCTTTATTGCTGATGTCTCTTTCCTCCCTACGATGGATGAAGGTGAAGACATGATCAGCTACTGGGCGCAGCGCTGTCTCAGCTTTCATCTAACAAAGTCTAAAATCATCACTTACGACGATATCTTTCTTAGCAGGCCTCGACACCAAGGTTTAGGTCAATTCGGAGTACACAGGAAGTCCGAACTGGTACGTTCACAAGTCACGTTCTCGTGATTATTCCACAGCTTGCATTATAGGCTGTGCTGCTGAAGCGCTTAAATCTCATTTGGGACCATTACATATATTCCATCAGTCACTACAATCTTGATCCCCGTTTTGAATGCCTGGCCAATGACATCGTTTCCTAAATTGCGCCGCAGAATTGTACGTGTGTTTCTCCCTAGCCATTTCCCCTCTTATGACATTGACTCATGGACAGTTCTTCGGAGGTTCATCTCATCTTGGGAAGCGTCAGGGTGGCCGAAGCGGTTACCACAACGGAATCGAAATCTGTTTCTCTTGGACTGTGTAGGTTCGAAACCTGCCGAAGACAAGGTTTTTTTCTATTGTATAACACCTTGACATTCGCTCATGGATCGATTATTATAAGGCTCATGATAACTCGTCTTAGGACAGCGGTTACACAACAGAGTCAAAATCTGTAACTCTTGGACTGTGCAAGTTGGAAACCCGCTGACAAGAGTTTTTTTATTTTATCAGAACACGCCTCAAAGATTCGCTCATGAATGGTTTCGTCGGGCACTCACATGAGCTGGTTTTCGCCCAGCAGTTACTGCAACAGAATCAAAATATGTATCTCTTGGATTGCGCAGTTTCGAAACCTGCTGAAGATAGGTCTTTTTTTTTGTCGGAAGCGCGCCCTGAAGATTCAACCATGGACAGTTCCTCGGAGGTTCATCTCAACTTTATCCTGGCCAATGTGGTTAGCACGACAGAATCAAAATCTGTTTCTCTTGCGCTGTGCAGGGACTGCAGGTTCGAAACCTGCCAACAACCAGGTTTTTTCCTATCGGAACACACCTCGACATTCACTCGTGGGTGGTTTCTTCGGAGGCTTATCATAACTAGTCTTAGCCAAGAGGTTACCACCACAGACTCAAAATCTGTTTCCCTTGTATTGCGCAAGTTTGAAACCTGCCCCCGCCAAGCTTTTTCTCTATCTTAACGTGCCTTGACATTCACTCATGGATGGCTTTGTCGCCACCGCATATTAACTAGTCTTATCCACGTTGTTACCCCAACAGAATCAAAATCTGTATCTCTTGGATGGTGCAGGTTCGAAACCTGCCGACGACAGGTTCGTTTTTCTCTCGGAAGTACGTCTCGAAGATTCACTCATGTACAGTTCCTTGGAGGTTCATCCTGGCCAAAGTACTTATCAGAACCAAATCGAAATCTGTTTCTCTTGAGCTGCGCAGGCCTGAAACCGGCTGACGACAAGGTTTTTGGTTTCTATTGGAACACGCCTTGAAGATTCGCTCATGGATGGTTTCCTCAGAAGTCCATCTTAACTGGTCTAAGTCGAGTGGTTGGCACAACATAATCAAAATCTGTTTCTCTTGGACTGCGCAGGTTCGAAACCTGCCGATCACGTCGAGGTTTTTTGCTATCGCAACACGCTGGTCTTAGCCAAGGGGTTACTGCAACAGAATAAAAATCTGTATCTCTTAGACTGTGCAGGTTCGAAACCTGCCGAAGATAGGTCTGATTTTTTGTCGGCAGCGCGCCCTGATGATTCATTCATGGACAGTTCCTCGGAGGTTCATGTCAACTTCATCCTGGTCAATGTGGTTAGCACAACAGAATCAAAATCTGTTGCTCTTGAGCTGTGCAGGTTCAAAACCTGCCAACACCAAGGTTTTTTCCTATCGGAACACACCTTGACATCCACTCGTAGGTGGTTTCTTCAAAGGCTTACCTTAACTGGTCTTAGCCAAGAGGTCACCACTGCGGTCCACCCCAGACTCAAAATCTGTTTTCCTTGGATTGCGCAAGTTTGAAACCTGCCCACGCCAAGCTTGCTCTCTATCTTAACGTGCCTTGACATTCACTCATGGACGGCTTTGTCCCTACCGCATATTAACTGGTCTTATCCCAGTCGTTACTGCAACAGAGTCAAAATCTGTTTCTCTTGGATGGTGCAGATTCGAAACCTGCCGATGTCAGGTTCCTTTTTCTGTAGGAAGCACGCCCTGAAGATTCACTCATGGACAGTTCCTTGGAGGTTCATCTCCATTTCATCCTGGCCAAAGTACTTATCAGAACCGAATCGAAATCTGTTTCTCTTGGGCTGCGCAGGTTTGAAACCTGCTGATGACAAGGTTTTTTCTTTCTATTGGAACAGGCCTTGAAGATTCACTCATGGATGGTTTCCTCAGCCATCTTAGGCCCCGCTCGGCAATCGGGTTACCATAAGGTCCATAACAGAATCAACATCTGTCGAACCTACCAACGATAAGGTTTATTTTTCCTCCCCGATCACACCTTCAATCAAGATTCACCCATTGACAGTTCCTTGGAGGCTCATCTCAACTGTTCTTAGCCAAGTGGTCACCACAACGGAATCAAAATCTGTTCCTCTTGGACTGCACAGGTTCGAAATCTGCTGACGACAACGTTTTTGTCTGTCATAACCATTTACTCATGGATGGTTTCGACGCTCAACTTAACCGGTCTTAGCCAAGTGGTCACCACAACGGAATCAAAATCTGTTCCCCTTGGACTGTGCAGGTTCGAAATCTGCCGACGACAACGTTTTTTCATATCACAACACACTTTGACATTTACTCATGGATGGTTTCGACGCTCATCATAACCGTTCTTAGCCAAGTGGTTACTACAACAGAATCAAAATCTGCAAGTACCTCTTGGATGCAGGCTCGAAACCTGCCGAACGACAGGTTTCACAGTCAAAATATAGTGCTCTTGGAGTAGGTTCGAAACCTGCTGACAACATTTTTGCGGAGTATAGATCCTCGGAGACCCATCTTAACTTAGGAGGCACAGTCATTGCGCCGAAGCTCCTTTTTATGTGATAGTCTGTCCATGAAAAGTATTTCACCTCCATGCCTCGCGAGGGTCGTCTCAGAAATACAAGATATATCCCCGAGGTGCGTACGTGCCAACCTAGATCTAGTGTCGGAGATCGGTGCTAAGCACCACGACGATATCTGCATGGTTGATTACTCTCAAATTCATTGCCGAGTGGCTCGTCACTGACTCGATTATATAGGTTTTCCTATAGCTTGGTAACTTACTGTTTCGCAGTCTCAGCACCTTTCTCATCCTCAAAATGACCGCGGTGCAGTGCGGATGCACAGCAAATGGAATGCTGCGGTTTTGGTCGCTCCACCTTACATCTTCCTTGGACCTTATACGTCTGCGTGGAGATCTTTCATTGATTCAGCAGGCATTGCCTACATCATCAGCATCGGCAGAGCGCTTGTTTGTCCCAACCACCCTCATGTCCAATACTACCGCCTGCAACTCTTGGACAAGGATATATCCTCCATATATGCGGCTATTGATAGAGCCAACCAGATCATCACTAGTGCTAGGAACAGCGGAGGAAAAGTTCTCGTGCACTACGTCGCAGGTATGTCCCGCTCTCCGACGATTATTATAACCTACCTCATCTCGAGATGTTCTATGTCGCTGGAGGACACAATTGGGCCTTTTGTGCGCGCGAGGCCTATGGTATGTCCGAGACCTGGTTTATTGCGCAGTTAAAGGACCTAGAGATAAAGGTGAGGGGACGTTGTTCACTCGATGTGAATATTCTTCCTGGCTCGAATTGGGCACATTTGCCATCGAAGGTGATCATGGTTGATGATGACGATGCTTACTAGCCGGTTAAATCGAGTTGTTTTGCTTATTGATAATTAGGATAGCCTTGTACTGATCCTGTCCAATGTAGCAGCTTCAATTGCCTCGGCTGATGACACTAAGATGTTGTGTCCTATGATATGCTCCATAGGATATAGCGGCACAAGGCTTATATTTTCCTGGTACGCCCCCGATGTTCAAGCAGTCGCAGGACAAAAGCAGGTCGATCGGTGCAGACTGGGAGGAGCTGTTACTATAACACCTCCATGAAATCGATTGGATAAACCATTGGGAAGCTATAGACGAGGACTGAGGCACTGCATTCCTAGTACTTACATATACAAATAACGTTCGAGGGATGAGATAATGGCATGGGGCGTGATAGATCGGCATAAAGAATCTTAATGATAACCGTCGGTATATTCAGGAGAGGCGCAACAGACAAAGAGCCAGAAACGAGTCCAGCGACCAGCGTGTTTTATCATTGCATGAGGATTAGTGCTCGAAGTTACAGCTTCGGGGATGGTGGATGATGTGGGAATAGCAGCCTGCGGCTGTGTTTGCGAAGGTGACTGGGTCTGAGCCGTGTCGTTGGATTGCTGTGTGGTATTGTTATTGAGGTACTCGCAGCAGGGTTTTTCGGAATTGGCCTCCGTTTTTCTCTTGCACAAGCGTTTCTCTACGTGACATGAGGGTAGGGTTCGAACAGGAAATAAAATCAGGAGGAATTGAACATTTGAGAAGGAAGAGAGGAACGTACGCGTTTACCCTTGACATAAGGCTGGTCCAAAAGAAGATCGTCGTGGCCAGCTTCTTTTAATATCGCAGTAACATCCCATGTTAGAGTTTGGTATTTCACCGGCACCCTTCGTCATCGTTTGATGTTCGGATAGTCCCGATTACGTATATATAACTACGTCGTAGACCATCCTCTCTTTGTCGTCTCCCGCCATATGGTAGACACACGATACAGCGTTGTTTTCTAGCTTCCTCGTCACCTTCATCCTGGCCAAAATGGTTACCGCAACAGAATCAAAATCTGTTTCTCTCGCATTGTGCATGTTCGAAACCTGCTGATGACAAGTTCTTTTTTCTGCCGGAAGCATGTTTTGGAGATTCATTCACGGACAGTTGCTTGGGGTTCATGTAGTCTCCATCCTGGCCACAGTGGTTGCCACAACACAATCAAAATCTGTTTCTCCTGCACTGTGCAGGTTCAAAACCTGCCGACAACAAGGTTTTTTTCTATCGGAACATACCTCGACATTCAATCGTGGGTGATAGCGTTATTGACATAATCGGCGTGTCCTTCAAACATTTGGCGGGGCTTTATTGCTGATTCTGCTTTTTTGTCGGAAGCACGCCCTGAAGATTCAGTCATGGACAGGTCCTCGGATGTTCATCTCAACTTCATCCTGGCCAATGTGGCTAGCACAACAGAATCAAAATCTGTTTCTCTTGCTCGGTGCAGGTCCAAAACCTACCAACAACAGGGTTTTTGCCTATCAGAACACACCTTGACACTCACTCGTGGGTGGTTTCTTCGGAGGCTTATCTTAACTAGTCTTGGCTAAGAGGTTACTACCACAGACCCCAAATCTGTTTCCCTTGGATTGCGCAAGTTTGAAACCTGCCCCCGCCAAACTTTTTTCTCTATCTTAACGTGCCTTGACATTCACTCATGGATAGCTTTATCGCCACCGCATATCAACTAGTCTTATCCAAGTTGTTACTGCAACAGAATCAAAATCTGTATCTCTTGGATGGTGCAGGTTCGAAACCTGCCGACATCAGGTTCTTTTTTCTGTCAGAAGCACTCCTTGAAGATTCACTCATGGACAATTCTTTGGAGGTTCCTCTCAACTCCACCCTGGCCAAAGTACTTATCAGAACCGAATCGAAATCTGTTTCTCTTGGACTGCGCAGGTTTGAAACCTGTTGACGACAAGGTTTTTGTTCCTATTGGAACACGCCTTGAAGATTCACTCATAAATGGTTTCCTCAGACGTCCATCTTAACTGGTCTAAGTCGAGTGGTTGGCACAACAGAATCGAAATCTGTTTCTCTTGGACTGCACAGGTTCTGAAAATAGCTGTAATAGCGCTCCACAATCAGCGCTCAGTCAGCGGCCATCATAATTCAAATATTCATGATTCAATTAATCAAATCTTAACAATATTAATAGCATACTGTTGGATGGCGATACGCTTTTTTGAACTGCGGAGATACTATAATTAAACTTGGCCCAGGTGTTCAGTAACGACGTAAGCTAGCCCCTGAAAATTGCTGTAAGCAGACCTTTTGCCTACGGAGTCTGTCACTGCTTACCGTGACTGGGCAACTACTATGCACCGCGGCTGCTCCGTCGACTCGGAAGTTCCTGCTTATGAATCTCCATACCAGTCTCAAGGCACGAATCGGAAGATATGGATATGTAGACCGACTCTCAGATCCAGAGGATATTTAAGCTAAAGGATGTGCTATGTTTCGTTCATCTTCCTCCCATTGACTTGAGCGTTGTGTCATGTTCCAACTCCATATGTTTTTGTGCTTTCTGGCAAGCCTCCAGAGTCACGCCGCGACTATTGGCCCAGTTTCTGACCTCCTCGTTGCCAATGGCAATGTATCCCCAGACGGGTTCCCCAGGACGTCAGTGTTTGCTGCATTTTCGACCTATTTGATTACTGAAGTCATTGCAGGGCAGTTCTTGCCGGCGGTACTCATCCCGGGCCCACGATCATGGCTCAGAAGGTGACATCCACTTTATATGCGCAAACTCTTGGTTGACCTTATGTGTATTGAGGGGGATACGCTCAAGATTAACGTCACGAACCAACTAAGTAACGAGTCGATGCTAACGAGTACCAGTATCGTAAGCATCGTGACCGGCTGATACTAAATGCATGCAGGAGCTAACAATGATGTCTATCGCAGCACTGGCATGGACTATTCCAACATCATAGTAACCAAATGGATGGCTCGGCATTTGTTACGCAATGTCCTATCACTCCAGGGTACTCGTTTTTATATGAGTTCAATGCTGGCGACCAAGTAGGAACCTACTGGTACCACTCTCATTATGGAGTTCGTACTTTCATTTGTTCACGGTATCTGCAACTGAGATCACATCAGGTCCAATATTGTGACGGTCTACGAGGCCCGCTGATTATCTACGATCCCAACGATCCATACCGTTCGTTGTACGACATTGATGACGGTGAGTGATTTCGACGAAATGGAGTTGCGCTATTCACATTTGAGTGAAGAGTCTAGCATCGTCACACTGATGGACTGGTAAGAAAAGAAATCGCTGGATCTTTTCCTGTTGTTAAATCGGCTTGCTTTGTAGGTATAACCTGCCATCGCCCCAAGTACAGAGACAAGTGGTTGCCGACTCGGTGCTTATTAACGGCGTCGGGCGTTATGATGGAGGGCCGGATGTGCCTTTCGCCGTCATAAATGTTCAGCCACGAAAGCGATATCGTTTTCGCTTACTGAACATGGCGTGCAAGCCCGTCTACATTTTCTCAATCGATGGTCATAATCTTACCATAATCGAAGTTGATGGCCAATACGTCAAGCCGCTCGTGGTAAACTTTATTCAGATCTATGCTGCGCAACGATACTCCTTCATTCTTGAGACAAACCAGCCTGTTGACAACTATTGGATGCATGCCAATCCCGATGCAGGTACAAATGCTACAGCTATCTTACGATATGCAGGCTCTCCCAACGCAGATCCAAAGAACAGGACAATCTTGGACTTGGCACCTCTAAATGAGATTAGCCTACACCCCCTTTATCTGCCTTCATCTCGTTTACTGCAGGAACCAGACATCAAACTCGATCTTATTCTTGGAAAAAATTTGACCAATTACAACTTCCTCGTCAATGGCGTCCAGTACATTTCTCCTAGTATCCCTGTCCTACTACAGTTACTGAGCGGTGCTATGACGGCGATGGATCTTGCACCCAACGGCTCCGTATACACTCTACCACGGAATAAGGTTATCGAAGTTGTATTCAATCCCGATAATGCTCCTGGGGGCCCTGTGAGTCCATTTCAAATACCATGCATGTCCTTGATCGTCAGAGGCTGACATATTTTGACAGCATCCATTCCACCTACATGGGGTACGTCGCAGCGTGCCATCTATATATACCTGATGAACTAGTAATAAGTGGTTTGTAGCACAGCTTTGCCGTCACCAGAAGCGCCGGAAGTAGCAATTATAACTATGTCAACCCCGTCATGCGTGATACTGTGAACACTGGCAACAGTACTGGTGATCATGTGACTATCTGTTTCATCACAGACAACCCTGGGCCTTGGCTGTTGCATTGGTAAGTGCTATGCCTATGTCTTTTCAGCTGACAATGATTTTCGGTCTTTGTGAAGTCATATCGAATGGCATCTATACAGGTGAGTTGCTCCTTTCACTGAGCCAGGAGTCAAATCAATGGGCCCATAGCGGATTAGGTCTAGTATTTGCAGAGGCTCCTGAAGATGTGGCGGCTTTGCAGCCTGTCAATAGTAAGCACCGAGCACTATGAACTAGACCCAGGCTGACAATCGACGTTAGATGCTTTGAAGCAGCTCTGTCCATTATACAATAGTGCTCCTCAGCAAAATTTCCCTCTCCCTCCCATTGATTGATATTTTGGATTTTGGCCTATGCATCCTTTTGTTCAAGAGAACTTTTTTTTTCAGATACAATTTGTAGATTCATGATAAAGGACACGGTTGATAGTAGATCCCCTATTTTTAACAAGGACTCTTCAGTCTTTTATAGGTATGATTGTTGATATTGAATCCGTCATAGCACCAGAAATTATTTTTATCAATCTGATATAGATACCTGCTTCCGTTGTGACAATCATATTGGCGCTAGGCATGT